TTTCATTTATTTAGATTCATTGAGAAGTCAATAATTCAGAAATGTAGACAGACATTCAGTCAATTCCTGATGTTTGAGAGTAACATGACTTCTGTGTTATTAGTATTTTTGTTCATGTTAAGACCCATAGCAGTACCACTCTTGCAGGTGGCAGCTACAAGCATGTACAAACACTAACACCAGGCAGGCAAGTTGTGGGAGTGGTCGAAAATTGACTGACGCGTCTCCATCTCGTCTCATAAACTGAAATGCAAGTTCAATTTACTGGCAAGTATAACTTTGTGCCAGTGACTGGCATGTCTTCTGCTTTTTACTGGATATTAATTTTGTGACAATTCATCATACAACTTCCTCAATACTTCCTTTTTGATGTAACGTCATTTCTCACATCCTGTATAATAAAAGTTTTTTTTTATTTCTACACACCAGTAACATGACTCCGCAGTTTTGTCAAAATATTACTTTGTAACGAACACTTTTTGCTACAAAATTACCCCTTTGATGTACGATTTCTTTCAACTACGGGATTATACATTGTGTACGCACCCGATATCTTTGAGATCATAGATAATGTAATCATAGTGATTGAATGTTTTTTTTACATTTTTTACCGTTCAGTGTAAGTTTGAGAAATATTATACTTACTAAAAATCGTATAAAGTTAATCAATAATTTAATCAGTAGTAGTAGTTTTAGAAGATATCTGAAAACACGTAAGTCAGACTCAACATATAACTCAGCCAGGCTTTACTTTCGAATATGTTAAGAATTATGATAAATTAACAAAATTATTCAGCCTCGTTTTGCGACATTTTATGTGCTATGGAAAAAAAAATGAAACAAGAAACGGAAGAAAAACCGTTATTTCTAATACACATTTCGAATTTCGAATCGAAGACCATTTTAAGCTGTTCTTCAATTCAAAAGAAACACATTCACATGCCGGCCGCGTACAGCTCTAAATATAAAAACTCTTTTTTTATGTCAAATATGGAAGGGTTACGTTAAAAACATTCTATTTTCGAATTGTTAAAAAGTCCACATTGTATGGAATACGTCAAAACTCCGCGGCTTATGCAGTATAAGTAAAATTAACAGATTGTGCGTGTTTATTTTCTAATTTTTATGCGATATTTGTACTTCATTGTTTATTACGGTTTGATTTTGAATTAACAGTTTACATAGTTACATATGAGTTTAATTATGTTACTTTGCATTTTTACTTTAAGAAAAACTTACCCATCACCTTGCTTTTTACCTAATGGGTGGTAAATGCGTTAGCTTTTCTTAAATATGGTTAATTTGGTTACAAGTAATGTTATTATGCGGTTTAAGACATTTCTTTGTCTTAAAAATTTACAAAAAATCACTTGATGGGAGCCAATTTATAGCACAATATAATATACATTATCACAGCAAGACTTTAAAGTCTTAAGCGTTCACACCTTTTCTTAAATTTTAACGGTGCAGCATCTGCTTTCTTTGATTGTTCTATAAAAACATTATTCCTTTTTCAAATGATACGAAAGACACAGGAAGCGTGAGTTTTTTGTCACTTCCACATCTCTACCGAACTGATTTACTGTTCGCGTCTCACTCGCACACACACGATCTTATACTGTTAGATAGAGAAGTAGGACTCCTAGTTGAGCTCAGGTGTGTTGACAATAACAGATGTTCGGAAGATGGCGTCGCGAGCGCATATTACACAATTACAATTCTATTTAATTATATTTTTCTCGCGCGTCGTATTCAATATTTTAAGTCGTAGGCGTATTGAAGACAATTGAAGATTTTTTTGTATCGCATGTTTACAGAATAGCACCGTTAGTTTCCTTATTCTTAGTTTGGAGAGTTGGTAATGATAGTCGTTTGTTATTGGGAGTTCATTTCGTTATAAAAATTAAAACGCGTGGGCGCAGTGAAGGCAGAGCGTGACGAATGCTTGTATCATTCGAATTAGACACATCTATCTGTTTAAAATACGTCATTAGATGTTAATTGTTATTGAATAGATTAGGCTTTTAAAACTCTTCTGTTTCTACAATCGTTCTTGTATACTAAACCTTCGATTATTAACGTACCATTTGGTTTTAGACAATGTCTGTTAAATGATTTCAGTTTTTAAAAGAATATTTAAACCACACAAAACTCATACAAGAGTTTTAAATTTTTTAAAGTTCTAAAAGTTTGTAATACAATATCTCATTATGAGGCAAAAAATCAATGAGAAAACACGAGATTTGACCCGAAAAAACTCCACCCTTTCGTAAAGGGTTACAGAGTGAGATAGAACATAAACATATTGGATTAGAAAGGGAGAGGAAACTTTGAACAACCCTTTACTGCACCTGGACCTTTTTATCGAATAGTTTTTGTGTTCAAATTTGAAAAAGTGCAAAATTTCTTTTTGTCAAGGGTCAATATTGGTATTTTTTAGTTCAAATAAACGTCGCGATATAATAGAAGTTCGTTATCTAACACAATTATGATGAGACCATAACTCTTTGAATCGATGGTAACTTTCAATAAAAGATAATTATGGTATAGATAAAAAAAATTGTCCTAGTTTTTTTTTTAATAGAAATAATGAAAAAATGCAATCATTTGACTAACTCAGGACATTTGGCTCTTAAGATGTTTTTTATTGATTTTAAATTAGTTTTCTAATGCTACGTATTAAACAAGAAACTTTGTATGATCATTGCTAGATAAAGTTATTTTGTCTGTCTATAACAATTACGTTGTACGTGTTTGTAATAATTAAAAAACAGAACCGACTTCTAAATGAAATACACTAAAAGTAAAATATTCTTAAAAAAAATAATACACTAAAAAGTAACGAAATCACTGATTACTTAGATCTCCCTTATTATAGCTGTTATGTATATATTTTACAATTTTTATATACTACTTTGATGTCAATGTCAGTCGAGGTAGACAGTGACATGTATAGGTAAGGCTTTCTATATTTTTAACATAACAATTGACAATTGAAACTATAGTAACGTTTACGTAGTGAATCTACCTTGTATGAAGAAGAGAGAAAAATGTATCGCGGTTCTTCAATTGGCATAAAACGTACGTTAGATGTTTGCAAATCAACAGATGTTACACCCGTCTCCTACAAGCAAGCAGCCAGCGCGCATAAAGGAGCGCGGCCTGAGCCGACACATATACCCGTAAACGATAAAAATATAAATTAAAACGTCTCAATGCGATACAAAAGCGGTCGAGACGATCCGATAGCGGGGGTTAATGCAAAAACGGCGAAGCTCTTTAAACATCGCGGGGAAAAAAGGCCAAAAGTAAGACAATCAAATGAGGGACGTACAGAAAGGGGGAATAAAACGAAAGACAAAAAGCAATATGGCGGATTGTTTTTAATTATCGAGTATCGGCATAAATCGACGCACGTCGCCGCGAGCGGCCGCCTTGCCGCGCCGCGGAGTCGCTCCCCGGATCAAATATTAATTAAAAATATGTTACTACAAATTTTGCATTTAGAACGGACCATAAACATATCCCTAACAGTTTTGAATTCTTTACATTTAGTTCTTAAAAATCATCGAAGTAGGTCCTTTGAATTTTTTTCACTAATCCAAATTACATAATTTAACTAAAAGTCCACGTAGATTTCCTATGATGTAGAGATTAACGCACTAAGATGTCATGTTACCGTACGGGTATCTTGTGGGCTAGCATTTAACTCAATAAAATAGGCCAATTTACTTAGGCAATTTAGGGATCGCAAGTATTTATTGTATGACGCCAACTTATAAAAATAATAACAATATCAACTCCACGCCATTTTTGTTCTCGATTCATAAAATTCATATGTATGGGTGAAGGCAGTACGATCGCGCGGATGTTCGACATATTTTACTTATAAATAAGAGGAACATTGTTGTAGGTACGTCGGTCTGTACGTTTGTACCCCTTTGTCATTGCCCCGCTATATTTATAGACCGAACTTGCTTAACGATAACGAAATCTGTTAATTTTTCTATTGCGTGGTCAACATAGTATAGACTCTTCTGGTCTACGAAGATATAAAACATGGATCAAAATCATTGTGAAAAATCATTAACAATACTCTAACTTCTCAAGACATTAAACAAAGTTTGTTTTCACTCACAGATAACTATTAACATAGAAAATGTTGAAGCTTTTTAGTCCATGTTTTTAACGCTTTTTTACCCAATCTTTCCTTCCTGAAGTAGTTTCATTTATAAAAAATAACAATAGTTAAAATATGAAAAAATAATTAGGTAACTTAAATTCATTGAATATAAGCCTAAAATATAAGTAAAACTTCAGAACGTCAACTGCGTCTGATGTTACCCACACTCGCCGCCTAAACCCACAACAAAGAACCGTCAAGAAAACCAGAAACCACGAAAAACATTGTCCGAGCGATCTTATTTATACCAGTCTGGGGCAAAATTCAATTTGAACGCGGACGGAATTTCTTAGGTTTTTTTCGAAAAAAATGATCAATGACAGGCTCCACAATGACGGAATATCTGACCTTTTTTCCATCGGGAACTTTTTTAAACGGCTTTTGTGTGGCCAGAGACAATAGTGTTGGGGTCAGCGCCCTACGATTATGTTAAAGAAATATCCTTTTAAGGTATCGAAATCAATTTATTAATATTGAAGGGAAGTGACGAAAGGGTAGTGTCAAACTAAGAAACAAGCGAAAAACGAAGGGGACAAAATCAATCCGCATTCTTAATGTTTTTTAGCAATTGATATTATGATTGGTCTATATTAAATTATTATGAAGCTGTGACTCCGTCCACGTGGAATAAAAAAAAATGTAAAATGCAAGAAGCTTATGTGTTCTTCCCGACTGTATTCTAAATCTATACCAAATTTCTTCGTAAACTGTCATCTGTTTAGTCTACAAACTCTAACAAATATCCATCCATCTAAACTTTCGCATTTACAATATTAGTATGATCACCAAAACTAAGACGCAACGGGAAATCTTACAGGAATCCAGGCTGATCCGTGGTAAAGCGCTGGCCGAGGTGGCGGTTGAGTGGACACCACTGAGTCCAGCTTGGAGGCGCTGAAGACTTGAGAGCCAACCTCCGTCATCGCAGACAAGCTGGCATCGCGGAAGAAGAGATGTACTGGTATTGCGATGTGCTAGTATTGCTTGCCACTAAGCGTTGTGGCGCCATGATCTGACGCAATGGGAGGGGGCAATTGATTTGGTTTTGGTAACGTAAGTACATGTTCTTCAAGCATGTATTCAAGGTTGGAAGCATATGGACAGATACTATATACAAAGTAGAGCTAGGAATAGATAGATTGCGTAGAGTACGCCTCATACCAAGCAAAAAGAACATCAAATAATTTGCGGCAATAGTAATTTACAATTAAATCCATTCTACGCTTATCTAACTCTTGATTCAAATTGTTATAATTTGAACTTACATTTAAGCGTGTAGCAGCAAGTTAAAACTTTATTACCTTAGACATAAAGATTATTATAACCGTTTGTGTAATGCGGTTAATAAGGATAGATGTATTTAGGAGCGTATGGAATCGAACTGAAGACACACTCGCCTTAAATCAGTTGGTGCCGATCGCACAAATAAACGATACCAACGCCCGTTGATAATGTACCGAGCACAGGACGTAAGCATGACATGGAGTCGATGTTAGGGAAAAAAATAATTATTGGCTCTACAAGTATTGCTCTGAATATTACTATTTCATTAAAACAAAATAAAAGGTAACTTTTGACTTATTCAGAAAAAAATGCTCTATTTGATATAAAATTAAGTTATTGTACTGTGTTACTTATCAAGCTAAGTACAATTTAAGTTGTACATTCATATTATGTACTTATGTTATGCATTTCTTGTTTTTCTTTCGAGTTTTATATCGAGAATTATTTAAGATTACTTTACCAATTATAAAGAAAAAAAATATTTACACAATTACGACTCCATAGTAATCCTTAGCTGTAAAGCGCGTAACGAATGACTACAGAAAAATTAACAAAATCTCGATAAATTTTTCGACGTTTCTCGTTGTGAAGTAATAAAATACTTACAAATGAATATTTTACATTCTCGTTTGTATATGTATGTTTATTAATATCAAAACCAATTATTTTTATTTATTACTAGCTGTTGCTCGCGACTTCGCCCGCGAGAAATTAAAAAAATAATAAAACCATAACCTATTACTCACATATATATTACCTTTCTAATGGTAAAAGATTTTTTTAAAATCGACTTAGTAGTTTTTACGTAAATCGAATACATACAAAAATAAAAATCTATCCTCTTTATAATACTAGTATAGATAGCAGAGAATTCAATGTTCGCGTATTTCCGAAAACACATTTTTAATTAGCGACATCTAGCGTTACTTTTCAAAAATAGAAAACAGGAGTCAATTTTGAATTGCGATTTTACAATGATCCATTGACAGCGATGGTAAAAAGAGAGTGCTCTATCATATCTGTCTGCTTTTCCTTACGCTCAATAACTAGACTTATTTTATATTTAATTTTTATATAGATTGACTCATTAGATTTTTATACACTTTTAAGCTTTCAAATGAAGAGAACTATAGTTTATGTTTAGACATGAGTATATATTGTAGGGAAAAATGTACGCTATAGAGTAAGAAAGTTAAATAAATGTTGAATTGTTTGGGCTATTGCGGTATTTTGTTACAGACACAAACACCTTTTGAATAAAATAATGAACCGTCATAGATCGTTTTAGATTAATGCACTCAAGACAAGATTTATATAAAAGCCTCCGTCCGTGCGAGCGAGACGCACTCATGTGGGAGTGAGACGCGAAGTGAATGAAGGAGCGTCATTAAATTGTAATTATTATAATAAGGATACGACTTTCATTTTTAATGCAGTAAATACTTTTCAAACAATTCGTAAGAGATGATGTTAAAATAGTTATCGCTAAGGACGTTTTTTTTCATTTAAAGGGGAACAAGCTTCAGGCGTAACGAGGTGTTCATGGACGCCTATGGACATCCGCACCAGAGGAACTGCAGATGCCGGCCGCCATTTGCCTGCCGGCATTTGAGAAAGAGCTAAGCTTGGTTCTGAATGTTTATTTAATACGTATTTATGTTATTAAAAATACCTTGAATATTGGATTTTTAGACTTCAACTGACAGAACAACACAAAACGACTTAAATAACATTTGTTTCTTATTTTAGAATAGAATATATGCTATATAAATTAAGATTCCGAAAGTTGCTGTTGTGATAGAGCCAATAAATAACAGTGGCAAAAAATTACAGAATATTGTTTCCTGTTAAATTGTTTTATATCGTAATTGACCGTATCCATATAAATCTAACGTCAACCCGCCAAGACCGAGAATCGCGTAAGAAGTTCAAAAACGGAATGATTTTTAAAAAATGTATCTCCGCTCGCGCGCTCGTTTATAATAAGAGAAACCGAACGAACGGACAGCGAGTAAAAAGTCCAAAAGCATACCCTTTTCGAATTTTGTTCGAAAAAGAACGATCCCGTGATAAATATTGAAATATGAAATGGAGATATGATACTTTTTGTTCCGTTCGCCGGCCGCCTTCGGTTTTTGTCTTCGGAACTTTTTTTCTTATTTTTTTAATTCCACGTTTTTAATAGCGTTTTGAACACGGGTTAATGGTCAGAGGCCGGCGTCCACGCTACTGTTTTATTGAGCATTAATTTTACTATTATGGTCTTGTATATGAATCGGTTGTGATACACGCATTTTATAGTCCCAGCAGTGGGCAGGCGTCATAACGAATCTTTAATTGGTGCGTTAGAATTTGTTACTGCGCTCACTGAATGGCTCTATTTAAATATTATCTCGTAATAAACCATATTGTATGGAGTTTGGAATGAATTAGGGTACAATCACGCACAGAAGTCGAGTCAAATTTGTTAAACTATTTATAAAGAATTTTTAAGAATATTAATTTTCTTATGTTCATATAAAAATAGTTAATTAGTACTTAAAAAAGTATATTCTCTTATACGATTATACTGTGCCTGCCCTTATCAATTGTTTTTCTTAGAAAACTAAATAAAGAATTAAGGTATTAACTTGTTTTAATTAACCTAAAAATCCTGTTGCATTCATTTGACTAATTTGCCTCTTCTATACGAAGTAGGCCGTTAAAATGATAAATAAAATATCTCTCCGACTTATAGCCGGTTAGCTCTGATTTGAAAAAAAGTAATGAAATAAAAGCATCGACGTCTCAACTCGTTTCTGAGGATTTCATATTTTAAAATAAGATCTGTTTGAATGGATGGGAGTTAGTGCTAAGTCACGTTCGGAATGCAAGTATGTACCGATTGTTGCCGCCAGCTAGCGCTCGCGTCTGGCTTCATGTGCTTTTCAAAAATTAAAATATTTATGGATCAAATGTATTTAAAAGTATCAATAGAATTATGCATAGGAAAACAGGAACTGACACTTTTCAAGAATTATTTTAATAAAAATTAGAACATATTCAAATTCATTTTTAATTAGCAGAGATATTTAAATTCGCTATTTTTTTTAATTGATTTTAAGAGATATTTAAGTTCTTTTTTTTTAGATTAAGCTTAATTGTTAAATAAGTGATTCTTTCCAAATACTCTCGCATAAGTATGTTAGCGCCATCTATTGAACGATGCATAAAATAGTTTCAATTTAAGCATTTAAATAACGTTGTATCAATTAAAAAATAAAACTCCATTTTAATTTTTAAGGTATACATATTTATTTATAAATTACGCTGTCGCATGATATAAGTTATGTACAATTAAATAATACAATTTATATAAAAATATTTAGTCTGTGGTGCGGGGCGCGGCGGCGGCTGCGGTGGCGGGCAGCCGCCGCCGCTTCCCACTCACACAAAACTAAAGCAACATTGATTATTCAAGCTTATAAATTTTCAAAGAGAAGCTGCGATATTTTAAATAAACAACGTAACAACTGATAATGTCGACAATAAATAAAATAACATTTAAAAGTGACTAGAGAGCGAGGATTCGATCTTCCAAGCGACTTCTCATAGGCATTCGATAGGGTAACACTTATTATTTACTTAATATATTAATAAATAATTTAATATAAAAAAACTCCTTTACACTATTAGACTCCGAATTGTATAAAAAAAATCGTATTCCAGTATGATATTCGAGATAATATAGATGCAGGCTTGTATAATTGTTGGGATGCCGCAAGGGTGCGATGCGGGCCCTAGTTGTCGACGACGTTGAGGTAGAAGGCGGCGAGTGCGTCTCCCTTGTTGCCGACGGCGCGTGCTTGGTACTGTCCACTGTCTTCGGAGCTGCACTTGCTGATCTCCAGCTGGTATGTGGAGCCCTCCATCGTGAACTTGTACCGCGGCGAACTTTCGTCGATAGGCTTGCCGTCCTTCAACCATTGCAGCTGGAGCGGTGGCTAAAAACAAGAAATGTTTTAAATATGAGTCAATTCTTATTTAACATTGGTATTAAGTTAAACGGCTTGATTAGAATATTACAGTGTACTAAATAAAATCCAAAATGGACTTGTCTTTTAAGCAATCTGAATATTTCTTAGATAGATTTAGGGTGTCTATTATTGTTTGAACGACTTAAAACATGAATAATATGTACATGACTAGTTAAGTTATGCTTGGTATGACATGAGGTAAGAGTGTGAAGACACCGGTAGAGGTTGGCACAGAAAGGGATGGATGTGTCCATTCAAGGATGATCTTGGAGCTATTCCTTCAGTAACGGAAGCAAGTCGAGGATGAGGAGATGGTCACCTGGTCCAGCTGCGCGGTGAAGAGGGCGGGCTCCGCGGCGGCGACGGTGGCGGAGGCGGGGAAGGCGGCGTACTGCGGCGCGGCGGCCGGCTCGCCCGACACGCGCACCACCAGCGAACACGACGAGAACGACTCGCCCGCGTCGTTGAACGCCTCGCATGTGTACACACCTGTAACATATTACATTAAAGTACAGCTGGACAGTAGAATCATGTACTAGCAAAATCTGAACAGTAACTGGCGCCAGTCAGTTTATATATACAATCAATGCCTGATCTATCTACTGGTCAAGTAAATCATGCAAATATTTCACTGGTCAACAATGTAATTAATCTATACCTACTACTCTACTAATATAAAAAGGAAAGATTTGTATTTTTGTCTGTATTTTTAATACTCAAAACTCAAAAACTACTGGGCCGATTTTAGAAATTTTATCACTGTTAGACAGGTAATTTATCTTTGAGTAACATAGGCTATATTTTTAATTTTACGCGGGGAAGTCTAGAGAACCGCTAGTTCTCCATGATTATTTTAAAAATAGCATTGTTTTAATTGATAACACCAACATTGTCTATAACCGATGAGTTTGTAATTCGTTTTATAAAAGTCTACATTTACTGAGTGTAGCGTATAAACATAACCTTTTACATTCACTAGACGGCACTGTTTTTAAAAATCACTTCACAAGGAAATACATCGTGGAAATCGCAGTAAATATTATCTTGTTAACAACTGACCTGCGTCCTCTGGGAATATCTCTGCGATGTGCAGCTTGTGTATATTAGCCTCACTGGAATACTGGAAGTCCTTCGAGGGCTTGATCTCCTTGTAGTTGTGTAGCCATACTACGTCAAATCTCTCCGCGCCCACGATCCTATACAAATTTAACATTATTTACCATTGGGCCGATCATATCGACAAAATAAATAGGTTAAATGGGATTTTCTTTTCCTTTTGCGTCGCAGAGAACAGATAAAATTGATTTTTTTTAACTGAATAGGATAACTCACACATAAATGGATATATTGACGTGTAATATTGTGCTATAAAATAATATCCAACCTGCATGACAACGTGACAGCATCGCCGTCGTTGACGATCTGTGACACCGCATGGTCCACGATCCTGGGCGGCTTGTCACCGAACTTGACGCCGCCAGAGGGCGTGCTCTCCGCCGCTAAACATATTGATAAACATGTCTTCAATACATAAATGTGTTTTAATGATTTTCTCTATAAATTAAAAATATAATTAGACGCCATCTATTGGCTGTTACAGAAAATTATGGCCCTTATTAGCCAGTACTTTTTTCATTCTGCACTCTCTAAGTTTCTGTTTTGTATATAAAAATCTAGAAAAGTGACTTACTCTGCTGCCCTCAGTTATTAAGTGTTAAGGCTTCTTTTAGTTACCGATTAATAACTCTGAGTACGACAGTTTGTTACTAACGTTTGACGGTGACGTTGCACTTGGTCTCGACCTCGCCCTGGCTGTTGATGGCCTTCAGCGAGTACACGCCCTCGTCCTCCGGGAACACCTCCGCTATCGCCAGCGACGCCACGCTGTTCTTGTACTTCAGGTTCACCACCTGCAACATACATATATACTATATTAATAGAGATAAACTAAGTCAATAATGGTAGAGCCTGCAAATAAAATATAAAAGACTTGAAGGGGGAAGTCATTCTGCGTTTTTCTTGATTAGTCGGGTATTGCAAGCCTTTTATTCAATTTTAGATTATTTCTGTTTCTGTTATTTCCGCTCTTTTCTTATAAAGAGAAAGACGGCAATGAAATATGCTATACCTGGTAGACTACATATCTGTAAATACAGATGTCTCTGTGTTTATCTGTCTATCACTTTGCTGTTTTTGGAAACTCGAATAGCCACTTCACCAGATTATCAAAACTAAAATCATTAAGAGGAATGATTTGTATTTTTTGTATGTATTAAAATAACTCCAAATGTTCACCATTAGAAAGCTACGTTATTGGTTAGTGACAGGCTAAATTGAGGCGGGTGAGGTGGCGAGCTACAGGTGTACTTACGTCTGATGAGTGCAGTGGTTTCCCATCCTTGTACCACTCGACGCGGGGGTCGGGGTCGCCCCGCACGCTGCACGACAGCAGCAGCGGCGCGGCGTCGCGCGCGCACACCGCGCCCGGCAGCGCGCGCGCGAACGACGGCGCGCACATCGACGAGTCGGACGCCGGCACTGATGTACAGTACAACATAAATATTTTTACACAATATATTAATAACAACGTACTACTTCAGTATACCGACTCACTAACTAATTTGCCCGACGTTCTTACGGTAAAAAAGGTCAGTAAAAGGGACGGATGAAAGTAGACTACATGTGGCAGAAACGCGAATGTTAATATGGATGTGTGTGGTAATACGAATGGATAAGATACGAAATGAGTATATTAGAGAAAGTTTGTAGCCCCAGTGGTAGAGAAGGTAAGGAGTAAAAGGTTAGCATGGTATGGGCATGTTATGAGGAGGGATGAATCGCATGTTACAAGGAGAACGTTAGATATGAGTGTGGAGGTACACCGGTTGAGGTAGACCTAGAAAAAAATGAATGGATTGCGTAAAAGGTGACATGATCAAAAAGGGAGTGATGACTGAGATGACGTATGATAGAGTTATTTGGAGGACAAATACCTGTCGCGCCGACCCTACGGGAGTAGGATAAAGAGGATGATGATGATGATGATGTTCTTACGGTGAAGAAAACACCGTGATACTGCACATATCGGCGTAGAAATTCAAAGTGTGAAGTCAACCCGCAGATGGGACGTGTATGCCCATATTCTAGTGTCGGGCCGCTACTCTAGTACGGGAGCAATTTCTTCTCAACAGTAATACACCGGCTGTTACCGTGCTACTTCAGCCGTATATTAGAAAACTTTTATTTCATTGTTTAAATTTTGTAAAACATTCTATGGCAATGACAAAATTTAAATTCATAAATGACAAAGGCTTTTAACATAGGCTAACAATTTTCATTCTTTGCTACTAAAGGCTTGTAGTTTTTGCTCTTTTTTGGCATTACATATTTACTATTTTAGTTTAAGTAAATTGTCATAAAATATACCGTTTCTCCGTTACATTTACCGCGAAATGTTTTTCCTAGCTACCCAAGTCCTGTAACAGCTATACAATGAACACTTTATAGAAATTAAACAATTTTAGTACCAATAATTTAAACTGAAGTGTTACTTACGGACTAGTTCCTTGGTAGCGCTCCTGGAGCGTGAGGAGGTGGAGTCCGAGTCCCCGAGCTTGGCGCCGTACTTCTTCTTGGCGGGCTCGATGGAGCTCTGCGGCGAGTACTTGGGCCGCGGCGTCTGCGCCTGCGACTTGCTCGGCGGGTCGATTGTCACCTTTATACACAAGCAATAAGGTTCAAATTCGTATAAACTAAAGCTAAAAGCCAGATTCTGTTCCTTTTTCATCAATTTGTTTCTTATAATGTTATTTGACTCTAAATATTAAAATTTGTAATTTGACTGCAATTTATTAAAATCGTGCATATCAAAGTTGTTTGATCATAGCCAATAGATGGTGTTGTTATTAAAATCAACTTAATTGCAACTAATGACTTGAATTCTTTACAAAAAGATAAAAAACGTCCATTTTGAGTTTTAATATACCTTTGTCTTGGTGATGATAGGCTGCGGCGCGGGTTTGAGCGGCTTCTCGATGTAGCGGCGGTCGCCCGAGTGCAGGAACTTGTGCGCCAGCTGAGCCTGCTCCGCGCTCACTACCTCGCCTGCAAACACACATAATCATAACAATATTTAAATTATTTCGTAACTAATTTTTGTCCAATACTTCTATATGTGCAAAAAAAAAAACAAAAAAATCACTATTATTTTTTTCCTTCCAGGCTTACATTAAAATTTCATCGTAATCCGTAAGGCGTAATGGAGATAAACGTACAAATAAATATCCATCCATCCAAACTTACACATTTATATAAGAAGTGTGTGTGACCTCTTTACTAATAAACTGTCTCTGATTCCTCCTTCCCCCCCCCCCCTCACATAATCAATACATTAAATTCCCTTTCCATCGTAACAATCTTGCCAAGTATGAGTGAAACAAAAATAAACCCTATCGTTTCTAGCACAGGGTCTACATTAGCAGGCTCACCTTCAACGATGACGACGCAGGAAGTCTCGTCGGTGCCGTGCACGTTGGTGGCGACGCAGGTGTACTTGCCGCTGTCCTCGGGCCGGCAGTCCACGATCTCCATGGTCACCACGCCGTCCGAGTGCGTCATGTTGTAGTCGTACTTCGACAACTCCCGCTTGTCCTTGTACCTGGAGGGATACAATTTTATTTGTAATGAAAACGATAAATGCTTTCCCAAAGGAATTCTTTTATTTCCTTTATTTTATTTTATATGTTGTCAATATTTCTTTTGAGTTGAGAAACAGCATTTAGCCAACGGCTACTTCTTTTAAAGAATTCAACAAAACATTTACTATACTCAAGAATCGTTCAACGATTACTTAAAATTGCTTATGCTGAGGTTTCCATTTATATTACCATTACTTAGTGATTCGTTAGTGTTAGGTTGACCTAAGTTTTCATCAGAGTAAAACTGAAGTTACGTAGATCGGAAACACGGAATAGTTAAATGTAGCTGATAAACCATTAGTAAGCTACAGGAAAGTACTTTTTGAGAACTTAACGAATCTGATCAGTGTATAAAAAAATCACAAGTAATGTGTACGTTCTCAGTATGTGGGAGTGGCGTATACATGTACATGTGTGCGTGGTCAGCGACATACCATTTAACAGTGGGTGTTGGCTTGCCACTAAGACAGCAGAGCAGCTTGCAGGTGTCGCGCGCCTGCATCACACGCGGCCGCAGCTGGAACGTGAAAGCGGGCGCTGTCTCGCTGGACTCCTGCCAGAACGTGTAGGGCAGCGGCTCGCGGCGACGCGGCGCCTCCGCTGCGGGCTGCCGCTGTACTCGCGGCACCGCTGCAATATAATACACAAATGTACAATTGGGTACAAAACAACACACCTATCTAACCAATTTAACATTAGGCTGATTGCAGACTAATTAGAAACAGACATGTTTAAATAAATAATAAAAATGTCGGGCTAAAAAATGTGTAAAAGTATTTTACACAGTCACTCTTTACGCGGTTCACATTTGACCAGAAAGATAGATAGTTGCATCGGCCAGTCATAGTTTGTATGAACTCACTGGCGCCAATTTGAGTTTGAGTGCTACTGACCAACTGTACTGGCTAAGTGTGGACCGCGAATTAATCTAACAATCACAGGTGGCAAAATATCGACAGTAAAACCAAGTAAAAATAGTCAAAATGAAATTAACTTCAGCCTGAGTGGGCATAATAATGTATTTATATTTATATCTATTTGGTATAGATATCCTGTTCTAATAACTTTCACATTTATTATTACCGTTCAAATATAATTTGCAAGTAGTTTTAAAAATTAATACGATAGTTTAAGACTGAATTAGTAGTTTTTTTTTCAAATGTATTGAAATTATCTATTTTACATATATTTAGTGCGAGGCGTACGGTCCAAGTGTTTGATGTGACATTTATTGGTCGGGAGAGCTATAAATATTACCACGCGTGCGATTTATCGTTCAATTGTTGAGGCAGCGGACAGCAATAACTCAGAGAACAAACTATTCTCAGACACGGAAACTGATATAAACATGCTAATTTAATGCTAACATACATGTTTAAAGCAATATCTATACTTCTATACTATTATAATAAAGCGTCACATACTTCTTTATTGCCTAAGATGTCAGCAATTACAACATATTTTTGAATACTCCTTTTTTTTTTAAAAAAAAGCCCTACACTTACGTTACGCTTTAGGCTATATATTTTAACGCTATTAAACTTAGGGGGTAAAAATTTTGGATAAAAACCCTAATGTGGGAAAGAGACCATAAGTTGTTGCCAACATCAAGGAAACAAGGTTGTCATCATGTCATGTCATTTTGACATTTGTAATTGATAATTTGACAAATAAAATAAGGTTTAATTTCATGCGGGTAAAGCCGCATGGGAACAACTAGTTACTTATAAAATCAAACTTTAGTTGTTGTCTGTAAAATTTTCGTAATAGTTAACGAAATCTAAAATAATATAAATATCTAAAATAATAGAAAATAATAAAATATGAAAGGTAAATTATTTTTGTAAAAATTCCTTTCCATATTATTATAAGGAGGAAAGATTTGTATTTTTGTATGTATTGAAATGACTCAAAAACTACTGGACTGATTTCAAAAATTCATTCACCGTTAGAAAGATAATTTATCTGTGAGTAACATAGGTTATATTATTTTTTATTTCACGCGGACGAAGTCACGAGCAACAGCTAGTAATATAAGTCAAGATAACTAATTGTCCAAATGGTAGAGATAAAGTAAAGAGGATGAGAGAAGAGGAGAGAGTGGGAGCAGAGAGACTCACGCTGCACGTTGAGGAAGACGACCTCCTCGCGGAAGCCGTAGTGGTTCTCCGCGCGGATGATGTACTCGCCGCGGTCCTCCAGCTTCGTACGGTTGATGATGAAGTAGTAGTCGTTGCCGGAGTACCTGCAAACAACAATTACATTTCAATACCATGTATAAAAAAATGATGTTAATACGATTTCTGGATTTTTTTTATACCATTAGGTGGCAAGAGCGAGCGGCCACCTGAAACCGCCGAAATAGCGAAGCGACCGCTGCCCAGACATCCGCAATTGCAGATGTGTGGTCTACTCCTAATCGACGGAGGAGGAAACGCACATAAAGAGGATATTTACTCTTCCTATGCGTCTCCTTCACCGTCAAATCCACGATCCCTTTCCATCCTCACCAATAAGAAAAGGGTGGAAAGGGAAAGAGACTAAAATTAGGGCTCCGGTACTACACTCATGGGACGAAATGCAGAATTGCTCCCACTTCACGCTTGTCTTCTGTGTGGTCGTGGTATTGGTGGGGGTAAGCCGACCCCACAGTGCGTAGATGTTAAAGCGGGTTATACCACTGTTAAATAGGTAGATATAGGTACAAATTTGTAGTTTTCACTCATTGATATTTTAACAATTCACCAGTTTCCCCGACAGTACATAAATAAAGGTGATATAATATAAAGCAGTGTTACTCAAAGTGGGCAACAACACCTCCTTGGGGGCGTTTGAAACCAAGAACGGGGCGTTATAGGGTCACAGAAAAAATGGGGGGAGTTGATGTTGGTTAGGGGGGGGGGGCAATGTATAATTTGTAATTTCATTTACTTTATACAGTATTTTAAATTTCACTAAAATTGTATAAAAATGTGGGTCGCTGAAAAATCATTGATTTTCAAAAGGGGTGGTAAAAGAAACAAGTTAAAGTAAGTGCACCTCTTCATGAACTTGACGGACTGGCGCAGCTCCCTGTTGTTGCGGGACCAGGTGAGCGTGGGCGCGGCGCAGGCCACCACGCGGCAGTACAGCTTCACCGACTGCCCCTCGTAGCAGAACGCGGACTGCGGCTTTATCACGAACCGCGGTGCGGCTTGCCGCCGGTCTGCAATACATTCATATTAGCTTTCGCTCCCCACTCCGTCTGCGTAGAGTTAAGAAGACTTTGCAACGTCATCATCATCTCCCCTGCCTTATCCGTCTCCCGGAGGGTTTCCGTCCTCCAAAACACTCTATCATTCGTCATCTCAGACATCACTTCCTTCTTGATCATGTCACGTCTAACTAACGTCAGTCTTGTTACATGTGATTCATCCCTCCTCATAACATGCCCATACCACTCTAACCTTTTACTCCTCAAGTATATGTTAAATTTTATCCAGATCCATTCAGTTTAGGGTAAAAACTCTAACAAACATCCATACATCCATCCATGCATTCATTGAAGCTTTACGAATTTATAATATTAGTAAAACATAAGATATTTACTTGGGAAAATCGTATATTTTTTTAAAATCTCGAACATTTTGTTCCATTAAGTAGATGTTTGTATAGAGGTCTCTTTCGCACCAGTAGAAAAATTGAAATTGACTCTATGGTTTTAACAATTATATACATTACTTACCGAACTGTCCATCGTAGATCTTCCATTTCTCGATGAGCAATTTACGAAGAGAACTGTATTCACTCAGCCTGCCGATGGGCAACACGAACGACGACCAGTTCTACAAGAAAAATAATCCAATAATTAATATATTATAATAAGATATTAATATTTCAAAACAAAAGTATAATACAAAATTAACCACGCCTCGAAGAGTCCATCTTTTGTCTCTTTCTTGTAACAAAATATATCCAAAAATGATATGTCCTTCAAATCACAGTTCAGATACTAATTCAATACTAACAAAAACCATCGTATATCGCCAATAGCCTAATAGTTTGGGGTACGGATCTTGCGGTCGAGGGTTCGTATTCCGCCATTCGACTATTGTGAACCATATCCTAGCACAAACCTAGAGCTTGGTTAGAGGAAACTTAATATTTAAAAACATATCTTTGTGTTAAATAAAATAGCACTGTATCTGTATAGCAATAAGGTTGAATTCCGACCTGGTATCTCGCGCGCAGCCTGTCGCGCATCTGCTCGAGGCGGCGCGCGGGCACGGGCGCGGTGCGCGAGGCCGCGCCCTCGCCCGCCAGCCAGCGGTGCGCCAGGCACTCGTGTGCTGTTAGACGCTTCCTATACACGGGAAAACAACATTTTATTAGTAAATAATCTATACATCTATACATAGAATAAAATTGAAGTGTCTATGGTATCAAAAAAATCCAGATTTCGGGAAGATGAAGTATTTAGTTGCTGATAACGAAAACAAAAAAATGTCTGTCCGCAAGCTACCTTAGCTCAGGGTAATCTCCGAAACACATGTGCCGATTTCGACCCGACTTTCACTAAAGACTAGCTGACATTGACGGGCATACTACAGGCTACTTTTTATGTTAATATTGCGTGGACGAATTCGCGGGTAACAGGTAGTCGATTATTGTCCACCAAAACCGCCATTAGTATCCCAAAAACTCCTTCATTAAACGACAACGCTTTGTTAATAGGAAAATCCCTTAATCTAGTTTTATACATCGGGACTGTCTAAATAACAATTAATTTAATACAGCTAAATTATTAATTAAAAGTACTTGTAAAGAATTAAATACATCACAAATATTTGACTTTCTGCTTGTATGACATTTTTGTATGAATGTTTAATATTGTATGACTTACTCCTTATTCTTGACAAGCAGACGTCGGATGAAGTCTTTAGCATCATCAGAGACGTGCTGGAAGGCCTCCTCGTCGAACTCCCAGTCGCACGCCTTCACGTTCTTGAGGGTCTCGATGTCGTTGTTACCAGCGAACGGCGATAGACCGGACAATCTATGAGATATTTCAAAATTAAAAGACCGCCTCTAAACGTAACATACACTAGAATTTTGTAGACAGTTGGATGGATGGATGTTTGTTAGAGTATGTAGCCTAAACTGGTGATCGGATATCGACGTAATTTGGCATAGATGTAGAGGTTAGTGTGGAAGAACACATAGGCTATTCACATTTGTTTTTTTTTTTAAATCCCACACTGACGGAGTAGCGGGCGAAAGATAGTATCATAATTGTCGAGGTCAACTGTGGTTATGTGAAGTTTTGAGTCTCGTTTGAATACTTAACAAATGGGCTCAAGGCAGTGTAAGCCCACACTTAGCGCGGTATACTCACAGCACGTAAGCGAGCACGCCGACGGCCCACATGTCGGTGTAGAAGCCGACTGGCTCGCGCTCCACGATCTCCGGAGCAGCGAACTCCGCAGTGCCAGTTGATATCTTCACTACTTCGTTCGGGTCCAATTTTGTAGCTAACCCGAAGTCAATGATCTAAAAAACAAATCATAATTAGAATCAAATGTAAAACTGTTAAAAATGTTAACTATTTAAATTGAATTTGACAAAAATAGCAACTTAATCGTCTAGTTAGATGCACAGGATAACTTAAAATTAGAGAACCACGCCCATTAACATTTAAGTAATAAAAAAACAGTACAACTTTTTTTATACAATAAGGTGGCAAACGAGCAAGCGGCCATCTAAATTCGCCGAAATGGCGAAGCGACTGACCCATCGACATCCGCAATTGCAGATGCGTTACCTACCATAAATCAACGGAGGGGAAGACGCAGATAAAGAAGATATTTCCCCTTCCTATGCATCTCCTCCAACGTCAAAACACTTTCCTTATAAGACAAGGGTGGAACGGGAAAGGGAGTAAAATTGGGACTCCGGAGTAAAGAGAAAGTAATACTTAGAAGACCAGTTCCAACCGGTTAGAGAATGACTCTCACAATATTGACAATAATACTTACTGCTATAGCAATAAGGTGCAATTTACCTTAACATCAGTGCCGGTCCTCGTCTGGCACATGACGTTCTCAGGCTTGAGGTCGAGATGTATGATGTTCTGCTCGTGCATGTGGCGCACGCCCTCGCACACCTGCCGCATGTAGTGCGCCGCCTCGGCTTCGCTCATGCTGTACCCTGGCTCCGTGATGCGCTCGAACAGCTCGCCGCCGGACAAACTGACAGATATTATAGTTAGTATGTATAGACAATAGACAAAATAAAGCTATTTTTGATTGAAAAAAAAAAACAGGACTGGCTGTGATTTTTTTTTAAATAAATGTGTTAGTTGATTTTTGTGGTTTTATTAATATTTCTTTTAACCATTCCACGTAGGCTTGAAAAAGCTCCTGCTAGTTCACGACAATATGCCGGGATTCGAACCGTCGACTGCAAGATCGGTAGTGCGTACCGCTATTGGCTCTTAAAAGTCGATAAAGTTTCTCGTCAAAATAAGTCTATTTTATGACACAAAATGTGACAATTTAAACAAAATACTCACAATTCGAATATGAGAACCATTTCATCATCATCTTCAAAGGCGTCGTGTAAATTGATCAGTTTCCTATGGTGTAGCTGATTCATTATATCTATCTCTTTCTTGATGAGCTCCTTCTCCATCGCACCGGCGACTGGTATGAACTTAGCCGCGAAGTAATTGCCGGTGCTCCTCTCGCGACACCTGTGCACTACGCCGAACGCGCCTGTGCCTACAACAGTTACACCCACCTCATGCTTGCGAACTTACACCTTATTGTGTACTATATAAGTATTAAATTCGTACTTAAGGCCTGTCCCACTAAATTGTAAATTGATAACAATAGGATTTTATCAGTGACGTCATTTTTAAGCTATCCGAGCCTCATCAACCAGTGGGACAGGCCCTTAGTCTTTTTATTACGTGCTTTCTACTTTAAATAAAACTCTACAGTTATATTTTTAAAGTTTAAATTCGTGCTTGTGTTTTTTATCGGTTTTTATGTTGTTTAATTTTTTTATAACTACATTAATTTTAAATCTGTAGTAGACGTGACAATAGAAATGCAAAAACGTGCTTAATACATAATCTACATAAATATATCCTAATTTATATGTTTAAATATATAAGTAATTAAAATTAATACCTATAATAATCATTCCGAATAAAATTATACTAAAAATTCATGCTTAAAAATTACAATAAATAATTTGAAGGTATGATTTAGACTTTTTATATTATCTATATTTTTTAATCTATGAGTTTTGTCTAAATAAACCTTCTTAGATATATTTAAAACTGTAATAGCGGTGTGCGTGTGAGACAGAGAGATGCAGACAGAAAGAGATGCACTACATCGATCCTTTCACACACAGACCTGCGCCGCGTTTCCTTTTAGAAGAGGCTCTCACGAAGTCACCTGCGAAATTCACCACTTTGTACTTATATTTAGAGTTCAAAATGTTTAACTACAATATTAGTTTAGTGTTAAGAACTATTCAACCATGGAGTCTCTCCCAAACAACTTCGTGAGTCTATTTTAGTTCTAATTTATTACCATGCTTAATTTTTATATTTAAATTTTTAAATTTAAAGCTACATTTTAAGTACATTTAAATCATTAACTTGTTCTTTTTCATTTAAATAATGCAAAAACATGCATTTTATCTTTCATTTCAAAAACATGTTTTTTATATTAGTCTTATAAAACTAAAAATATCTAAATACAAAACGTCTGTCTTTCATAAATATACAAACCACACAAGTTAAAAAAAATTGTACAATTATAAACACTTCCCTATAACCATTTAGGGTCACAATTCATAAACATGTGCGTACTCTACAAGTGCGTGTACGTTGTATGCATGCGTACTGAGTGCGTATACGTCGTGCGTGCATACGTGTGTGCGTGTAGTACATGCGTATTGTTCACGTGTGTGTGTGTTACTTACCAATCTCCTCCAGTATATCGTATTTGTCGTACACGGAGCAAGTGCTGATGTCCACTGGCTGGGGAACGTATTTGCTGTACACGTCAAACACGTAGCTGTCGTAGTCTTTCACTGGACCGTGGTCCGCGTTAGTGCGGATACGTTTGCCTGTCTCATCCACTGGAAATAAATATTTTATGATTTAATTTGTGAGCTACATAATATATATACTAGCTTTCGCCCGCGACTCCGTCCGTGTGGAATTAAGAAAAACAAAAGTGAGTAGCCTATGTGTTCTTCCAGACTATCGTCTACATCTATACCATATTTCATTGAAATCGGTTCAGCAGTTCAGGCTACAAGCTCTAACAAACATCCATCCATCTAAACTTTCGCATTTATATTAGTATGTTTTGTGCTAGAAACATTCGTATCTATTTATAAAACCTCAACTTAAGTTTTGTCTTAAAAGATAAACTTAGACTAGTTTAAATAAAGTTTGAGTCTAAAATATTTATCAAAATACACTAGTAAATTCATTACCCCATAATTCGATCGTGTGACGAATATCTAATTTTAAAAAAATCTTTTGTAATAGTTTAGAGATAAACACGCGTTTGATTTAGTGTGTTGGTAACATAACATTATTTTGCTCCAAAAAACTCCGTCGAATTAAAGCTAATTCTGCGTAACTTTGTCTTCCTTAGTATTTATTCATTGACTGTGTGGCAGTTTCTTACCTGGATATTCCTTCTTCTTGAACTCCTTTTTGATGATGGACTTTGTCTGTACGAGCGTGGTAGGCTCGCTGGGTTCCGAGCGGCCGTAGATATTCTCTGCGTAGACGCGGAACTCGTACTGCTTGCCGGGGACTAGACCCGTCACCGCCATTGTGGTGAACCTGCATGAAAAATAACAGTTTAGCAAACCTTAACATTATACGAAATGCAGGAGGCGGAAGCAATTCCGCATAAAGTCCGATGAATGTATGTGCGAGAGGCCTAATAGCCCTTTCTCTTTCCTTAAAAGATGAGAAGTTAGTTTTAACCGTGGAGAAGACGGATAGAAAAGGGAAATATCCCCTTTATGTGTTTCACCTCCTTCGGGTATAGGTAGGCAATGCATCTGCAATTGCGCTGGTCTATGGGCAGCGGTCGCTTCGCCATTTTGGCGGATTCAGGTGGCTTGCTCGTTTGCCATCTTGTTTTACTTATATTTTAAATAAAGTTTAGATGGATTGATGTTGGTTAGTTTGTAGCCTTAACGGCTGAATGCATCTCCGTGAAATTTGGCATAGATGTAATAGTTTAATCGTTGTACTTTTATTATATTATTTATTTCCAGGCAGACGGTGTCGTGGGCGAAGGCTAGTAGTATATAATAATAACCTGGTGGTGCCGACTCGTATCCAGCTGGTCATGGGGTGCTCCCTCTTCTCCAGCAGGTAGCTGGTGATGTCGGAGCCGCCGTCCCATACCGGCGCGCGCCAGCTCACCGCCAGCGAGTCCACGCCGATGCTGTCCACGGCAGGGAACCGCGGCGGGTCCGGACGGTCTACGGAATTAACGAATGAATGAATGACTGAGCGAGAGAACGAATGACATCGATTAAAAGAACGAACAGTGATGAAAGTTCGTATTTAAAATATGTTTTTTTTTTTCATTTTTTCGTAAAAAATTTACGACTAAAAAGTAAATTAGATAATGCCAGGTATATAAATGGCATGTAAATGTTATATAAAATAATTTGAAATATATGCATACCACTAATTTCAATGTTGATAACAGCCGAGTCCTGTCCCAGTTCATTCTCCGCGGTGATCCTGTACGGACCGGAGTCCATCTTGCTGGCGTCACGGATTGTTAAGATAGCGTGGCGCTCTGAAAGAACATTTAATTAAAATGTAACTTTTAAGAAAGGAGGATAGGCTTTACTGTAATTCACTGACTTTTGGTGTCAATTTCTGTTCAGGGCCCTGAAAGTCACCGACGACCTTATTTAAACAGATTTAAGTGTCCATACGTACCTTTCCTCTCGACATGGTAGTGGAGACCAGACTCGATGGTCTCTCCTTCACGCACCCACGTGATCTTGGGCACGGGGTGGCCAGTGAAGGGGATCTTGATGACGACGTTCTCTCCCTTGTCGAAGTACGCCGTGTCGCGGAACCGAGGCGGAACGTTCAGTTTCGGTGCAGCTGGAAAAAGAAAATGAAAATATTATTTCTTGTATCAAAGACGCTTAGTTAGCTTCGCTTATCTCTAGCGAGATGTCAAACAGGATGCCTTTGATATTGGATAACAATTACCGTTACCATGGCAACCTTGCTTCCTTGATTTTGTCAACTTATGGTTTTGTCCCTTTCCCGCATAACGGTTATTTTTCCATTTTACTTACTAAACTCAATAACGTGAAAATATATAGTCTGTAGCGTATTGTAAAAAAAGGCTTGTTCAAAAATGTACAGTGATTGCTGTCATTTTACTATATATTATAGAGAGGATAGATTTATATTTTTGAATGTATTTTATTAACTCAAAAACTAGCCGATTTTAAAAGTTCTTTTACCGTTAGAAAGGTAATTTATCTGTGAGTAACATAGGCCTTATTTCTTATTTACACGTGGACGAGATCACGTGCAACAGCTAGTATAGTATAGATATATGTGTCAACTGACTCATGATGAGCAGCTCTGCGCGCGTGCTCTTGACGCCGGCGCGGTTGACGGCGCGGCACACGTACTCGTCCGCGTCCTCGCCGAACACGTCCGCCACCGTCAGGAAGTGGTTGTCACCCTCGCTCCAGATGCGGTACCGCGGACCGTTGCCTATCTCACGGGCACCTACGACAAACAAACACACATATTTATTGTAAGGAATAATTAATATGAAGTTGTAGACCTGAATTAAAATACCCATGATAATTAAATAAAACCTAGTCAGGTATACGTGCACGCACGTATGCGTGCAGTACGTAAAATACTTTGATATCCCTTTAAAACTTGTAAAAAAGATCAAAAGACACTCATTTTTAAACTAGAGTCAGTATTAACTTTTATGATATTGAACTAGTTAAATAACATTAATTGAGTATTTACACAATTTACCCGACGTTATTACGATGAAGGAAAACAACGTGATACTGCACTTATGGGCGAAGAAATTCAAAGATATATGTGAAGTCAACCCGCAGGGGGCAAGCGTGGTTGACTAAGGACTTACCCCTTACTTAGGGTAGGCTCCGACCCTCAGTGGAGATGTATAGTGAGCTAGTAACGTACATAAAATATTTCGTTTCCGTGTTATGTAGAAGCTAAGACACTTGTATCTAATCGAATACTGTGAGAACTTACCCTTATACCAGGTGATGGTTGGTTTAGGTGATCCAGTGATGGTGCACTGGAACTTGGCGTTGTGGTTCTGTATGCAGTTGGCGTTCTTCAGAGGCTTCACGATCTCAGGTGGCGTTGCCGCTGTACACATAAAACATAAAGCTTTGCACAATCATGTATTTGATATGTCTACATCAAGAATTATAATTTTAATAAAACATTTGAAATGTTCAAAACACCTTCAGTTTATTTTTCCATTTTTATTATTTCTCTTTTATGATAGATATACGTAGTACTTAAGTTTATTATACTTTTAAGTAAAATATGTGATGGAAATATCGGATTTTGTTACTTTATCTGACAGTGACGTCATTTTTTAGCTATCAGCCCATGTCCCATTGGTGGGACAGGTCCTTAACCTCCTACAGTTATTTAAGCCCCACCCACCAGTCCCCCCTTCAAATCCAGGTTAACTTACCCTTAGGATCGACGACCTTGACTTGCTGCGAGGCAGTACTTGGCGGGGACACTCCAGCTTCATTCTGCGCCGTCACCTGGAACTCGTACTGACGACCTTCCACCAGGTTGGCGCAGTTCAGCTGCGTCGGCAGACACAGCGTCGCGTTCACACGCTGCCAGCTGCTAGACCCTACCTCGCGTTTATCTACCCAATAACCTGGATAATATACGTTTAATATTATTCTACGGTTTTTTATAATGTAATGTGGTAAAAACGTGTCAACCAGTAGTGGGATAGCATGGTTGATTATGGCCTGGTCACCCTAACTTAGGATAGGTTTCGAGCAACTCAGTGGGGACGTATAACGAGCTGGTGATGATAATGATGATTAAAAACGTGTTCTGTTTTTTTTTTTGTTAAAACAGAACTTAAGACGCGTATATAAATGGATGCATGAATCTAGATCATACGTGTGAGCTATTAGAATTGAGCCAAAAGGAAGTACGTAGTCTCTGCCTACCCCTCTGTGTTACAGGTGTGAGTTAAGTGAGTTTCTTGTTTCTGCCATTTACCTTGTATCCTAGCGCCTCCATCGCTTTCGGGTTTCTCCCATTCCAGATGTACGAAGTGTCCGCCCACTTCTAAGATCTTAGGCACGCCTGGTGCTGATGGCGGGTCGAATGGTGCCTTCGCCTACAAGTTATACGTTTATGATTCAATTAAGTAATTGAAAATTGACGCTCTCGCTCTCTGAACTGCTATGAGAAGTATACGCTAACAGATTGTTTAAATGACAAATGATTTTCAGTCTGACAGAAGTTTAGGAAGAGTTTTTCGAGACACTAAAGAGGAAAAATGCTTAACAAAAGAGTCCTTATAAAAATGCATTACCTTAACAGGGTTGACACCTTCCAATCCTGGTCCGATTCCATTATCATTGGCGGCGTGGACCCTAAAGTTGTACTCTTGTCCTTCTGTCAGTCCGTGCACAGTGAACTTAGTATCACGTACAGAAGACGCGATGGTTATCCAAGTGGTACCAGACACATCGATACGTTCGACCACGTAGTGCGTGATTGGCAGCCCTCCGTCGTATGCGGGCGGTTTCCATGACAACGTGCACGTATGACGCGTTATATCGCTCACTTCGAGCGGGCCTTGTGGTGGTCCTGGCAAGCCGGTCACGGTCACAGAGAACGTGTCTGATGTCTCACCAGAGTTATTCTTGATCGTCAATTTGTATATACCTGGAGATAAAAACATATATATTGTAATGTAGAACAAAAGCGTGTCAATTTTATTATAAAAAAAAAACAACTTTTATATTCACTAAACAAATGTAAAATACAGAAATCTAAATAAGATATCTAAAGGACTTACCCATATCATCTTTAGTAATATCCTTGATAAAGATGAGAATATAATCATCGAAGACTGTGTACTTGAAGTGCGGTGTCTCCGAGAGCACGCGGCCGTCACGCGACAACGTCACGTCGACCGGCTGGTCGCCCGTGTACAGGATCTTTATCTTTGTGTTGTCGTGTTCCGGTAGGTGGAGGTCGCCCGGCATGCGTGTGATGCGAGGTGGACCTGGGGACGTTCATTCATTAAGTTACGTTACTCATTCAGTCATTCATTCATTTTAAGACTACATTAAACAATACTACAATCCAAATGATTTTTTATCTAAAAACCTTGATCGTTAAAATGCGTAAAGTTTGATTCTATACTAATATTATAAAGAGGAATCATATTTTTTTATGTACTGAAATAATTTAAAAACTTTTGGGGCCTATTTCGAACTTTTTCACAAAAAAGCGACGTTATCATTAAGTAACTTTGGCTATTGTTTTACTTTTTTGAAATTTAATTCGGACATAAACATGAGCAAGAACTAGTATAAAAATTTCACTTTAATTAGAAGACAAATAAATACAAAGATGCCAATTATAATGCTGACTACAGTCAGTTTACAATACACTTACTTCCAATCTTAAGATGTGCGATACAGTAGATAAATCCGAGGCTGTTGACAGCTTCGCAGGTGTAGTCACCCTCGTCACCATCCGCCACCTCCAGGATATTCAGCTTCAGCGTACCCTCACGTGACTCCGCAATATACCTAGCGCCGAGCACGATCTCGCGGCCATTCTTGAGCCAGCGTCCAGTTGGTACTGGCGTGCCACTGGCTTGGCATTGCAGCGTGTAGGGCCGGCCCAGCGGCGCTGTCAGCGTGGCCGGCAGTGGTTTCAGCCACTCCGGTTTGACGCCGCCAGCTTCCTCTCCAGTGCGCACCGGTGTGGTACAACTGGATGGCTCAGATTTACCTGGAAACATACATGACTTTGCTTGGTACTTGATATCTGACATTTTTTTTATTAAAAAAGAGGCAAACAAGCAGCGAATAGCATAACATTAACTAACCCGACATCCATGGACATCCGCAACGCCAAAGCAATCAAGTATTTTAATTATATACAGTAAAATTTAACCATAGTCATAAAGACATTTGATATGATATAAATCTTTTCTTTTTTCATGATATCTGTCAACTCTTTCACTGCTTTAAAAAGGCTTGTACAACACTTTTATATATTTCTAACAGAAAAGATGATAAATATAAAACAAATTGCAGATGTTTGGGGTTTAATGTAATCTCCTATAAAATTAGTAGATATTTAAGATTACTTGAGTTTAAGAGACCGTCGATATGGTACGTATGGTACGTATGGTACGTAAGGTAAGGTAGAACAAACTCACCAGCAGCATTAACAGCAATAATTCTGAACTCGTAGTCGGCGCGCTCGTGCAGCTGCAGCGCGGTGTAGCTGGTGTCCTGCACGTTGTAGTCGTTGCACTTCAGCCACACCGAGCTGCTCGTCTCGCGCCGCTCGATTATGTACCCGGTTATACGGGAACCTGGAACACGTATACCGTTACACCACGCCCACAATAACTGACACCTCGTGGTGAATGCATGATGATGCATTTCAATTGTTCAATTTACTACCCGTTTCAATTTATGGCATTTAAAAAAAAACTACATTTAAGAGAAGAAAATTTCAATTTCGCCAGTTAACCAAAGACATTCCAATACGAAGTGTGAAGTGTGTGAAGTCTGAACTTATGTCTCCTTTATTATATTTTAAAAATGTCAATACAGGACAGGAGGTGGAATACTTTTCAGAGAAAGTACTGTTGAAAATAATTCGTTCATTATCTCTCGTCTATATATTAAACATCTTTGGGTACACATCGTTACCATCACACAAGTATAAATCAAGACAGAAGTCAGATATTTTTGTACAACAAAAAATTGTTAACTTGTAGTGCTTTTTGAATAAGCCAAGAAGAGTCCAGCTATTATTTTACAATCAAGACAGACATTTTGCAACAAGATATGTAGAGTTTAGTATATTACCTCCGTCGCTAGCGGGCGGCTGCCACACGAGGTCTACGTAGTTGCGTCCGACACGCAGCACGCGCGGGCTCTGCGGCGCGGAGGGCGGGGCGGCGCGCGCGCGCACGCGGAACGGCGCAGAGCTCGCCGAGTGCTTGCTCAGACCCGCCGCGTTCTTCGCGCGGACGCGGAACTCGTACTCGTGGCCAGGCTCCAGATTGTAAGCCTGGATAAATTTGTGTGAAATCTATAATCTACATGTTATTTTTGTAATTCTAACCAGAAAGTGGATGGCTACAAAGATAAAGACCGATGAAAGAATGATGGGTTGTGTGAAAGAGGTTATGATTAAGAAGGAAGTGGATTTAGATATGACGGCTGATAGAAATGTATGGAAGAGCAGCACATACTGTGTCGACGATAAGGGCAAGTTAGTGACAACAAGAGTTTGGAGTGTCGGCGATTCAGCGGTTTTGATACTTGACTTGTAAACTACAGGGGTTCGAAACCCGCCATGTACCAATGTAATATTTGAATTTTTTTAATAATTTACCCGACATTCTTACGGTGAAGGAAAACATCGACCTGCAGATATCGGCGAAAAAATTCAAAGATACGTGTGATGTCAACCAACTCTCACTGGGCCAGCTTGGTTGACTAAGGCCTAGTCACTCCAACATAAGGTAGGCTGCCTGCCCCTCAGTGGGGACGTATAGTGAGCTGGTGATGATGGTGATAAGCGTTTGCAATCATCATTTACACCGTTTGAAATCCACTGACCTGGTAATTACATTCCTTGACGAGGTAGTCAGCACTGGACCAGACGCTGTCCTGTACGTCTCTGAACTCGACCTTGTATCCTTGTATGCGCGCGCCGCCGTCGGAGCGCGGCCTGTCCCACGACACGGTGGCCGTGGAGCCATCCCAGTCCAGCACGCGCGGCATGCCCGGCGCGTCCGGGACAGTGAACGAGTACTGGATCATGTACATTAACATTAATAATAAGAATATACAAAGATATACAAGATAAAAACATTAATCATATATTTAGATTGGCTTATGAGAGTTGTTTTTGGTAATGTTGTTTTGGACAAATAAAGAATAGATAACTGTTAAAGGATCCAAAATTTTATTGTGTTATTAATTTATTTTGGTCAATGCGATCATTTAGTCTTTCGAGTGCATGCTATTAAAAAGAATACTACAAACCTTAGCAGTAATAGAGTCGTCCATGCTAAGAGGTTCAGAAACGCCGTATTGGTTTTCAGCGCGAACGCGGAACGTATATCTCTTGTTTGGTTCTAATCCCATTACATTGTAATGACAGTTGCGTACAAACGAAGATATCTTCGACCACACCTGTAAGTTAAAAAAAAAACGTAAAAATGACAATAAAAAATATGTATTTGTGAAATTAATTTTAATCAATCTATTGAGTTATCATTGGCACTGTTTAGTTGTTCTTCAGTTTCTTTCCTACTTGATTTGAATTCCTAAGTCGAAGGTTTTCACAGTCCAAACATCTTCAAAGACAACTTTACATTTTAAGTTATTTTCAAACAAGATAAATACTTACGCCAGTATTGTCCAGCTTCTCTACAATGTAATTAGTGATGGGAGAGCCGCCGTCATCTAGCGGTGGTTTCCATGACAGCGTGCAAGTGTCCGGCGTGATGTCGGAGCAGTCCAGAGGGCCTACTGGAGGAGATGGTTTGTCTACAACCAGCACCTGTGGAACAATGTTATTGGTTATAAAAGTGAAATATACAACCAACCATAACAGAAGGAAAGAATATATATGTTCAGTTTATCCATACATCTTTTAATATTACACCAGTAACCAAAAAGTGACTCACCCTGCAGGTACCGCTGTCAGAGCCCTCGCAGTTGAGGAGCTGCACGGTGTAGGAGCCGGTGTCGGAGCGCTTGGCGCTGCTGTTGAGGAACACCGTGTCGCGGTCTGACGTCACGAACCTGATACGGTTGTCCGGGAACACCTCGTCGTTGTTCACAATCCATGACACCTGAGAATGTAGGAAGCATTTTATTCATAGGAATTATAATACATTTTAATTATAGTTACAGTTGTGGTAGTTAATAAACTATAAATTTACCTTCGGTCTCGGGTTGCCGGTGAAGGGAACAGTGATCTTGATCTCCTCGCCGGCGATGACGGTGATGTCGCGCAGGCTGAGGTCGCTGGTGATGCGCGGGCAGTTGGGCGGGGCGCAGGCGCGGATCGCGTCCGAGCTCTGCGAGTATGGTCCCTGTCCTGCTGCATTCACTGCGCTTACACGGAACTCGTACTCGTGGTTCTCGATCAGCCCGGTCACACGGTACGTCGTGTCTGGAATGTGTGCGTGGCACGCCTTTGTCCATTTGTCTTCTGTGATAAGCCTCTTTTCGAGGATGTATCCGGTGATCGGGGAGCCACCGTCGTTGCGTGGCTTGGACCACGTGACTGTAATGGATGACTCCGTGGTCTCGACGGACCGTGGCACGCCAGGCGGGCCTGGCGGATCGAACGGATGTCTCGCCTTGATCGGCTCGGTAGTCTGCGCTGGCTCCGATTGGCCGTATTGGTTCTCAGCCATGACTCTGAACTCGTAGTCCCTGCCAACGGTCAAGTTCTTTACGCGGAGGAACGGTGTCGTGACGTATCCGGAGACCTTGGTCCAAGTGGGTGAACGTGCTTCGCGTTTTTCCACAACGTAGTTTGTGATCTCTCCGCCACCATTGTCTTTAGGCGGATTCCAGTAAAGCGTGAGCGCTTCGCCCTCGAATTCATCAGCACGAAGGTTTTCAGGCTTGCCTGGTCTGTCGAGGACGCGCACGTTGATCGTGGCCGTGTCGTATCCGGATGGGTTGCGGAGTTGCAATCTATACTGGCCTCCGTCTGATCTCTTGGCGTTCTTAACCACGAGCGAAGCGGAGTCCGGTGTGATCTTCTGGAATATCCTCGAGTCGCGGTCGACGTCAAGGAGGTTATCGTCGGCGAACCAAGATGCGGTCGGTTGCGGGAAACCGGTGTAAGGCACGTGAATAGAGAAATCTTCACCAGCGCGTACGGTGATGTCACGCACACCGCCGAGATCCATGCAAGGTTTGTTCGGTTGTTCTGCAATCGTAATATCGGCAGTAGGTTTGCTGGGCTCCGAATTGCCAACTTCATTAACGGCAATAACTCTGAACTGATATTCTTCGCCTTCTTTGAGTTTCGGTACCGTATGAACAAGGCTTGGAATAGGTGTGTCGTTAACGTCTTTCCAGTCTTTGTCTCCCTTGGCCTTCTGTTGAATGATATATCCCTTAATCTTAGCGCCGCCATCGCTCTTTGGCGGTCTCCACGAGAGTGTGACCGAATCTTTAGTGATTCTGTCGGGCTTAGGTGCCTCGGGAGCGCTGGGTTTGAGCCTCTGAGTTTGTGCAATAATAGGTTCGGTCGGTTTACTGGGTTTGCCAGGGCCGGCTTCGTTGACTGCGATAACACGGAATTCATAGCGGTTACCCTCGCGTAAGTCTTGGACGGTGTAGCACGTGTTGGGTGTAGGATAGTTGTTAACCTTTACCCATTCACCACCACGTTCCCTCTTTTCGACGTTGTAACCGGTAATAGGCTTTCCGCCAGTGTTAGTCGGCGGTTGCCATTCAAGGGAGCAGCTGTTTGCACTGTAGCCAGTGATCTTAGGCGTGTCTGGTGCATCAGGTGGATCGAAAGGCAGTTTAGCTATAATCGGCTTGCTCTCCAGCGGTTCGGAGAGTCCGTACAAGTTCTCAGCTCGTACTCTAAAGACGTATTTCTTGCCTTCGGTTAGATTCTTAACAGTGAACGAGCATTTCGGACAGAAACCGGCCACAGTGCGCCAGTCGTTGACACCGAATTCCGCAACCTCAACGACGTAGCCAGTAATTTCACTGCCACCGTCGTCTGTGGGCGGTAACCAGGTCAGACTCATAGTTTCGTGTGTAACAGGTGTGCATGACAATGGTCCCTTCGGTATACCAGGTTTGTCGACGACAATAACCTCAATGTCAGCAGAGTCTTTGCCATATTCATTAGTTGCAGTGATAGTGTATTTGCCAGCATCGTCTCTGGTAGACTTCTCAATGCTAAGCTTTGTCTCATCGGGACTAGTCTCAGAGGAAAGTCTGTGTGAAGGAACGAGCGGGATGGCGCCCTTGGTCCAGGTTATCTTCGGTGTCGGAGCACCTGCGATTGGAATGTTAATATTAATCGGTTCACCAGCGCGAACCTTAATCTTACGACCGATGAGGTGGTCAAGAGACAGTTTCGGTTTCTCCTTCATCGGCTTAGCAATGATAACATTAGACGGCTCAGAAGGCTGACCAGGTCCGGCTGCGTTAACAGCAGATACTCTGTATTCGTACTGGTGACCTTCTTGTACTCTATCGTCTTCGTACTCGTTGAACCTAACAGGTTCCTTGTTGACCTTGATCCATCTGCCTGTAGCTTTGTCTCTTCTTTCGACATCGTAGCCTAGAATGTTTGAGCCACCGTTCGAGATTGGCGAAGACCACTTGATCTTAATATGGTCCTTATCCGCAGATACGAGCTCTGGTTTTCCTGGTTTGCCAGGTACGGTATATTGGTTTTTGGCAACAACAGGTTTGTCGGTCACGAGAGGTTCGGACCGACCCTGCAAGTTTTCTGCGAACACTCTGAACTCGTACTTGGTACCCTCGGAGAGACGAGGAACAGTTGCGTGTGTATTTTTAGGGTTGATATAAGTAACGGCCGGAACCCAGCCGCCGCCATGAGTTAGATCACGTTTTTCAATGACGTAGGCGGTAAGTTCACTGCCGCCGTTGTCTTTAGGTGGCTTCCATGACAAGGTAACAGATTGAGCAGTGATCTCCTCGTACTCGAATGGAGGCTGTGGTGCTCCCGGAACATCCAATACGATCAGTTCGAAGCTGCCCTCGTCAGTTCCAGAGTCATTCTTCAAGAATAAGTTGTATTTGCCAGCATCTGAACGCTTGCAGTTCACAGTATGAATAATAGTGTGATGTCCCACCGAGGTGACTGTAGTCCTCTCGTTGGTTACCACAGTTCTGCCTTCGCAAGTCCATTTGACCTCCGGTATAGGCTCTCCGATAAAGTCCACGTCCACGTGGAAAATAAGACCGGCCTTGATACGAACCTCCTTAAGTGGTGTGATGATTTTAGGTGCGACAAATCTGTCCTTGGCAGTGATAATATCAGAAGGTTCACTAGGTTCAGATTGTCCGGCTTGATTGACGGCGATAACTCTAAATTCATAGTCTTGACCTTCTATTAGATCTGGCACCGTTGCCTTGGTCTGTTTAGAAGGCACATGGACCGCATTTACCCAGTACGGGCTTCCCTTCTCCTTCTTTTGGACAATGTATCCAGTAATGGGTGCACCGCCGTCGGATTTGGGTGCGGCCCATTCCAAATCTACGTGATCCTTGCTCCAGTCTGTTGCTACAGGTTTGCCAGGAGCGGAAGGTTCATCGAATTCGTTCTTCGCTACAATAGCGCGGTCCAATTCTAAAGGTTCAGATTGACCGATAGCGTTAACTGCGCTCACTCTAAACAGATATTCCTTCATGTGTATTAATCTTGTCACTTGGTGGGAAAGGAAGGTGCTCATGCCGGCATCCGACCACGTACCGCGAGATAAGTCCATTTTCTCTATGACATAATGTAAGATTGGTGATCCACCGTCGTCGAGCGGCACCTTCCATGACAGCGAGCACGAATCCTTTGTAACATCGGAGACCACGAGCGGCTTCTCCGGCCTGGACGGTTTGTCTAGTACTGTGACTTGAGCCGAAGCTGAACAAACTCCAAGATCATTCTTCAATGTCAGTTTGTAAACTCCTCCGTCGGAGCGGACGGAGAATGGAATGTCTAAGATAACCCTGTTGTGCAAAATTTGAATGTCGATTCTATCTGATGGCTGAACAACTTTGCCGTTGATCTGCCATTCGACTGTCGGCTTAGGTGATGCTTCGATCGGTATCTCATACTGTATGCGTTGTCCTGCCTTGACGGTCTTGTCAGCGAGCAACATCTTGTCGAAGTGCGGAGCGCAGAATCTGGCTTTAGCCACTTGCGGAGTGGATGCGTCACTCGGTTCACCATTACCTGCTTTGTTCACAGCGATAACTCTGAACTCGTACTCCTCTCCTTCTTGTAATCCTGGTACCGTAGCTGTAGTTTGGTTTCCAGGTACAGTGGCTGCGACTTCCCAAGGTCCGTACTTCTTCTTGGCTTCGATAATGTATCCTGTGATTGGAGTACCACCATCTTTCTTGGGCGGTACCCATTCCAAGTCCATATGGTCTTTGTCCCAGTCTTTGACCACCGGGGTGCCAGGTTTGTCTGGTGTTCCGTACGGGTCCTTGGCAGTGATCGCTTCCTGGCCTACTAGCGGTTGCGACTCGCCTTGTTTGTTGACGGCGCGGACGCGGAAGTTGTAGTCGTGTCCTTCAATCAGATGATCAATACGTATGTGGCAACCTTGCACTTCTCCGGCGGGCACCCAGCGGAGATTTTCTTGGTCCATTTTCTCAACAACATAGTGTGTGATCTCACAGCCGCCGTCGTCCTTAGGCGGGCGCCAGCGCAGCGAGCAGCCAGACTTCGTGATGTCGTCTGCTCGCAGCGGTCCCTCCGGCGCCGTCGGCACGTCCATTACTAGCACTTTGACAGTAGCAGAATCGGTGCCGTTGATGTTTTTGGCTTTAAGAGTGTATGTTCCTGAGTCTGCTCTCTTAGCGTCGATCACACGGAACTTGGTGGTGTGAGCGTCATTGACAATCTTGATCCTGTCGGTATTAAGGACAACGTTGTCGCCGTGCAGCCATTCCTTGGTTGGCGTCGGTTCTCCAGCCACGGGCACTTCAAGGTCGAAGTTCTGTCCGACCTTGATCTTGATATCAAACATGAAGTTCCTGTCAATTTTGGGTGGTAAGTTCTTAGGCCTGGCGAGATGCGGCGCTGTACCGTCGCTGGGCACGCCCTTGCCGGCCTTGTTGACGGCGCGGACGCGGAACTCGTATGTATTGCCTTCGATGAGGTCGGGAACTTTACCGGAAGTTACGTCGCCCTCGATCTGAAAATAAGTTGGACGTTAAAATTTCATTAAGAACTTAAATATTTAAAATATTTAATATATTACAATTAAATACAAAATTGTACAACAGTTTTTTAAAATGTACCTGAGCACACTCCTCCCAGTCTGGTGAGAAGCGGTCCTTCTTCTCGATGACGTATCCCGTGATGGGAGCTCCACCATCGGTCTCTGGGCGGGTCCATTCCAGCTCCACAAAGTCCTTGTCGAAGTCCTTGATCTTGGGCGTGCCGGGCTTGCCGGCCACGTCGAATGGATTCTTAGCTTCAGTAGCGTGTGGTGTCGTGAGAGGTTCTGATTTACCTTGCCTGAAAAAAACAATAGAAGATTTCTAAATTATGAAGAAGTCTTTTATCGCGTCTGGCATAGTCCGCAAGAGGGAGTAATGGCTATAATAAAAAAATCATAGTAAAGTACCGTACCTGTTAACAGCACGTACTCTGAACTTGTACTTGTGTCCGGGCTGCAGGCCGTCCACCGGCAGGCTGGTCTCCGGGCCGAGGGTCTCCCCGGCCTGCACCCAGCGGCCCGTGGCCTCGTCCATGCGCTCCACCACATACTTCTCAATGGGTTGGCCGCCGTCGTCTGCCGGCGGGTTCCATGATAGCTTCGCACCGTTTGCGTGCACGTCTGATACCTGGAAGTGTATGAATATTGAAATACTGCACTAATATACTAATACGTCATTAATTGATCACTAAAGGAATCACATCGTATGGATTTAGTAGTATAAACTTTCACTAAGGACAGTAAAATTGATGTATGGGTCGTAGTTTGTGGTGTTTTTCTTCTAGTCGAGAATTTAGAATTCGCACCTACAAATACGTACATTCTAAAAGGTTCTATATACATTTTGGTGGCTTTACCTTTGACAAAGGAGAATCTAAAAAGCCAAAATTTAATTTATTGTTTCTCAAAGAATTTCACTGCAGCTCCTTCTGTTAGTCATCATTTTATCTAATATTTTAGTAAAGTACCTTGAGTGGTCCTCCAGGCGGGCTGGGCACGCTGAGCACGATCACCTCGACCTCCGCCACGTCTTTGCCGTTGACATTCTCCGCGGTGATGGTGTAGCGGCCGCTGTCGGACCTGGTGGCCGCCTTGCACGTCAGCTTCGTGTTGTAGTCGGAGTGCTGCACCTTCATGTCGCCGTACGACTTCACCTCCTTCTTAGCTAAGAACCACTTCGTCTCCGGCATCGGTTCACCTGACACCTAAAGATAATTTGAAATTAGTTCTCTGTACATTAACAATCTATACATATAATAAAATTGGAGTGTCTGTAATATGAAAAGAAAAATCCAGATTTCGGGAAATTTGCGTTGCAGATAACGAAAATCGTATTAAAAACATTTTAGTCTGTCTGTCCGCAAACCGTGTTTGTTCCGGGTAATCCCCGAAAAGATTGGTCCGATTTTGAAGAGATTTTCCCTGGAGGGTAGCGGACATGGACGGGCATATTATAGGCTATCTCTATAACGGGTGGGCCGATTTTGTCGGGACCTTGTCTTGAAAGTAGCTGGTTGAAGGTAGAGGCACGGGAATATTATAGATATCCATTTTTTAAATTCAGTGCTAACGAAGTTTGCGTGGACAGCTAATATTAACTAAAATAAAATAACTCGTTATCGTTTTCACCAACCTTGACGTCGAATGCAAACTTCTGTCCGACTTTGATCTTGATATCAATAAGGTTGGTCCTGTCGATCTTGGGCGCCATGTTGCGCGGCTTGGCCACTATGGGGTGTGTGCTGTCGCTGGGCTCACCCGGACCCGCCTTGTTCACCGCTCGCACCCTGAATATACAATTCTTTGTCGTGAAAGGTATAAATGAATGGGTTTCAAGATTTATGGCGGTTCAAGGTCATCTACTTTGAGCAGTGACAAGATATTTGAACTCCGAAATACTTTCATACTAATATAATAAATGCTAAAGTTTAAATGGAAGGATGTTTATTAGTTTGTAGCCTAAATTGCTAAAAAGATTTCGTTGAAATTTGGTATACATGTAGAGGATAATCTAGAAGAACACATAGTCTATTAACTTTTGTTATTCTTTTAATTCCAAGAAGACGGAGTCGCGGGCGAAAGCCAGTCTTTACATAAAATAGTAATAAAACATAGTACAAACCTGAACTCATACGTCTGACCTTCGACAAGGTCAGGCACGGTGGCGGTGGTCTTGCCAGCCGGCACCTCCAGCGCCTTCTCCCAGTTGCCGAACTTGTCCTTCTTCTCCACGATGTAACCCTCGATGGGTGCACCGCCGTCTTCCTTCGGCGGGGTCCATTTGAGGTCCACGTGGTCCTTGTCCCAATCAGTCACGGAAGGTGTGCCTGGCGCTCCTGGGGAATAGAAAATTAAATTTTAAATAAAACTGAATTGAAGGTTTACGATACATTGCACTTTAAATATACGTATGTAATTTTACTTTCGGCATTAAATAAATAAACACATACGTAGTTCTTTTCAAATATTTTGTATGGTCAAGGTCAACCGCACTTAGTACCCTGGCGACTCGCGCAAAGCTAAGAGCCGCCAATATATCTGATAACTACTGTGTAGTCATTTAAAACACATATCATTGTATAAATCCAATTAAGAGTAATAAAAGTATTTTTTTCAGTTTAGTTAGGAATTAATTTGCTTTAGCATATCTTACCAGGTTCATCAAATGGATTCTTGGCGACGATGCTGGTCTCGGAGACGAGAGGCTCCGACTCGCCCTCCGAGTTGACGGCAGACACGCGGAACTTGTACTCCTTGCCCGGCGTCAGACCCGTTACTTCGCATTCTGATACAAAAACAAATTATATGAAAACACACTAATCGTAAATCTATGAACGAAAGCGATTGTGAGCTTTTGCCCACGACTCCGTCTGCGTAGGATTAAAAAACAAAAGTGAGAAGCCTACGTGTTCTTCCAGACTGTCCTCTACATCCATACCAAATTTCATTGGAATCGGTTCAGCCGTTTAGGCTACAAACTCTAACAAACATCCATTCATCCATCCATCCATCTAAACTTTCGCATTTATAATATAAGTAAGAAGTAAGATTTTTGTGGTCGGTAATATTAAAATTATGAAATACTCTTCAAATAATATTGCATTTGGTTTGAAACGTGACTTAGCTTATACCGAAAGAATAACAATCAATGTAAGTTCATAATTAACATTAGGAAAAAAATCACATTTTATTATAATATTATTCCAATCCATATCTATACTAAGATTTACTTTGAGACAGGTTACGTAAGGTGCAACATGAAGCACATTTAATGTAAATTAAATATAGTGTAGGTGCACTCACTTGGCTCCTCGGAGCGCGCGCAGGGCACCCAGCAGCCAGTCTCGGTGTCCAGCTTGTCCACCTGGTAGTACTCGATGGGCGCGCCGCCGTCGTCCTTCGGCCGCTTCCATTTTAGTGTCGCACCTTCTTTGTGCACGTCAGAGATCTGCAAACATTCATTTTGTGGTAAATTTAATGTTCTTTTTTTTTGCATTTTACGTTAAGACACTTATGAATATGTATTGTTCTTCACAAATAAGGAATTGGCTCCTGCAGCACAGGGGAACCTAGTGCAGGAGCCAAGGCTCTCATGAAATGTATATTTTCAAAAGTGAAATAGTAAAGGATTTTTTTATTTATAAAAAAAATAATTAAATCCATTCAGATGACAGCATTTTGAAAGTTTCAACATATTTCAACGTTATTATAGTTAGTGTCTATTATAAAGCCTTACCGATACAATTAATTTTCAAATTAAAATACGTAATCCAAGAGAGTTTTGCTTAGATTTATACAAAAATAAGATTTACAGTATGTGGCATTCTTTCAAAATGGCGGTGTATATGCCATTGCCAAGGCTTCGTAATAGACACTTACTAAAACGTCTAGGTTTTACATATCTAGTTGTTTTGGGGAGGCGAAACGCCGGTTTTCTATATTTATGAAACAAATTTGAAAAATCAATATAACTAAAAAAATGTGTTTTTGTTTGTATATGTGATATTTTATAAGTGTGAGTTATTAGGAAAAAAATCTATAGTCATGCAATACTTGATTTAGACAACTAATAAAACGTTCTTTAAACTTTAAACTTGGAATATAAAACCTCACCTGTAGTGGTCCTTCAGGCTTAGTTGGCTTGTCAGTGACCACCACGTTGATGGTAACGGTATCTTTGCCACTGGAGTTGACAGCAGTGACGGTGTACTCTCCGGAGTCGTCGCGTCGCACCGGACGTATCACCAGCTTGGTGAAGTACTCAGGTGAGTCGATGGTCACCGCTTTAGATGGTCGCAGAGGCATATTTTGGTATCTGTGAGGAAAAATAATACTTTAATGAGTGTATTAGAAAGGCATAAAATAGCTAAGTATATAACATTTTGAAAAATATCTATAAACAAATGAATTTCAGTCATACTTTGATTTCTTTCTGAATAGATTAAATTTTCAAGATCTATGTCATAATATAGAGTATAAATTGATAAATATCTTAATTTCTAGTAGAGTATCTACATATAAAACTAATCAATTTAAACAAGTGGTAAATATTTTAATACCAGTTGGGAATGTCGCAAAAGAAAATTATAGATATGGGCGGAGCCTAATTGAATATGGGACACGCCCCTTCGCGCACCATTCAAGTGCTGACTAAAATATCATTTTTATAATCATACTTTTAACTGAGACTTCATATGCGCGTAATTAAAAAACCTAGTAAGTAGCTTATGTGTTCCAGATTATCTTCCACATTTATGCCAGATTTTATCGAGATCTGTGCAGCAGTTTAGGCTACAAACATCCATCCATTCATCCATCTAAACTTATTGAGATCTGTTTTGCAGTTTAGTCAAAGTCTTATATCCATCCATACATACTTTCGTAAGTATAATACCTCCATTCGACAGCAGGCGCTGGCTCGCCAGTAACAGCCGCTTCCAGTCGGAGCGCGGCGCCAGCGGAGAGCGTGACGTCACGCAGATGGCGGCGGTCGATCTTGGGCGCGAGGAAGCGCGGCTTGGCCACGAACGTCTTGCTGGCCTCTGACGGCTTGCTCTGCCCCGCCTTGTTCACCGCCACCACGCGGAACTGGTACTCGTTGCCTTCGATTAGGCTGCAACACAATTTTATCAATAATTATAGTAATATAAAGCATAGACAGACTTTGTTATGAAGAAAGTCAGAAATTAAAATATTATTGAATAATTCTTTAATAAAAATATCTACACCTATTACACATAGACTTTAAATTTTTATGCTTTTAAACTTAGGGGGTAAATAATTTGGAAAAAAACCGTCATGCGAGTAAGACACAAAGACTACAAGCCAATAGCAGAAAAGAAAAAAACCTTTAACAACCTTAGTGGTCATTTGTGCATTTGAATTTCGACATTTGCAACTGAAAGTACAAATGTAAACAATAACATATTTTTTTTCCCTTCCAGCAGATGAAGTCGCATGAGAACAACTAGTATTTCAAAAATATATCCTTTCTAAATAGGTTAACATTTACCCATTAATAGTAGCACTGGGCGTAGGCGTGTGAGTCTCCAACGCCTTCTCCCACAACGGACTGTACTTGTCCTTCTTCTCAATGATGTAACCAATGATGGGTGACCCGCCATCCGATACCGGCGCCTCCCACTTCAGGTCCACGTGGTTGGCTGACCAGTCATCGGGCACTGGCGCTGTCGGCGCGTCTGGTACAGCTGTTGACGAAAGCGTAATATTAAATAGTTTACTTAGACAATGTTCCAATATATTTTAACTTAAGTATCTTAAACTTTTATGTCACGATTAGCGGATTTTAGACCTAGAGGAGAAAAGTGGATTTGACGGTGGAGGAGACGCATAAGAAGGGAAAATGTCCTCTTTATGTGCGTCTCCTCCTCTGTCAATTAAGAGTAGGCAACGCATCTGCAGTTGTGGATGTTTATGAGCAGCGGTCGCTTTCCATTCCGTTGTATTCACGTGGCCGCTTGCTCGTTTGCCATCTTTCATTATAAAAAAGACAAATTACGGTTATCGAAACAATCTTTCTAAAATTATAAATGCGAAAGTTTGGATGGATGGATGTTTGTCAAAGTTTGTATCCTAAATGGCTAAACGATCGATTAAATTTGGCATAGATGTAGAACATAGTCTGGGAGACCATATAGGGTACTTCCTATTGTTTTTTAGTCTTGGACCTAGTAATTTATGGTGAAACATAGAACAACATTGACAGTCAAAAAGTTAGTAAAGTGTACATTAAAATAACTTACTAAATGGATCCTTAGCGACGATAGCGCCGAATGTCTCCAGCGGCTCCGACTCGCCTTCCTTGTTGACAGCTTTCACACGGAACTTGTACTCGTGTCCAGGAATTAAACCGTCAACCTATTACAAAAATTATAATAAGTTTGCAGAAAGTATCAGAAGAAACTCGTATATCGATTGTTCGTCTCTATCGCTAGTTCTCTCGCTCGCACATTCAATGCATATTTTTGATTTAACTATACTAATGTAGTAAAGCGTAAACACACACTACTTCGTGGCGTAGGCTGTCAGCAATCACAGCATATTTTGAATAATTCTTTCCTTAATATAAAGCCTTACACACGCTTTAAAGTACATATTTCCAAGCTAATAAACTCAGGAGTAAATAAATTGTAAAAAAACCCTTCATGTGAGGAAGAGACCATAAACTAAAAGCTGCCAACATTAAAGAGACAAGGTTATTAGAGTAACGGTGATTTTGACATTTGCAATTGAGAATTTGACAAATTTAAACAATAAAAAAAAGGTTTTTCATGCAAATGAAGCCGCACGAAAACAGCTAGCTAATCATATACCTCCATCTCAGGCACGTTGCCGAGGGTCTTGCCGACTGGCAGCCAGGTGCCAGTCTCGGTGTCGTACTTCTCCACCAGGTAACCCTCGATGGGCTCCCCTCCATCGTCCTTGGGCCGCTTCCACTTCAGCGTGCAGCCCTCTTTGTGTATATCAGATACTTCTAACGGTCCCTCTGGTTTGTCCGGTTTCGCTGAAAAGATAAGTGCAATTTACCGTTTAGACTGAAAAGGACAACTCTATGGATTTTGGTTCAGAAAAGCGTAACAAATAATATAAAAAATGTAACAGCTCTGTTTTCCCTTTTCTATATTCTCATAACCTTTAAATAGTTCCTACATTTCTTTAGCCGATAGACAAAGTCTGAGGGGTAGCTAGCATTAATATAATTCGAAGTAATTTTCATAACTATTTTAGATTTTTCTATTTATGAAGGGGTTGCCCCCCCATGTTCAAGTTACCAGTAAAGTCAAGAAGTACAATTAACTTACAAGTAACAGTGATCTCCAGCTCGGCGGTGTCCTGTCCGTACTTGTTGACAGCTTGTATCTTGTAAGTGCCGGAGTCCTTGCGGCGCGGGCTGGCGTGCTGGTACTTGCTCAGGTAAGGTACATTCACCACTGCACAGAAACCGGTTATTTATAGAAAATATCAAATATTTTTAAGCAGGAACGAGTCTCCAGAAGACAATTTTAAGTATAGCAGAACAGTATTCTAACTACAAAGAGGAAAGATTTGTATTTTTGGTTTTTTGTATGTATCAACTCAAAAACTACTGCTTCCATCCTAGTAAATCTTTCACCGTTAATCTACGTTATCGCTAAATCACATAACGCTATATATTTTACTATTTTTAAAATTCACGTGAACGAAGTCGCGAGCAACAGCTAGTTCAATTATAAAGTGAAAATGTTTCAAAAACATTTTTTAATTCAACAAACTAATAATCCTATTTTGACATCCAATGACATCATCATCATCCACTTGCCCTTATCCCTTACGGAGGGTCGGCACAGTATGTGCTGCTCTTCCATACATCTCTAACAGCTGTCATATCTGAAACTACTCCTTTCTCAAGCATATCCTCTTTCACACAATCCATCCATACTTTCTTCGGTCTTCCTCTTCCTTTGTAGCCATCCACATTCAATCTTAACACTTTCTGGTTTATGTCCCCATCATTTCGTCGCATAACATGTCCATACCACGCTAACCTTTTGCTTCTCAATTTCTCCACCACTGGCGCTACTTTCAAACTTCCTCTAATGTACACATTCTTAACTTTATCCAATCTTGTCACACCACACATCCATCTTAACATACGCATCTCAGCCACATGCAATCTCCTTTCATCCGCAACTTTGGTGGCCCAACATTCAGATCTATACAATACGACAGGTCTTACGATGGACTTGTAGATCTGTCCCTCAAGCCTATTTGACATCCAATGATATCATATATAAATAAAATCTATGATACAGGGTTTAAAAACATAACTAAAACTATTTTTAATTTTCAACAACGCAATATTGAGTTGGCAAAAGAGTCACTCTCGTGTCGGAGGCCAACACCCCCTTTGGATCGCTACCCTAGCGCATTAAAGAATAAATAAAGTAGTATTTTTAATATAAGGTACGTACACTTAAGCCCGTTACCCGAGGTGACGGACTTGCCGGCGAGGGTCCAGACGACGTCGGGTGCGGGCTCGCCCGTCACCTTCACGTCCAGCGCGATAGGCTCGCCCTCTCGCACCTTGATGGGACGCAGATTACGACGATCGATCTTTGGTGCCACTGGAATTATATAAATACAATTATATTATACTAATATTATAAATGCCAAAGTGTAAATGTATGTTCTGCTTTTTTTTCTTCTTCTACAGTATATTATAATGATTGTATACGTTAAACATGCAATTGGTGTACCTTTCTAATAAATAAAATAAAAAAAAAACTGCTGAATGGATCTCAATGAAATTTAGCATAACTACAGTTTAAAAAAAAAACATAGGCTATTTATTGCTTTTTTTTTAATACCATGCAGATACAGTCGCGGGCGATAGATAGTGTCCTATATATAAAAAGTAAACTAACTAACTTAATGATCAAAGCAAAACAACTGCGTCTAGAGTTCCCTTTAATAAGGAAAGGATTTTAAAATACATTCTCTAATTGTCCAAAAAATAACTTCTTACATCTCCTAGGTTTGCACACGACGGACTTGCTGGCATCACTGGGCTCGCCGGGGCCGGCCTCGTTCACCGCCTTCACTCTGAACTCGTACTCCACGCCTTCGTCTAGGTGCGGCACTGTCGCTTTCTCGTTATCATTTGGTCCAACCTGGAAATATAAATTAGCATATACAGCCAAAACATTCACACTTCTATACTCTCTTACTAATATTATGGATGGATGGATGTTTGTTAGAGTTTGTAGCCTAAACTGATGAACGGATCTTGATGAAATCTGGCATAGATGTAGAACATACTCTGGAAGAACACATAGACTACTGTTTTGGTTTTTTTTTTAATTCCACGCGGACGAAGTCGCAGACGAAAGCTAGTAATATAAATACTATAAAGCGTAAACACACACTTAGTTACGTAGGATTTCAGCAATCACAGCATGTTTATAATTACGCCTTTTTTAATCAAAACCTCTACACTATATTACACTTAGGGGGTAAATTAATTGACAAAACTGTCATGCGGAAAAAGGACAAAAAGTACAAGCCAATAGCATCAAAGAAGCGAGATTCCTATGTTAAAGTTATTATATTTTTTAATGTCAACGGCGTTCTTTATTTGTGCATTTGAATTGTGACATTTGCAATTGAAAGTTATTGTATAACTTTGTAAACTCTCCACTCGGGAACTCCTAATAATTTTTTACAAGTCCAAACTTCTAGATATGTTACCTCGCAGGCTTTCACCCATTTGGGTGAGCCGACTTCTCTCTTCTCGATGATGTAACCGGTGATGGGCGCTCCGCCATCCTTGATGGGCTTCTGCCACTTGAGGTCCACGTGGTCCTTGTCCCAGTCCACCACCTCCGGCGTGCCAGGCTTGCCGGGCTCGTCTGAAAACATTCATTTGGAACCATTTCATTTTAAGAGTATTATAAACGTGCAAGTTTAGATGGATGTTTGGTAGAAGATATCTCCAGAACAGCTTAACTGATTTTGACCAAATTTGATAGATGTAGATCATACTTTGGGACATAGGCTGCTTACTATTTTTTTAATTTCGCGCATAGTTGCGGACAACAGCTAGTCGTTTAAATATATTTGAGTGAGTGTTTTGAGTGAGAGTCGATAACAGACTTATAATTTTAGCTGGAAGATTTTCCTGCGTCTTTGACCGAATGCAATAAGTCCGAAATTAAGCAAATTAAAATGTCAAATTAAATTTGTTACCAACACCTGTATATAATGTAGTAATTATGACTACAATATGAGGCTTATACTAGTAAATATTTATTTCCACAGTACAGTAAACAGAAGACTAAAGACAAATAAAATGTTAACTCACCGAAGGGATTCTTAGCGATAATCGAATGTTCTCCCTCCAAAGGTTCAGAGACACCTTCGTTATTAACAGCGGAAACTCTGAACTTGTACTCGTGTCCCGGCACCAGGTTCTCCACCTCGGCCTTGGGGTCCTTGGTCTTGAGCGCGGGCACCCAGCGGCCGGTCTCCGTGTCCAGTTTCTCCACTAAGTAGTGGTCGATGGGGGCGCCACCGTCGTCCAATGGCGCGTTCCATTTCAATGTGCAGCCTTCTTTGTGCACGTCCGATATCTATGGACAACAGTAATTAGATGATTATATATGATAAAATTCTAAGAATACGTAGAATGGTAAATAATAATTAAATTATTTTTTTTACTATGTAATATTATATATGTAAAATTTAAATTATTGTACGTTAAGAATAAACTATACTGGAAAGATTTCAGAAATTTTATAACCATATTAAATATATGTGCGCTATATTTATTACCAGTTGTTGCTCGCTACTTCGTCCGCATGAAATTCAAAATAATAAAAAATATAGTCTATATTACTCAGCGATAACCTAACTATTTATTGGTGAAAAATATACAAAAATACAAATCTTTCCTCTTTATAATACTAGTATAGACAAGATTTTTTTGATTTAATGTGGACGAGGTCGCGAACAAGTTAGTCATTGTATAATAGCTACATCCACACTTTTTTTTATAAACTCACAAGTTACGTTTTACTACAAACTTCTAACGCATCAAATTAATTAATTCAAGTAGTCCCACACTAATCTTACCTTCAGCGGTCCTTCAGGCTTGGCTGGTACATCCAGGACCTTCACCTCAATAGAGGCTTCATCTCTTCCGCTGCTGTTCTCAGCCTTCAGCACGTATGTGCCGCTGTGCTTGCGCGAGGCCACCACCACGGAGAGCTTGATGCGGTACTCCTCCGAGTCTATGGACAGATCGTCCCGTGTTGAGAGACGCTCCTTGTTCTGGAACCTGCAATTATATGGCCTTGAGTAATTTGCACAATAAAACTGATAAATTAAAAAAAATGTATGGATGGATGTTATTCAAATCTTGATGGATGGATGTTTGTTACTATATATCTTTAAATCCGCTAAAGTATCTCCATAATGTATATCATAGTCTGAAAGAATATACGTTATATTTTTTTTTAATTCCGTGCGGATGATGACGGGCAAATACCATACTAACATGAAAATATGACATACTTCTTTCTAATATTTGGATGATCATCAAAAACATTACTCTATCATTCTAGTTGTTTTAAAACTTATGTTATTGTAAATCCATACTAATATAATCTTAATAATAGAAAAGATTTGTATTTGTTTGATGTAAAAACTACTGGGCTAATTTGAAAAATTCTTTCACCATCAGAAAGGTAATTTACCTGTGTGTAACATAGGCTATATTTTTTACTATTTTCATGCGGACGAAGTCACTGGCAAAAGCTAGTAGGAAAATAAAGATATAAACTGCAGTACATACCATGTCTTGGTCGGTGGCGGTTCCCCGCTCACCTTCACATCAAGTCTGATCATCTGACCAGCCTTGATGGTAATATCGCGCATGTTGGTGCGGTCAATCTTAGGCGGGGCTGGAAATAATCACAAAAAAATTACATTAGAATGAACGAAAACACCAATTTTTATACCCACGAGGATTTTGGAGGAGTTGGATGGTGTAAAAGATTGCTTAAGGGAGTGAATTTAGGTATGACGGCTGATAGAGGCATGGAGCAGTAGATACTGTGTCGACTGTAGGGGACCAGAGCAAGTTAAAGGATAAAACGAAAAAAAAAAGAAAACCAACCGAATCTATCCTTAGCCAATAAGTTATCTGTGGCTTGCGAAGGTTTGCCTGGGCCGGCCTTGTTGACCGCCTTCACACGGAACTGGTATGTTTTCCCTTCGATTAAATCAGGCACACGAGCCTCTGTCTTGTGTCCGGGGACCTGAAAATTCATACATACAAAATTAGAGTACGTATACGTATACGTGCCCGTTTACGTACGTATACGTATTAGTAATAACATAAATTCATTTTTTTACATATCGCTTGACATAGAATCAACGTGTCTTAATATACGTACTATTTCTTTACTATGTAGTTTATAGTCGAACCTGGATAAACAAGTCTTAAGGCCTGTCCCATCAATGGCTGATAGAGGCTCAGATAGTTTAAAAATGACGTCACTGTCAGATAGGCGAACAAAATCCGATTGTTATCAGACAATTTACAATTTAGTAGGACCAGCCATTTAGACACTTATCCAATTCTCACGTTTCAAGTAGAACTGTACAATATCAGTCATTATTAAATTCTAAGTAAGTATGTTTTATAAGAAAACTAACCTCAACAGCTTTCACCCATTTGCCGGTGTCGCGGTCCTTCTTCTCCACGATGTATGCAGTGATGGGGGCGCCACCGTCGTTGGCAGGCTTCTCCCATTTGAGGTCCACGTGCTGTTTGTCCCAGTCCTTGATATCTGGCTTACCAGGTGCATCCGGTTCACCTAAACGAGAAATCAATTAATCACAAACTCTACAAAGAATTAAGTGTCCTAAGTGACCAAAAAGTCTGTAAGTGTGTCAGTTAGTGACCATTTTATATACTCCATACTAATATAATAAAGCGTAAACACACATTACTTTGCGGCGTAGGAGTCAATCACAGCATATTTTTGAATAATTCATCCTTTAAAAAAAATCCCTACACCTACGACACGCTTTAGGCAATATATTTTCACGCTATTAAACTTAGGGGTTAAATGAATTGGTAAAAAACCTTCATGTGGGAAAGGGACCATAAACTACAAGCTTCCAACATTAAGGAAGCAATGTTATTAAGGTAACGTTGCAATTGACAACTTAACAAATGTAAATAAAATAATGTTTTTATAATTAAGGCCGCATAGGAAGTTAGCCTTACCATAAGGATTCTTAGCTGTAGTAGCGGTTTCAGTGACGAGCGGTTCACTCTCTCCCTCAGGGTTGACAGCCTTCACCCTGAACAAGTAGTCCTTGCCCTCGTTGAGTCCCGTGACGTCAGCCTCCGGGGTCTTGGTGGTGCAGACGGGCACCCATCTGCCCGACTCGGTGTCCATACGCTCAACAACGTAGCTCTCGACAGGCTCACCACCGTCATCTTCTGGAGGCTCCCACTTGAGCTTGCAGCCGTCTGCTTTCACATCAGATACCTGGAAACAATACATATATTAACTAGCTGTCTCTCGCGACTTTGATAGCGCAGTATAAAAAGAAAATTAGACTACAATTTTACCGCACCAGTCAAATAACGCAGTTTCCGAGGAATAAACATAGCTAAACAGACAGACAAAAAATCGTCATCAGCCACGCGTGTTAACGAAATATGGATTTTTAGATACAACTTCCAGACTGATCAATTTTATTATCTGTATAGATGATATTTTTTTTTTATAATACGAGGTGGCAAACGAGCAAGCGCGACCTGAATCCACCGAAATGGAAAGCGACCGCTGCCCATAAACATCCGCTATTGTAGATGCGTTGCCTACCCTAATTGACGGAGGAGGAGACGCACATAAAGAGGACATTTCCCCTTCCTATGCATTTCCTTAACCGTCCAATCCACTTTTTCCTCCCATCTTTTCCTCTTAAGAAAAGGGTGGAAAGGAAAAGGGACTAAAATTAGGCCTCCGGCACCATACTCATCAGACGAAACGCGGAGTTGCTTCCACTTCACGCCTGTTTTCTGTGTGGTCGTGGTATTACACCGGGCAGCCGGCCATTCGTGCGAAGATGTTAAAGCAGGCTCTACCACTGATATGCACTATGCACTAATGTATTGAGGTTGACTAATCTATATTAATATTTTTGAATGTATTAAAATAACTCAAAAACTAATGAGACGATTTCAAAATTATTTCACCGGTAAATAGCTACATTATCAGAGTAACATAGGCTATATTCATTTTTTGCCTCGCGGCCGAAGACGCGTGCAACAGCTTGTGTACTTACTTGCAATGGTCCTTTAGGCTTAGTAGGTTTGCTAACAACGGACACTTCCACATCCACAGTATCAGTGCCGGAGTCATTCTTGGCGGTGACGGTGTACTTGCCACTATCAGCTCTGGTCACCTTCAGCAGTGAGAACGAGGTGTGATAGTCTTTGTTCTCTATCTTCAGCCTTTCTTCTGTCTTGAGGGCTTGTTCGTTGAAGGTCCAGGTGATGGTAGGCTCGGGCTCTCCCTTCACATCGGCCTCCATCTTAAGGGTTTGGCCAACCTTGATCTTTCTCTTTTGTAGGTATTTGCGGTCGATTTTAGGTGCCACTGTAAACAAATTATTGATTAATTTAACTGAATCTATACTAATATAATAAAGCGTAAACACACTACTTTGTGGCGTAAAAGTCCTACACTTACGACACGCTTTAGGCTATATACTTTCACTCTATTAGACTTAGGGGGTAAATAAATTAAAAAAAAATGTGGGAAAGGGACTATAAACTACAAGCTGCCAACATTAAGGAAGCAAGGTCATTGGTAACAGTAATGTTAACATTTGCAAATGAGAATTTGACAAATGGAAACAGTAAAATAAAATTTTTATAATTTCCGCTAGTTTTCAGTAAATGCTGTTATTTTGAATGTGGAAATTAGTGATAATTACAGAATCTAGGCTTGGCGATGACAGATCGACTTGGCTCCGAGGGCTCTCCGGGGCCGGCCTTGTTGACGGCGATCACACGGAACTGGTACTCGTGGCCCTCCTCAACATCAGTGACACGGCCTGTGGGCCGCTCGCCGCTCGTCTTCAGACAGTCTTGCCATGTTCTGTAACCATAATTTAAACATTTTCAACCTACTATTATTACAAATGGGAAAGGATGGATGGATGGATCTAGCCACAACTACTGAACGGATCTCTTTGAAATTCGACATAAATGTAGAGAATAGTCTGCAAAAATACATAGACTAATTACGTTTCTTTTTAAGTCCGCGCAAACGGAATTGCGGGTCAATGCTCTTATTATAAAGAGGAGAGATTTGTATTTTTATATGTTTCGAAATAACTCAAAAACTACTGGACAGGTTTTAAAAATTCATTCACCGTTAGAAAGGTAATTTATCTGTGAGTAACATGGGCTATATTTTTTGATATCACGCAGACGAAGACGCGAGCAACAGCTTGTAATACATATAAGATGAATTACTCATAGCTTTACTATTCAAAGAGGCTTTATAAGAAGGGTATATATACCTTCCACCCTTCTCTCGTTTCTGTACAATATAGCCAATGATGGGCGCGCCGCCGTCTTCCTTGGGCGGGGCCCATTCGAGGTCCACAAAGTCCTTGTCCCAGTTACGGGGCTCAGGGCGACCAGGTTTGCCGGGCTCGTCTGAAAACGTTACATTTGGCAAACATTAACATACAGAGAAACTTCTATATTTGGAACGCCTATTATAATATAAAATACAATAATGTAGATAGTAGGATGCCCTAATATTTCCTCTAAATAGCTTGGTAATAATTTTAACATTACGTTTTTGTACTCTGCAAAAGATAATGGTTTCGAGAACCTAATTACACTGAAATCATAAATGCGAAAGTTTAGATGGATGGATGTTTGTTAGAGTTTGTAGCCTAAACTGCTGAACAGATCTGGATGAAGTTTGGCTTAGATATAGAACTTATTCAGGAAGAACACTAAGGCTACTTACTTTTGTTTTTTTTTTTTTTAATTCACACTGACGGTCATGGGCGAAAGCTAGTTATATTTAAGTTACCGTATGGGTTCTTAGCGATGATAGGTTTGTCAGTCTCGAGTTCTTCAGACTCTCCCTCCTTGTTGACAGCCTTAACACGGAACTTGTAAGGCTTGCCCTCCTGCAGACCCGCGACATTCGCCTTGCAGTCCTTAGCGGTGCCGCACGGCAGCCATTGTCCTGAAACACACAAAATTACATTATTACAAGCATTTGTATACATTTCTGTGTATCAATCTATACTAATATAATAAAATAAACACACTACCTAGTTATGTAGGATGTCAGCAGTTGTGGTATATTTTTGAATAATTCTTTCTTTAATAAAAAGCCCTACACTTAGCCCTAAGCTTTAGGCTATAATTTTCACGGTATTAAACTTAAGGGAGTAAGTAATTTGAAAAAAACTCATGAGGGAAAGGGACCAAAAACCACAAGCTACCAACGTCAAGGAAGCAAGGTTGCCATGTTTGTCATTTATGCATTTGAATTTTGACATTTGCAATTGAAAATTTCAAACAATAAAATAACGTTTCTATAATTTCATGTGCACAAACCGGCATGGAAACAGCTAGTATATAATATTTAACAAACCAGTAAGTGGGTCTAATTTTTCAATCTCGTAGTACTCGATGGGCGCGCCGCCGTCGTCCTCCGGCTTGTCCCACGTCAGTGTGCAGCTGTTCTTTGTCACGTCGGACACTTCCAATGGACCCTTGGGCTTAGATGGCTTGCCTGGAAATAATAAATACAAATAATTAAAAGAGTATAAGAAACTACAAATCAGTTAATACAATCGGACAAAATGTTGTTCATAACATTACAATTAGTAAAGTTTCGAGTTATTTAAAAACCTTATTACCGAAAGTATTAAAACACTAATTATCACGAAGTAAATTTGCTTACTCATATATTATACACTAATTTCCCGAAGAGGAAAGATTTGTATCATCACCACCAGCTCAGTATACGTCCCCACCGAGGGGCTCGGAGCCTACCCTAATAAGGGGGTGACTAGGCCATAGTCAACCACTCTGTCCAAGTGCGGGTTGGTTGACTTCACACATATCTTTGAATTTCTTCGCCGATATGTGCAGGCATCACGATGTTTTCCTTCACCGTAAGAACGTCGAGTAAATTACATACATATGAAAATTCGAAAACATCGAAAATCACATTAGTACATGGCGGGATTCGAACGCAAGACCTGTAGATCACAAGTCAAGTGCTTAAACCACTGAGCCACCAAAAATTTGTATGTTTGTTACAAATAAACTGAAAAACCACTGGGTTCATTTTACAAATTCTTTCATAATTTCTGAGTTACACAATCCCTCAGTAATAAGAGCTATAATCAATTTAAAAATTGTTATCAAATGTTAAGAAACAGTCGTCTATGACGTACTAGTATGAAACAAAACACATTTCTAGAACCTTCCACTTACCAAGTATAGTAATTTCGATCTCGGCCTCATCCTCACCAACTTCATTCTTGGCCTTGATGACGTATTTTCCGGTGTTAGCGCGCTTGCTCTTCGTCATCAGGAACTTGGTGTTGTAATCCACGTTGATGATCTCCAAGTTGGGGCCGTTCTTCAGCTCCTCACCCTTGAAGTGCCAGGTCACCGTGGCTGGTGGTTCACCGAACACTTTCACATCCAAAGACACTGGTAATCCAGCCTTTACTGTCAATGGGTTCAGGTTTGTACGGTCGATGCGCGGTTTCACTGGAATGAGAGAAATAATTTATTAACAATGGAAACAGACTTATATGAATACATTCGAGTGAAAGAGTAAAAAATACATCATCAAATACGTATCGCTTTAAAAGATCACTTTGTGATCTTATTTCCTATTTAACCTTCCTTTCTCTATTTAACTCTGACGTCATAGTTCACATGTCATGTTTTAGTGGGCGTGTAGTACTTATAATACTCACAGAATCGTGGTTTAGCAGTATGCCAGTTGGTGTTCTCGGAAGGTTCCGACTGTCCCGCCTTGTTCAATGCGCGTACTCTGAACTGATACTGGTTGCCCTCCTCCAGCTTGGGTACGGTGCCTTGACAGATGTTGCCATGGATCTCAGCGGCCTATAGAAATATTTGATTATGAAAAATCACGCTTTTAAAAAGCCAAAACCAACCAAAACACATTAACATACAATGCAATTTAGAAACGGGTCCAAAATAACTGCTTTAACTAATTTATTTTGGTTTACACTGCCTGTAATTCTGTTCACATTTTTTTGTTTTTATTACTAATCCTCAAATTTATCTCTAACAATCTATACTAATACTATAAGGAGGAAAGATTTGTATTTCTGTATGCATTGAAATAACATAACTACAGGGCCGATTTAAAAAAAAAACTTTCACTATTAAAAAGCCTATGCTATTCACGGTTAATGTAGACTGTGAATAGCATAAGCTTTTTAATTTTACACAGACGAAGTCACGAGAAACATCTAGTATTATAAATCAATAATTAAATTTAATGTAGATAAACCAGAAAATCAGCATACCTTAACAAACTCGCCCCTATCTCTATCCATGACTTCGATGATGTACCCCGTGATGGGTGCTCCATTGTCCCTGATGGGGGGCTCCCACTTGAGTTTAGCGGACTTCTCATCCCAGTCCACGATGTCCGGCAGGCCGGGAGCCGCAGGCACGTCATACGGGTTCTTCGCCAGGATGCCGTGGTCCGTCTCCAGGGGCTCCGACTCACCTTCCTCGTTCAGAGCTTTCACCCTGAACTGGTAGGTACGACCTGGCTCCAAACCTGCAAAAGACAGATAATCACATTTTAAAATCGTTTAAAAGTGGACAATAGATTTTAGTAGTTAATTAGTGTTTCAAAGGTAACCAAAGCCCAAACCGAAAGACTAATTTGGTTATATATTTAAATTTTTTGTATATGTCAATAAAACAGTGTTAAATGTATTCAGTTAATGTCGGTAAAACAGTCCGAACTAACGACGTCAGCCACAAGTTTCAATCGGCATGTAATACTTGGTTCGCATTTGGCCAGTGCTAGTTGTAAATTGCTAGTGTTCGCTTAGCTCCAGTTGAATGCCAGTCCAGTTTTTGTGCGCTACGTTTCAGCTCTACTGTCCAAGTGTAAGCCAAGCATGACTTAGCAAATGTCGGTAAAACAGTACACATATCTGATTTTTGACAACCGTAATCGTCGGTAAAACAGCACTCACCAGTGACAGTAGCCTCAGTAGTGTCAGGCTCCACAGTACCCGCGGGCACCCACTTTCCGGTGAGGGTGTCCATCTTCTCCACCACGTATGCGCTGAGAGGCAATCCTCCTGTGTGTTTCGGCTTGTTCCAGCTCAGCTTCACGTGCTCTGCGTGTACGTCTGACACCTCCAGAGGACCTTCAGGTTTACCTGGCTTATCTGAAAGTGGAATATGCTTCGTTAGACAACTAAGAGAATAGTCTATACTAATTTAATAAAGCGTAGACATACTTTTTTGTCATGTGGGACGAAGGCAATCGCAGTATAATTTACTTTTACTTTTTTAGTAAAAAAAGCTAAGCTTATGACACGCTATAGGCTACATATTTCCATGCTGTTTAATTTAGAGTGTGAATAAATTGAAAAGTCTCATATGGGAAAGGAATAAAAACTACAAGCCAATTGTTGCAAAGCAGGATTGCCATAGTAACTGTAATTATCCAATAGCAAAGGTCTTCGTTGTCATTTGTGCATTTAAATTTTTACATTTGCAATTTTTGCGTAATGTATACAATAAAATAAAGTTTTTACAATTTACGGATGAAGCGAGAAGACGAGAACAGCTAGTAATAATTAAATTACAAAGTAAATTATGATGCAGTTTAATATATTTGTACTTACCAAGTACGGTAACTTCAACGGTAGCCTCATCTACTCCGGAGTCATTCTCAGCCTTTAGCGTGTAGATGCCAGAGTTCTTCCAGGTGGACTCGAAGATCTGCAGCTTAGTGTTGTAGTCCTCGTTTTCCAGCTTCACACCAAGGCCGGTCTCGACCACCTGCAATATTTACAAAAACAATGGTTTAAAAACACAATCATATGAGACATAGAAAGAATAAGAGATAGAAAGAGAAAAATAAGAGAGAAAGAGAAAGAGAAAGTATTGGAGGTTTTAGCTGTATTTTAAATCTATAGTACTATCACAAACAGGAAAAAATTGTATTTTTGTACGTATTGAAATAAATCAAAAACTACTGGGCTTATTTCAAATTACATTAAAAAGCTACGTTATCAGTGAGTACCATAGGTTATATATTTTTTTTTAATTTCACGCGGGCTAAATCGCGAGCTACAGTTAGTTAATATCTTTAGTAAATTTTAATTACCTTATTGGCGAATGTCCATGTCTTGGTCGGAGGAGGTTCTCCTCTCACGTCCACATCCAGTCTGATGGTGGTACCAGCTCGTACGCGGATCGCCACCATCTTGTCGCGGTTTATGTATGGTTTCACTGGAAATACAAAAATAAATAAAAATTAACACAGCATAATAAAGTACAGTTTATTCTGGCAACATAGAACAGAAATTTACATGTTCAAGTTAATTTTAAAAATGGCATGTACAGTAGAACCTCGATAACTTAAAGTCTAAGAGATACACACAATATTTTAAGTTATCAAGGGTCTATGTTATTGAGGTTTTGGGCTCTGATGGAAACGGAACATATTATTTTTTGAAGTCATAGAGGTTTTTATGTTACCAAGGTTTAAGTTATCGAGGTTCTACTGTATTTTATCGGAGTTCCTTGTGTTGAAAGAAAATTATGCGATGCAATTTTCACATAACAGAGAGGAAATTCAAAGATATGTGTCAACCCGCACTGCCAACATAGTTGACTATGGTCTAGTCACCAACTTGGGTAGGCTCCGAGCCCATTTGTGGGGACATATTTGAGATGTGTAGTTTTGTTCTTAGTCTTACTGGTGTATTAAATTTTTGGTAATTCTTTATTTAGCAGTCCCTTAGTATAGTTTTCTTGTAATAAATCTACACTAAAACACTTTAGTGACCATTAAACGATTCAGAGTGTGGCATTTAGTGTTATTAATGTAATAAGGAGGGTTACCATCTCTTCAAATAAAACCTTACCTAAAATACGCCTTAATAAATTATTAACAAATAAATAAATAATTTATAATGACTTACAGAATCTTGCTTTAGCGACATGCGGCTGCGTGGGCTCTCCGGGCTCCCCGGGGCCGGCCTTGTTGACGGCGCGCACGCGGAACTGGTACGTATTGCCTTCGCGCAGCTCTGGTACACGCGCCTTGCACTCCGGTGTCTGTAAATATAGTACCATAAGGGTTATTATTGCTTGATATACTCGTAGCAGTGGAAATGCCATTGTACTCGTGTCTTGGAATAATTTAGCTAAAATACAAGTTAGGAATAAACCGAGTATAAGCAAAATTTGTACTATTTGTAAGGCTGTTATAGTTTAAAATGATGCGCTAGGTGGCGCTGCTACTGATAAATCTAATAAATCTAATATGCTGATAAAATTATCTGAAATTTCCTGTATAAATCTAACCTAATTTAAGTCCCTTTCTCTTTACCACCCTTTTCTTATGAGAGGATGGGAAGGGGAAGTGGATTTGACGATGGAGGAGATGCATAGGAAGAGGAAATATCCTCTTTATGTGCATCTCCTGCTCCGTCGGATAAGGGGGCAACGCATCTGCAATTGCAGATGTCTATGGGCAGCGGTCGCTTCGCCATTTTAGCGGATTCAGGTGGCCGCTTGCTCGTTTGCCATCTTATGTTATAAAAAAAAATAACCCCTACACGATAATATTTAGACACAAAGAAATACTAGCTAGCTTAAAACGCAGGCACACCTTACTAAACTATCGCACAACTGTTTAGTCTCGCTATGATTCCTATGAGCCTAACTATAACTAACCTATATGGAGGTGCGCATACTATTCGATTTTTTAGTTGTGCAACTAAACAGTTTAATTCCGAAACAATCGACAATCGCACAACGGTTGTGCGATAGTTTAGTCATGAGTAACCTTATACTTCAATAAAGAAGTTAGAACTTGTAAGTTACCGTGGTAACAAGAGCCTCCTGCCACTGTCCGAATTTCTCCTTCTTTTCAATGATGTATCCAGTGATGGGTGCGCCTCCAGTGTTCTTGGGCGCCTCCCACTTCAGGTCCACGCGATCTACATCCCAGTCCTCGATGGTCGGCACTGACGGCTTGCCAGGAATATCTAACACAACAGATATTTCTATCAGAAATTTATATGTAACAAAACTGTACTTTATAAAGCTAAAAAAATATATATGGACTTATCTATACTATTACAATAAAGCCTTAACACACACATCTTTGTTGCCTAAGATGTCAGCAATTACAGGATTATTTTGAATTACTCTTTTTTTAATAAAAAGCCCTACACTTACGTCACGCTTTAGGCTATATATTTTCACGCCGTTAAACTTTGGGGTAAATATTTTGGATAAAAACCCTAATGTGGGAAAGAGACCATAAGTTGCTGCCAACATCAAGAAAGCAAGATTGCCAAGGTTTATAATGTCATGTCATTTTGACATTTGCTATTGATAATTTGACAAATGTAAACAATAAAATACATCATTTCATGCGGATGAAGCCGCATGGGAACAGCTAGTTTCTTTATAAAGCGTCCTTTACAGAATTTTGAAAACGTTTATAAGCGTTTAGTTTTAAAATTATGTATGGACTTATCTATCCTGAATTGAATAATACTACTAGAACTTTATAAATTTCTAAGTTATGTCTATAAATATTTATACAATGGACTGTTTTGTATAGATAAAAATAAAATTCATTAACAACGAGATAGAACGCAAGAAGACACAAAGTTTGAGATAATCTTGTATTATTTATATTGATACATGTTCATTGTAGGCGTATACATATATCGCCACGCCCCATTCTAAACCATACAGACTTCTAAATCTTACTAATATTATAAATGCGAATGTTTGGATGGATGTTTGGTAGCGTTTGTAGCCTAAACTGCTAAACGAATCACATTGAAATGTGGCATAGGCGTAGAGGATAATCGAAAAGACCACATAATCTACTTACTTTTATTTTTATTAATTCCGTAAGAAAGGAGTCGCGGGCAAAAGCTAGTTCTAAAGAAACTAACCGTATGGATTCTTAGCTAATATAGAGTGGTCCGTCTTCAAAGGCTCGGATTCTCCCTCCTCGTTGACAGCACGCACTCTGAACTCATACTCTTCTCCTTCCTGTAGACCCTTGATCTCCATCTCCGTATCATCAGTCTTCCCCACAGGCACCCAGCGGCCTGTCGCCTTGTTCAGCTTCTCTACCACGTAGCCAGTGACAGGTTTACCTGAAAATAAACATTTACCTTATTAACCACTAATTCGGAGCTTTTAGGACCAAAAAAAATGTTACCAACACCCAAAAACCAAAATCTTAAGTATTTTTCTCTAAACTAGTTCAGTAGGTTTTTTTTTTTAAATTAGTTGTTCGTCACATTAGAATATAGAATTAAGGGATATAGATAAAAAATTACAAAATTGATGTTATGTTTCCTACACTGTTATTTTATTTGAAAGAAAGCATTATAATTGGAATTAAAAATAAATATTTATTTTTACATCGTTTAAGATTATCAGAAAGAACGAACTGGAGCTCTGGGTCAAAATAAAAATAAGGTATTCTTAATGACTCATCATTTAGTCTTTCAATACTCACCGCCATCATCCTCTGGCTTCTTCCAGGCAAGTTTGCAGCCGTTCTTGGTGACATCGGTGACCTTGAGGGGTCCTGTAGGCTTGCCTGGCGCCGACAGCACCGTGATCTCCACCTCAGCCTCATCACTGCCATGCTCGTTGGTGGCCAGGATCCTGTACGTGCCGGTCATAGCCCGCACTGACTCCTTGATGTCCAATTTCGTGTTGTAATCTACGTTGATTACGTTCTCTGTCACCTGTAAGGGAATATGAACGTTAGTGTGTTGTGATAGAGTTGGTTTTTCATTGTGATACTAACATACTAATATAAAAATCTTAAATAAACGCTACTTAGTTATGTAGGAAGTCAACAATTACAGTACATTTTTAAATAATTATCTTTTTAAGCCCTACACTTACATCATGTGTAAAAGGGACTATAACCTACAAGCTGACAACATTCAGGAACCAGGTTGCCATGGTAACGGTATTTATCGTCTAATTTTAAACGCCCTAGTTGTCATTTTAGCATTTGAATTTTGACATTTGCAAATAAAATTTTCACAAATTTATTCAGTAAATATTTTTTTTATAATTACATGCGAATGAAGCCGCACGGGAACTGCTCGTTTAAGTATATGGTGGCTGCAAAAGTAGACAAAGACTGAAGAAAATATGTATAGATAATGTAAAAGAGGATATGCTTAAGGAAGTGAATTCAGATATGACAACTGATGAGATGTATGGACGAGCAGTACATATTGTCTATATAGGAACAAGAACAAGGTGATGAGATGAAAAGACCTGGCAGTTATATTGGTTTCCATTATGCATTTTTTATAACTATAAGTAAATACCTCCTTCTCTTCAGTCTTCCACTTCTGGAACCATTGCACTTTAGGTGCGGGTTCTCCGCGCACGTTCACATCGAAGAAGATGGGCTTTCCAGCGCGCACAGCCAGCGCCTTCAGGTTAGTGCGGTCGATGCGGGGTTTCACTGCAAATACGAATGAAAATATTAAAAAAAAAACACAAATATTCGTGTAATGTAGCATTTGAACTATAGATGGCGCCATTGTAGACTGTAATCTATACTAATATTATAAATGCGAAAGTTTAAATGGATGTATGCTTATTAGAGGAGTTTGCAGTCTAAACTGCTGAACAGATTTAGATGAAATTTAGCGTAGATATAGAGGATACTGGAAGAACACATAAACTACTCACTTTTTTTTTTAAATACACGCAGACGCAGTCGCGGCCGAAAGCTAGTATTATATAAATTATTTAAAAAGACATAGTGTTATGGATCCCCATATAAACTTCATAACAAAAACTAAATACTTGTTTTATCGTATCTCGAAAACAACGATTTAACATTTTAATTACGTTCGTACGAAGTCGCTGGTAGTAGCTATTATCTAATAATTTCTACAATAACGTTACTTACATGCTTTATGCCTGATTGTGGTCATCTTTGTGGCATCAGATGGCTCCGAGGGTCCTGCCTTGTTGACAGCGATCACACGGAACTGGTACTCGCTGCCTTCGGGCAGACCGTCCACTTTAGCTGATGTCGCTGATCCTGGCACCTGAAAATTTTAAACAAAGCTCACATTAAAGTAAGTAAACACCGTTATGATAGGTCTAAATAAAAGACAGAGAATTTTGCCAAATGCTTATATCATAAGGTGATAATCTAGCAAACAGCCAACTGAATTCGCTAAAATAGCGAAACCATCGCTGTCCATAGACATCAGCAGCAGATGCGTTGCCTACATATACTCGACGAAGGAACGCACAAGGAGAGAATATTTCCCTTTCCTGTGCCTCCCCAACAATGTCAAAAGCACTTCCTTTCCCATCCTTATCTTGAAGAAAATTTTGTGAAACGAGGTATCGCTTCAACTCAAGAAATATAAATAACCGTCAGAGAAATCTTTCTAGTACTACAAAAACTAGTGTTTTTAAGTTATATTTATGTCATGTTCTTACCTCAGCTGCAGTCTCCCAGTCACCGCCCTTAGGTTTCTTCTGTATGATGTACTTGAGTATGGGAGCGCCTCCATCATTCGCAGGAGGCTCCCACTTGATATCAGCACTCTGGTTGTCGTGGTCTGCTACCTCCACGTTACCAGGCTTGTCCGATACATCTGCATTATTACATCAGCATCAGATACGTGGTAAAAGACAGTATCCCCCTATCCCTACCCTTAGGGAATCAAAAAAAGTAAAATTGATGTAAAAATACTGCGAGTAAATTATTACGTTATATAAAAATTATGGACGTGGACAAAGGACAGTCCCCTCCCCCACTCCCCCCCGGGTATCTAAATTGTGTACCATAGATGTATCACTTCGACTAAATAATTAGAGTGGATAGTTGCCCTTTGGACCTAGCCTAGACTATCTAGCTGATTGAATCGCCCTTAGAAATTACATTCTTGGTTACGCTACAAAAATGTATTTTTTCAGATACAAGTTCCAAAATTATAATGTCTATTATCTGTAAAAAAATTAATGACTATTTTACATTTAGAGCGAGCGTAAACCTTTGACTAAACTATCGCACAACAGTTGTGCGATTGTCGATTGTTTTGCAGTCAATTCAACTGTTTAGTTGCACAACTAAAAATCCAATAGTGTGCGCTCCATATAAGCTCATAGGAATCAAAGCGAGACTAAACAGTTGTGCGATAGTTTAGTCAAAGTGCGTACGCGTTCTTAGACCAGTAGTCAGAAAATGAAAATAAATGTCTTTTAATGTATTTTTTTCTATAATTTACTAACCGTATGGGTTCTTAGCGAGTACCGCGCGCTCTGTCTCCAGAGGCTCCGAATCTCCCTCGTCATTGACGGCGGTGACGCGGAACTTGTACTGGTGGCCAGGCTCCAGACCTGTCACCTCCATCTCCAGTGGCTTCTTGTCACCTGCCACTCTGAAATACGATAAATATAACATGTACTACACAAATCGAGAAGTTTGCGACTACCCTACAAAATGCTAAGGAACACACACTAAGCGGTGATAACCATATAATAAAAAATAGACTACATGGTTGTTAATATTCCATTTCTCATAATAATAAATATCTACGTTTTGACAATTATTGGAATAAACAAATACAAGTTCCCAATACCTATATTTATGGCCTAGTTCATCTCTATTTCATTTCCACTATTCAACAATAAAACATAGTTGAATTACAAAATAAAAAAAAATCATCACAGCACAGCTTAAAATACGGTACTACTGTCATTCGCCGTAACTCAATTTGCTGTGCTTAACTAGTACTTAATAAACCTAGATTTAATTTAAAAAAAAAAACAATAATGACAAGCCTTACCTTCCAACACGGACCCACTTGCCAGTCGCGAGGTCCATCTTCTCCAGCTCGTACTCCTTGACAGGAGAACCGCCGTCGTCCTCCGGTTTCTCCCATTTCACCTTGCAGCCCTCCGCGTGCACGTCAGTTACTTCCAATGGTCCTGGAAAGAGACAAACAATTTAAACACAAACAAGAAATAACAATATTTCTAGACATTGTTTCTTGGATTATATATTTTATAATCCTTAATACAAGAAACAGAATCTCTAAATAGAATCTAAATGTATTTAATAATACTATTAGTTTAAAATAATAATAATATAAGCTACCAAGAATTCAATGCTTTAAACCATTTTCTATTAAATATTAAATATTAAATATCAAATAATAAATTATTACTAATAATTTATTTTTTTATTGTTGTAATTTTCAATAAATATAAATGGAAATCTATACTATTATAATAAAGCGTAAACACACACATCTTTATTGCCTAAGATGTCAGCAATTACAGCATACTTTTGAATAACTCTTTTTTAATAAAAAGCCTTACACTTACGTCACGCTTTAGGCTATATATTTTCACGCCATTATACTTCGGGGATAAATATTTTGGGTAAAAACTCTAATGTGGGAAAGAGACCATAAGCTGCCAACATCAAGGAAGCATGATTGCTAAGTTTTGTCATGTCATGTCATTTTGACATTTGCAATTGACAATTTGACACATGTAAACAATAAAATAATTATATGCTTATGAAATCGCACAGGAACAGCTAGTAATGTTACAAATATGCGAAAGTTAAGATGGATGTTGGTGTCTCTTAACCAGTTAAATGGATCTGGATGAAATTTTACACAGATATAGAGAAGTCTAGAAGAACACATAGGCTACTTTAGTAATTACTAGTTCCTCACAGACGGAGTCATGGGAAATCTATCTCATTATAAGTATAATTAACCAAAATACCTTTAGGTGCGCTTGGCTTGCTCAGTACTGTCAACTCGACAGTCTCCTCATCAAAGCCATTGCAGTTCTCAGCACGCAGCGTGTATTTTCCAGTGTCTCGTCGCACCGCATTCACTATCGTGAAGTCGGTGTGGTACTCTTTATTCTCAATCTTAATACGCTCGGTATTAACTAGTTTTATGTTCTCACGCCATGACCTGGAAGTGACAAATATAGATTGAATAGTATGCTAAAACTTTTTGAAACTGTTTGTAAAAGATTATAGTATAATAAAATAAAATAAAACAAATAAAGTAAAATAAAATTATAATTTGTAAATCAAGGTCACACTGGTAGAATTATAGGTGTTACTCTCAATCGTCTGGAGGTATGAGATAAGGTTAAATTTTTGAGATTTCAGAAATCTTAACTTAGTAAGCATAAAAATAGCAATATTAATCCAATATCTGGTCACAATTCAGAAATCAAACTAATATTATAAATGCGAGTTTTCCGATGGATGGATGTTTGTTAGAGTTTGCCGCCTAAACGGCTGAATGGACCTCTATGCAATGATATAAATGATAGAGCAAAGTTTAGAAGAACACATGGATTACTTGCTTTTTTTTAATCCACATGGACAGTCACAGGCAATAGCCAGTATTAACATAGTTAATCTATTTTACAATATAGTTTGTAATAGTTGTAATGAAGGATAGAATTATGTATTAATATTTTAAAAACTCATATTACTTATAAATATATTTAAAAAATTAGTTGAGCATATAACTTATACTGGTTATCAACTTACCAAGTGGTCTCCGGTGGAGGTTCACCAATCACATCCACTGACCATTTGTGTGTACGACCAGCCTTGATGATGACAGACTTGAATGTACTGCGCTCAATGCGAGGTTTCACTGTAAATTAAGATTTAATAGCATTATTATAAATAACAAGAAACATTATTACTATGATTATAAAACTGCCCTGTATAATAATATGCTGTTATAAATTCTTATACACAATAATTAAAGACACATAAATAAATACAAATAGAAAAGTATTGTGAAGGTTGAGCCTAACTAAGACAGAGTTCTATAAATATTACTTACTTACTTACTGCGTTGGCGCAGCGACCCAAAGTGGGTCTTGGCTTCCGACACGAGAGAGCACATAAATATTACTAATCACTAATATTATAAATGCAAAAGTTTAGATGAAAGGATGAATGAATGATCAAATGAACATAGTCAGGAATAACACATAAGCTATTTGCCTGATTTTTAATTCATGTCGGAGTAATGGCCAACAGCTATTACTAAACAATTGGTACTTACAGTTCCTATGCTTGCAGAGGTGGTTTTCAGTTGGCTGTGAAGCATCACCCACACCAGCCTTGTTGTAAGCCTTCACTCGGAACTGGTAGATCATCTTTTCCTTGAGCCCCTCAACCTTGTACTCCGTTTTGGGCTCTGTTAGTTTACCAACCTGAAGAGGTATAAACAGTTATAGTAAATATTCAATCCTTTAAATCTTTTAAAATGTAAGTGATCTGATTTGTCCAATCTGCCAAATTCTTTGTCAAGTTTTTACAAATAAAAAGTTTTCTAATAATGTGACAATATTGTTATCATCATATAGTAGTAGTAATATTTGTCAGAGAAAGTAATTTCTGTTAAAAAAAAATAATTGAGGGTATATTTGTGTTGGTTAATTCTTCTAAGTTCAAAGGTAAAACTTATGTAGAAATTTGCATAAACTGAATACTAATTTTAAAAAGCTTTATTAATAGCTTACCTCTATCCAATCAGCAGTGAATTTGTCTTTCATTTCGATCACGTAGCCCAGTACCGGTCTACCTCCGTTATCACTTGGAGGTTCCCATTGTAGAGTAACCGACATGTTGTCATAATCGACGATATTCGGTTTTCCGGGAGCTTTCGGTGGGTCTGATTAAAAAGAAAACAATTAATGAAATTCATTTTCATTATTTCCGCGCCCAAAATTTTTAAATATCTTGTTTGTAAACAAAAACACAAACAGCATGAAAGTGACAGCGTTCGAGGCAAAGAGTATATAGACAGGATGACAGCTGTCTTTGGTTGCGTTCAATTTGTATTTAGACGATCTTACAACTTGATTTTACCAAAAACTAGATATAAAATGCAAAAACCAGGAAATGAGGCAAACATCAAGGGTTTCATAATGAAAAACTGACTTTTTAAATTACATTTTAGATTAAACCTACACACGTTAACCCTGATGTATAGAAACTAGCGCCCAGCGCGATTTTTGGCAAGCCATTGTTGTTAAAACATTATTACCCGTAATAATTCAAATAAATTAGAAACAAACCGTAAGGATTCCTTGCAACAATGGCTCCATCAGTTTCCAAGGGCTCTGATTCACCCTCCTTGTTAACTGCTCGAACTCTAAACTTGTACTTGTGATTTGGTGTCAGACCCTTGATCGTGAACTCTGTAGGTTCTGGACCACATTCGCCACATGGTACCCAGTTGCCAGTATCCTGAAACCGTAATATCAGCATTTAAAAACAGTCTCTTACCATTTTTCTTTAAGAGTTTAAACATGTTCCTTCTTTAAAATGTGCTTTCGACGGTTACCAATCATACATGATATTATATAAAACAAACACAAGGAAAACAAGTTTGCCTATATATAATTCAAATAAACCTACCAAATCCATTTTCTCAAGGGTGTATCCGGTAATATCTGACCCTTGCCAGTCATCAGGCTTTTGCCATTTGACAGTTGCTTTTTCAGCGCGAATCTCAACAACTTCAATTGGTCCATTCGGTCGGTTAGGTTTGTCTGGAATATAAACAAGTGATTAATGCCCAGTGAAGTGAAAATTAACATAGATTAGAAAGAAGTTTATTTTTGCATCCTTACCGAGAACAACCACATCAGCAATGCTTTCGCAAGTACCAGACGAGTTGGTAAGAACCAATTTGTATTTTCCACTGTCAATACGAGTAGTTTTTCTTACAGTTAGTACGGTGTTCCTCTCATATTTGTCGATGGTGATACGTTCTCCATCGTCACGAATTTCCTATAATTAACAAATGTATAAGAAAGATATAAACCGTACGTCGCATTTAATTTTTCATGGTACATTTCATTTATTATGATGAATGTCTAGTAGAGTCAATAAAATATGAAATAAACCATGAAAAACCGTTTGCGATGAATCACAACATCGAGTGTTAAAACAATAAATACATACATATAGATTTAGTTAGAAATTGTAGACATTTATTGAATAATGTCACGTTGTTGAAAATGTAATATTGTTATTAAGATATAGAGACAATAATAAAACAAAATTCGACTGAATGGTCATCTTTCGTAATGTGCGTGACCTACCACCATGTGCTTGTCATGTTTTCTTTGCGCATTGGTGACGTTTGACATTGAGTTTGAGGTCATACTTCTTTTAGCGTCCGTCCTTGATAATGTTAGTTAATCATATTGCTAATTTAATTTTCGTTGACCATTTAAAAGTTACAAATAACAACGTAATTTTACGGCGTTATTTGTATTAAACACTTTTCGTTCCGCAAATAAAAGTATAACCTCATATGTGCGTACACAAGTACACATATTTTTTAGAACAAAGTGTTGGTACAACATCGAAAGCTTTTATATTGTATGTAAAATGTTAATGATCGCGTCTCTTGCGAGTTTTTGTTGCCAGTTATGCGTTATTGAAAAAAAACATATATTTGGTACGTAGGAGTAAATATTCCTTCTCATTCAATAAGGCACAACTGAGATATAACAGTAAAATAGTGTCTGTAGTTAAGTTAGCCACATGATAGTGTAAAGTAGAACGTGTGAAAGAAGTTTTTAAAAACATTTATGAAATGCAACATCGATATCACCCAGCTAACCTGTTCCCTGTACGGCTTGCCACGTTTCTTTTTTGGAGAAAATAAAAACAATATTATTTTTTTTAAATAATTAAACCAATTAAAATATAATTTTAATGTAAACACAATCAGTACTTTACAACTTTACGAAATTCAATTTGAATATTGTAAAAAATGATTAGTGAAATATGAACAGTTTTTGTGATTGTATTTAAATGACATGACAAAATTATAGACGAAATATTTACCTCTTCCCCATGCATCCATCTAACCTCCGGTTCGGGCTCGCCACCGTATTTAATATCAAAGGAAATGACTTGTCCCTTTTTGATAATCATACTCTGAAGACCTTCTCCAATGATATATGGTTTGACTGAAATAAATAAATGGTCAAATGTTAAAACAACATCCATAATATGCGTCAGTTAACTCCAAATTTCATTGAAATATTGACTTCTAAGAGATTGTAAGCGACGGTTACGAGACAAAGTGTTAGAGTTTCGTTTCAAAATTCGGCTATAAGAAAATTATTACAGATATTTACATTCAAAATCGCGGTACTTACCAAATCTGCACTTAGCAACAATCGGCTTTGTGCTGTCGCTAGGTTCACCAGGACCTGCCTTGTTAATGGCACGGACTCTGAACTCATACGTGCATCCCTCTTTAAGTCCGTCTTGAGTTGCTTCTAGGCAATCGCCATCCACTTCCTTGCCCTTTACCCAGTCTTTGCCAAATTTCTCCTAAAAAGTGACATTATTCTTTATCTTGTTCCTCAGACTTAATCGAAAAAATTAAGAGAAGCTGAACGTACCTTATACTCAATGACGTAGCCAGTGATCGGTGCTCCACCATCGTTGTCAGGCTTTTGCCATTTAAGGTCAGCGTGGTCTTTGTCCCAATCCTTCAGTTCTACGCCCTTTGGCTTCGACGGTTCATCTACAAAAGTATTAGAAATAAGGATAACGATAGTAGGATCCCAGATTTAAATAAATATCAAATAACATCGTAAGATAAATATAAAAGAGAAACTTTTAAGGCACTTGTAGTTAGTTACTTACCCCATGGATCCTTGGCGAGAACAGGCTTGCCGAAGGTTCCAGGTTCACTTGATCCAATTTTATTAACAGCCCGAATTCTGAATTTGTATGTTTTCTTTGCTATAAGATCTTCAACCTTGTATTTAGTGGGTTGTCCGTGCGCGACTTCAGCAACGTTGTCCCATCCAGCTTTCAGCGACAGATCCTGTAAAAGTTTACATTGTAAAATTGTTAAAAAAACCCTTTACCATTTTATAGAAAATAGAGAGAACTGTTGACAACTACTGTAAGGATCTTAGAATACGTATATTCTTACCTGTCTTTCAATGACATATTTGATAATTGGTGATCCACCATCATCTTGTGGGACTTTCCATGCAACAACACAAGATGTCTGGAATACTTCCGAGACCTCAACATCTTGTGGTGGCGTTGGCGCACTCTGCATGATAATGGTAACATCCTTGGAATCTTCTCCTTGAGCATTGGACAGTTTGATCTGGTATTTGCCAGATCCTTCTCTCGTTGGCTTTTTGAGTTTGAAAAGGATTTTCTCCTGTTCTACAACTACCTCAACTTCTTTAGCTGGTAGGGCTTTACCATCCTTGAATAATTTAGCCTCAATTGGAGTTTGACGTGTGCCTGAAACTGTAAAGGACAATTTTTATAGTACATTTATAAGTTGAAAATATTTATCCTTAACATTCTGTTTTTAGAATGTTAATATTCTCTTACTTTTGTACGGCACTTCAATAACGAAGGGATGTCCTGCGGGTCCATTAAACTCATCAGGACATTCAATGGATGGCTTCGATTCTCCCTTTTTAACTGTAAGTTTGCATGATGATGTCAGTTTTCCGGATTCACAAAGGATTTCGCCGTCATCTTCCATCTCTAGCCTATTGAAGATAAGTTGATGCTTTCCACCGCCCAGGTTCTTAATTTCGATTCTGTTGAGATTAGGGTATTATTAATCAGAGTATGAAAAATGTACCAAATATAATAGTATGATTATTAAAATTGATTTTAATAATCATTCAATAATAGAATGTTTAGTAAAATTGTACGAATTTATGGCTAAAGTATCTACACATAGGTAGTTTCAAATGTACCTCTCATCCGGTACAATGGGTGCACCGTTGAAGGACCAAACGGCCTCTGCAGTCTGGTCCTGCAATTCCACCTCAAGCACCACCTTGTCTCTTTCAACTGCTTCGGTATCCTTCAACTTCTTGTTGAAGCGATTCGAGTCTGCAACGAAATTTGTAAAATATTAGTAAAAGTGAAATAAAAATAAGACTACAATATAACGTAGAAAAAATCTCACATTTGACGATCAATTCGCACGCAGTCTCATCAGCGTTACTGACGCATTTGAAGTTGCCAGCATCAGTAACCTTGGCGTCTTTGATAACCACTTTACGTTTACGACCCTCCTTGACAATCGAGACACGTTTGTCAGCCTTCAGTGGCTGGTCGTTCTTGAACCTGAGAAATATTAATAATAAACAAGTATTACATTTATTATTTCTTGCAAATTTTAATACTTAATATAAGAAATGTTTGACTAACCATTTAACATCACCCATGGCATCATCAAGTTCACAAAGTAAGGTGATGGTATCCTTTTCTATAGCCTGCTGCGACTTGAGTACCTTGGTGAATTTGTAAGGATATTCTGTAAAGGAAACATGAGTAATAGAAAGTTATTTAAAAAGTAATGTTATCAGTTTTTCTATCAAATGTTAAGCTTCATGAACTCACCGATAATCTTAACTTCACTTTCAGTCTTGTCTGGTTGTTTCTCTATTTTGCACATGTATTTACCGGCGTCTTCTAATTTCGCTGCCTTTATAATTAATCTGCAAACGCCTGATAGATCTTTGGAAGTCTGGAATTCATCACTGTCTTCCAATTTCTTTTCACCCTTCCACCAAGATACGATAGCCAGGCTGTTGGATACCGCACACTCCAGAACCACTTCGTGTTTCGTGTATCCAGTAAGAGTTTTCTTCAAATGTTTTGTGAAGGTATACGTCGGGTCTGGTTCATCGACTTGCAAGAAGGCAGTACTTGTAACGCCACCAATTTCAATTGTAATCTTGCCCGTATCTTCTACTTTAGGATTCATGATGATCAATTTGTAAGAGTCTCCTTCATTTGTCATCTTATACTTAGAGCCCGGGAAAAGTTCCTTTACAAAAAGTATAATTAGTAAAATATTAAATGCATAGAAATGTTACTAACGTTTAAATATAGAAGATACTTACATCCTTACGGAAGAACCACTTGGGCTTAGCATTTGGCTTCGTGAAAATGGCTTCAAATGTCACCTTTTTATCTTTACCCTCCTTCGCGGATTGATCAACAAGGGGCTTCAAGAAAGATTCAGGTTTCTGAAAACAATGTCAGTGACCAATGAATTAAACTATAAAGATTAAAGGATCTTCGTGTGCGATAAACAAATGTGCTCTTCAGACCAAAAGCTGCCAGTGCTGACGAAAATACCCTCAATTTTTAACCTCAACGATTCAAACGCACATTCAATGAAATCGACGTGGGGTACCGAGGCGTTAGATACATCAGCCATTCGTCATCATCACCCCTCAATTCAAAACCCATGCTTCTGTACAGAAATTGGAATTTCGTCATTGTAATAGACGTGCTTAAATTGTAACGATTTGAATTACTACATAATGGTGAATTACAAACCAAAAACGATGAAAAAATCAGACCAAAATCTCAAATTAAACATTTTTTTTGAATTCCATCGTTTTTGGCATTTGACATAATAAAATTCTTATACATTTATATCTGTGCATCAATGTGACCTGTGCTCTGTGCTACTACTGAAAATATCTTCGTTCATGTGCTGAAAAAGTTTTTGCAATACTGACATATAGAATAAGTTTGGGAACAATATTGTGCTATTTATACAACGGAACAAGTGTACATTTCTCCATAAATAATACTAGATAAAGCAGAAAATATGCCTCTGATCGATTTATTCCGTAGAAGTTAAACTTTGAATTAGCCGCAAAGAATTTGACAAAAACCTAAAAAAAAGCATTAAGTATCTAACCAACAGAAGCTTGCTTAAGAGATTTTTTTCAAATCGATTTTTGATTATTTAAATTAAAAAATCTGTCCTTGATATACACTAGAACCTCCATAACTAAAACCTCGGTCACTTAAAAACCTCTATAACTTCAAAAAATAATATGTTCCCTTCCCATCAGAGCCCAAATCCTCTACAACATAGACCTTTGATAACATAAAACCTCTATAATTTGAAATATTTTGTGTTTCTCTTGGACTTCAGCTTATCGAGGTTCTACTGTATTATGTCCTATTCACATTTTTTATATTTGCTCCGAACTTCATACGCATAGTTATTATGATTTTTTTATTCAATAATACTAGTAACATTTTTTAATGTATAGGATAAGGCATTTTCTACTTTTTCTAGACAAAAAGTTTACGTGTTTCGTGAAATATTTCTCTGTGCGACAATAATTTGCATACAACACGAAATGCACTGTGTCGTCTTAGACGAAGAAACGCTCGTTGTCAAACCTCCTTTCTTTTGCACTTGTGCAGTACCGGCCAATCCGGAATCAGTTCTGCCAGAGACGTCCGTCTACTATGCGATTTCTATAAAACATCCATAACTCTTAGTGACTTTTCTTTCTTTACAATTTATAGACTTGTGTTGGTACTTATTAGTGATTAATTTGAACTAAAATTACTATCCTAATTTTAGTAGAAAACCTTAACGGCTTCATTCATTTTAGTCCCACTAATTTATAACTAAATCAAGTTTTAATAATCTATTTGAACTAAAAATAACTATCATCTACAATTGTATTAATAATTCAATTAATTAGCACAATAAATTGTCAAAAATTCCAAAATCTGGCAAACACCGGATGCACCGGAAGAAATAATGATTAAACATGTTCTATGCCACGTTTTTTTTAAATAAAAGCGGACTCTACAATCGAGTCAGTGGCACGGAACGTGTTAAAATGAGAACAGAAATAATATTTGAAAAAAAAATGACGTGACAGAAGCTCCTCAATCCGACGTCACAGATAAACCTGTAAACAAAACGGACAACAACGCAAGAGACAATAAATATTACATTTCATTCCACTTACATTCCCTTAAAATGAAGTTAAAAAGAAACGTGAAATGAGGTGGTGATACAAAAACTGTGCGAGTTATTTAAAACTTCATTATTTAGCCATTTTTATTTAAATCGCTCTAAATTGACTCCATTTACTATGTAAATAATGGTATACACCAATACACAGATACAAATATTCTTGGCAAAGCTCGGTTTACAAGTTTACTTCGTAAATAAAATCAACTTTAGAGGACAAATTTAGTTTATTTGTTATTCATCGTTTTATTTAAATCATTCCATGTTTTAAAATAGATCTTATACCCTTTTAAAATAAGGTTTAAAAGTAGAAAGATAATAGTTACTACGTTAAATGCAATTTATTTGTCTCATTATTTTAAAAGAGTATGAGTCTATTGTATTTTTAGGTTTGTTTTTATTCGTTCATTTTATCGAACCTTTGATTTCACAGCCTCCATCAATGCGGGCCAATCGGGTATTATTTCGGGAAGAGACATACGTCTCCTTATTTGATAAATGCCCTAGAATTTATAATAAATAATGATGATGTACTCTTTATATGTGACACTTCAAATACTTGAAAATATGACACCAAGCCATTATGTCAGTAAGCTATGTGGTGTGTATATATCTGAGCATTGTAACAGCTAAAAGTACACGTACAGTTAATTACAGAAGAGATAGTACTAACGTTGAAGTGATATATTAATTTTTTAAACAACCATCCTGCCATTTTCGTTGAATTTTCCAAGAAATCACTATTGTGCCAAAATAGTATTTTGAAATTACAGACATTGACGTTGTCATAAAAACGTATTTGTGTCGTTTTAAAAGTGCACTCAAAGAGGTTTTCAATAGTCATAAGAATAAAATATAGGTAAAATGTGTAAGTTTGAATGTTGTAATGCGGAATGAACAATGATTTTCGAGGACCTTAACCCAGGACCAGTTTGAAGAGTTTCTGCGTCTATCAGCCGGGAATCTATAGATCTCGACTCCTTCTGAGACGACCACAATGAAGCCATCGTCTTCGAAGTAACCGGTCTCTAATCCCTATGGATCAATTTGTAACATGATGCATTCGATGTTTACTTGAGCTTACATTTTATGGACATAATTTGAAGAGAAAAAAAAAGCCGCAGTATAAAATTAAGAATGTACCAACGAGCACGTAATTGATTCGGTATTGCATCGCACATGAATTTTTATGATATCAACAACATCGACAATTGAAAGAGGCATAATTTAACTGTGGGTTGCAAATCATTGCAATCGGAAACTGTAAACATTGGTTAAACACAATCTAATTTGGAAGCTCTACTAGTTAAGGTTCGGAATTTAATTATTATATTAGTTTTTATTTGTAATAGTTTAAAAATACATTTAAGATTTTATTTAACTTTCTGTTTATAAGATCCGGCCGATATTTTTCTGTTTATCTCTCTCATTTAATGGAGTTCTAAAACTGAAAAATAATCTGCCAGTTCTCCATTTTAATGTTTATTTAAGAATTTATATCACCACCTTCGCTTTGCTAATAAGGGCCATTCAGTCCCTTATTTTTCTTAGCACTAAGGTATCCATATTTCGTACGTATTTCTAGAAGACTTACCTTTTCAACTTTCTTTAGAGGTGGAATTGGTTTCTCAACTTCTTTGAGGTCACCCCAATCAGGCTCGTCATTCTTCTCACCCCATTTTTGGTATTTCCGCTTTTTGAGCAAAGCTCTGAAGTCCATACCACTGGCATCTATTAATACACAAATTCGTACCAGACTTTTAATCACATAATTATAATTTATAATACAACCAAATTTGAATCATTGTATAATATAGCAGGTTTTTTCAGATATATTATAGAAATAATCTTTTAAATTACTTAAATAACAATTGACATTTTTTATTCGGATTACGAATTGTGTCTGGTACGTAAGTCTTTTAGCGTAAATAAACTTACCGGATACATAAAGTTGCATTTCAGCCGAGTCTTCACCGTGGATATTGCTAACAACAACCTTGTATTTACCCTCATCGTTGGGCTTTACTTTTCTCATACACAATGTAATACGACCCGTATCTCCTTCTGTGATGTACTTGAAACGGCCTCCTTCGATAATTTCTGTCACTCCCTTGTAGAACTTGAATGTCGGCGGCGGTTTACCCTCCACCAAAATGGAGAGGTAACCAACTTGATCTGTTCCCAGAAAAAGGTAATTTTAAAATAATGATGGTAAGCAATATTGCACTAGCTTAATCTGAACTAACAGAAGTGATTGTTTATAAGATAAATTTGGATATAGACGTTTTATTGCAGAATTAAGATTATCAGTTGACATCTCAGCACGAATGGGTCGGCACGCCCGGTGTAACACCACGACCACACAGGCGTGAGATGGAAGCAATTCCGTGTTTCGTCTGATGAGTGTGGTGCCGGAGGCCTAATTTAAGTCCCTTACTCTTTACCACCCTTTTCTTATGAGGAGAAGATGGGAAGGCTAAGTGGATTTGACGTTGGAGGAGATGCATAGGAAGGGAAAATATCCTCTTTATGTGTGTCTCCTTCTCCACGGTAAGGGGAGCAACGCATCTGCAATTGCGGATGTCTATGGGCAGCAGTCGCTTCGCCATATTGGCGGAATCAGGTGGCCGCTTGCTCGTTTGCCACCTTATGTTATAAAAAAAAATAGAATGTCTCCAACTGATAATCACACATTTTGAGTAGTGGGTGTGCTATTTGTAATAATAGCAGCTGTGGTAATGTGAGTTTATCATAGTAAAAAGTGACATCTTTATCTCCACATTTATTTTTTGCTTTTAAAATACCTTCGAGGTACGTTTATGCTCCTGGCTGCGTTATCTATAGTAATAACGGAGACATTTTTTTCAAAAATTGTTATTTAAATGAGTTCATTTATATTTCCTCTACTTTGATGTTCTTTTTAAAGATGCGGTTTATCTAATTTTCTTTTACAATGTGTTATTTTATCACAACTGAGATTTCAGGTGTAGGAATTTTTCTAGCGTCATTTGGCACTGCGTCAAGAAATGAATAATATGACCGTATCTTTTTAATTGGTTGACGAAAGGTAGAGATAGTAAAATTAGCTTTTTGTTAGAAATGGTAGGCTGTCCATGTAACTTAACTTTTCGGAGGTAATTATCAGTGTGAAGGAAAATCTATAATCTTACTATTATTATAAATGAAATTTTAGGTGGATGGAAGAATTGGTGTTTGTTAGAGTTTGTAGCCTAAACTGCTGAACGGATGACGACAAAATTTGGCATAGACGTAGGGGATAGTCTGGAAGAACACATAGACTATTCACTTTTGATATTTTAATTCCAAGCGATAGAAAGCTAGTTGATCATTATGTTAGCTTTTTGACTATTTTGACGTATTCTGTATTCTTGAAGGTTGTTAGTCTGTGCTATAAATCAGTACCATTTGTCATAATTTGAAATAAAGATATAAGCTTTGTAATTGTGATCTAAAACATTATTTTAAAATATTTATGTCATGGTTTTAAAATGTCGTAATTGTGCTTGTTATGTTAATAATCAAAATGATGTCAAAATGTCAAAAAGCTCGACGATACAACGGCCATATTGGTAAGGTATTCTGTGCAAATTGGAAGAAAACATAAGAGGTAATGAATTATTAAAGCAAAACATGGCTGTGACGCCCATAATTAGTAGAAGAAAATAATGAAAAATTTTAATGTCACCTTCGACGGCGGAGTTGCTCTCTGGAGCATCAACGATGACTGGTGGACCATCATTGCCAGTCGGTCTCAGAGGCGTCGAAGGCTTATTGATAAGACCTTCCAAGTCTTGTACTGATGGTCTTCTCGAGTCGCCAGATTTTCGTCGCTACACAATAAATTGATGTTAAAAAGTGTCCTAGTTTTTTTACTTTATAATGTTAATCACATTTAAATAGCTATGACGGCATATTGTTTTTATCGACAATTTCAATACTTTATTTGTCTGAACTACTAAATAACTAGTAATTGAATAAAATTTAGTTAATTAGAACAAATCTCAAAGATATTAAAATATAACAGTGATATAAAATTTAACAGCGACGATATTAAAAGTCATTAAATCTTCAATCGTACGAAATGTATTATATTTAGATTGAAAAATGGCCCTGTAACTAAATACAAGGGCCATAAGTTACGTTATGACAGATGCAGTGCGTCATGAACGTTCGCCAAATGACCTGACAATGAAGATCTGGACTTCCTGATATATATGGCGCAAGTGTTAATTAGTAATATTACGATTAACAAAACTATCGTAATTCATTACATCCTTATACTTTTTGATATGTAAATAATCAAGACCAGAAATTAAAATCTTCCAAGCAGTAAGAAATTTCGCATTTTACTGCTAATCATAATAACTTTTAATAAATCGTCGCACTTTAACATGAATTAAAATAATACTTACCACATCTAGCGTTGATTCTACACTAAGTGTAGTTATTGAAAGTTTTTTTACAATAGTTGTCGTCATAGTTTCAACAAATTAAGTTAAAGATGCCACAAAACGAAAGAAAATATAAATAATCAGAGTTCTTTGAATCACAGTCACTTATCACAGATGAATTATAAATATCTTTTGCGAAATAGGAAACTTTTATAATGAACATTTCGTATTTTGTTATTTTCCCGGCTTAGTATCGTTTCGTTCATATCCACTGAACAATTATCATTAAATGCTTAAGTTTACTATAAGTGTTACACCCTCTTTTGGGGTTTTTTGTAAAAAATATTTTTTTTACTTTGAAAAAAGTTTCGATTGGGGACAGTTCGATCAGTATCGTTGTGTAAAAATGGGCGCGAATGTCAAAAGACTGAGGTGAGCGTCGCGGACAGATAGTGGGGTGTGCGCGGGCTGCGGGGGACGGGGGGGCATCTATTTATGCTCAACACAAATCAACGGACCAATTCAATTAATTATCAGATTAAGGTGAGCCATTCGTGCAGTATGTACTTGAACGTCCGTGTTAATATGTACAAAACGTCGCCAGCTGATGTCTGATCCACTGTTGACTTGCGTTGGGATCTTACGTTTTTATTGACATTGATGTATTCCAAATAAATTACAGTATATTGAATTTTCCATGTTGTCTAGTGCGTTTGCTTCTTAAAAATATGACTAAACTATTACGTTTAAATTATCTTCTCATAGTTTAAGCAGAGGATATATCAAGATATATTTAGAGATCTACACTTTAAACATTCAAGTCATTTTAAATGCTAATTGGAAACAGATTAAATAGATATGTTTGCCAGTATTAGTATATTATAACTTAAATCTCAAACGATAATTCTTTAAGATTTCTTATAATGCTATGTAGAACACATTGAAATTAAATGCTTAATCTATTGCTAAATGTACTCCGTTCTAAAGGGTTTGATAGTTTTGGTTATCCGATTTCTCTCGTATTGATCGTGAACTATTTTGACCGTGAGAGTGGCGTTAGGCATGCCAAGTGTTTTTTGGATATGGTCGTCGGCTGCCACACTTTGGTCAGCTGTCGTCCCACGCAGCACTATACAGTATATTCTCGTATCTCCTGCATAAATGTGTCTATCAATCACTCTTCCCAAACATTCTATTTGTGGGGCGTGCCTTGTTTTTAATAATAACATGTTTAATTCTGTTGTTGTCATTGAAATATTTGTATCTATATTTGTCAGCATAGCGATCTTGTATCTATATCGACCTTAAATTGTATTGATTTGTTTGCCAATGTTGCACGGAATCGGTTACACTGTTTAAAATCGTTTGTTGTTTTTGTACACTAAATAATATTTGCTAAATAAAGCGAAATAAGGTTCTCCAATTAAACGATAGAATTGTAGACCTAATTTAGATTATTTAAAGCTTGCATTAACGCGTATTGCACTTTGGGTAATTAATACTATGCCATGAAATCGTCAGATCACGTGCATTGGAATATAATATTCAAAAGTGACAAGCGAGTTCCGTTAAGATTAATATCTTTTTAACAATGCGACGTACTGAACATAACTCAGTCAAGATGCCAAATCGCGATGGTTAAGGGTGCATTTTGAGTTCACCTTGAATCCGCTCTTGGCCTACCTTTACAGCTGTATCTATTATAATAATTATCAATCATCAGAATAGTCTGACTATACTTCTAGCTCAGATCAAGACTAGACATTCATTATTTAAAACATTCCGGTAAGTCTAATTTATTTTTTTCTAGCTTTTTATATTAAAAAAAATACTCAAGGAACATCCCTGAAAATTTTGCGGCATCTTCAACTCTACTATTAAAATACATATTTGAATACATTTTGACGATATCAATATCGTGGTTGTTTTGTTAGCAGCATGCTAGATTTATGAGTACGGATGCATACGGAGTTCTAGATTTGTGATTTATTACATTGAAAGCGGAACAGTTATTTATTGCACGGAATAAGCGGCTTAATTTTAACGGACAATATTGTCATTTTTTTCGTTTTTTTTGAACATTTATCACAGTATTTTCACAAGTCATAACATAAAAAAGTTTTGATAATTTATTGACTCCTTTAGTTGATAGAAATATTAAATCGCTCGCTTTACTAAGCTAAAATAGCTCTTGTTTTAAAAACTTCTTTTACGTTGTGACAATTCTAGTACTTAATTATAGTTAAATTGTTAACAACTTAGGAGTTAGAATGACCAGGTGTTAGTTGCTCTATATTGTATGTATCGTAACTATTATTTACATAAAATGAACAAAGTGAGAACCAATATTATTCAATTGGACAGCGAGTGAAATTTAAACCAATTATTTCGGGTCTGCACCTGTCTATAATTGGTAACATTTTTAAAATTCGGCTTGAGCATTAAAAAAAAATTAATCACTTTTGAAAAAAATCTATGTTAGCCACGTATCTAAAAGTTTTTTCTATGACATATAATTTCTAAACATATATCTTTCACACATTTTATACCTCGTCCGATAGTTCACCCGGCCTGCCGCGTTTCTTTTTTGGGGAAAAAAATAATCATTTTAGTAAGACATTCTCTGTTAATATTGTGCGCTTAAAGTAACATGTGCTCTGTACAAATGTGTGTTTATGTAGTGTTAAATGTGAGTATTGTTGCCGTTGTTGCCGTCATGTTTATGAAAATTGTCCCTTTCTGTTGAAATGAAATATCGTGAGATGTTTTTAATTCTCGGAAATGAGAGATCCAGTGAAAAATTATTGATGTATGATTAAATTTAAATATGTAAGTTTTGAAATTAACTTTTAATAGATGCAGCATTCTAATATTATAAATTATTTCACTACATTAGCGGAAAGTTAATAAATTCTAAATCGATCGTTATTGGAAATTCGAAACGAAAACAGAAGCTGTTTTAGTAAATAAACTAAAAAGCAAAGTTCATAAGAGAATCTCCAAGATCTCTTATAAGCGAGTTAAATTAACTTGCATTAGCGATCTTGCTTATAGAGAACACCGCTGGTCAGCAAAGCGGCTTGTGAAGACGACGATTTTGGGCACATATTGAAAAATAGTATAGAAAGAACAAACTAGAAGAACTATATCATGATATAGAAAAGAAACAAGATGAATCTAAGATAGCAAAGAACGAGAAAGATGGTGAGGGAAATTACTTGTTCTTTAACATGTTCATTTTTATATTCAAATTGTGAGAAGTTAAGAATTCAACTGTAAAATTGTGTATTGAGTTGTGCATAACGACATAACAATAAAGAATCCGTAGAGACATACAACATGGGTGAAATTGAAGTATAGAAAAAATAAAACTAAACAAAATGCTTTGCAAAAGCGAGCAGCGTCCACCTAAAAGTGACCAGACCCAAACGATCTCACCTTTTTCTCGTCTAAAACTTCTCCAGGACGTAATTTCGTGACCTGTTGTTAAAAAATATTGATAATAACCCCCTTAGACATGACAGTGTGCCCTACCTAGTTCTCTGATGCCGAACCTGAGTGACCTGCCTAGACTAACGCCTCTGAATCATTATTTGGTGCTTGATTGCAACAGCTAGTGCATAAGTTATTACGTTATGTATTACGTCATCATATTGTTAATCTTTGTTAGCTTTCTCCCATACAACTTGCGCTGTAGTTAATGTCTGTAATACGCTCTGCTTAGAAATACATGTTCAATCTGTGTGTCCGTTATTCTGTGTGCATACGTGCGTAAAAGCTGTGCAGTTTATTTTGTGCTCTGAACCTCAAAAGTGTGTGCAATAGCTTTGTGCTTTGTACGAGAAAAAGTATTGTAACTAATGGGTAATGTGGATAGTCACATATTGATGTATTTCTTAAAAATTTAAATACTTTGAAAGGATAAATGAGGTAAAGATAAAAATATGTGAATATCCAATTTTACCCACGCATGAGTTGTTTTTAACCGCGTCAGATGCAAATGCATTAAGATTTCGTTGACAATTATAGTTAAATCCTCATCACGGCGTTATTTTTAACGTATAGCATTCACGTAATATTCTTAGCAGTTTTTCTGTTACCTTCTTGTCTTCGATCACCTCACCAGGTCTTAGTTTTCTATTCTCCTGTGGATTATGTTTTGTACGATCTTAATATCTACACAAACGCTCTGTCGCTGTATTGGTGTATTTTGTGAAACTCGTTGTGAATGCTAAGGTCTAAATATCTAAAAGCGGGGAGTGTAGGACTCTACTATTTTTAAATCCGTATAAATCAACTAACCTTTTCGACGCTAATCAAGCGAACGAAGTTTAAAATCAAAGCTGTGTCGTGGAAATTGCTGATTATTGGCGTAATTCAAAGGATATAACCAAAGGTGTCTAAGGTTACGGGTTCGGCTTGAGAGAGTAGGATACTATACTACAAAAGGGGCTCAAAATTGTATAGCTTAGTACAAAAATCAAAATTAATTACGATTGAATACAAATTACAAAATATTAACAAATAAAAGATGAATTGTAATTTGATGTTTGTACTAAGCAATAAAACGTACTATTCTAAATTGTATGTCATAATTATGTATAGCTACTTATTCATACCTTTAGAAAAGTGACGATGTACATTTTAATGTAGCTAAAGATTTAATTATGTAAAAAGGGAAATTAAAATATTTGATTACAGACAATTTACTAAAAATCATAATACATACCTCATCGCTGATGATGAGAGAAGGACGTCTTCCCATTTCCTCCGGGGGAGGAATGAGTGAGCCACGTCTACCGGGGGGAGCGGGTGATAGGGAAGGTTTCCTGGGCATTTCCGGTTTAGGTGATTTTTCATGTACAACTTCAATCTTAGGTGCGGCTGGCTTCTCTTCAGGCTCTTTGATCTTAGGAGCAGCTGGTGCTGGTGGTTCTTCAGGAGCTTTGACTTCTGCGATTTTCGGTTTGTCTGCCGGCTACAAAACAGCAAACAGAGATTGTGTTCATTACACAAATTGTCGGCATGGCTTATTCTATCAAAATATTTTCTTTAACATTACCTTATCCTTTTCGGGCTTCTCCCTGGTAGTGGGAGTAGGCGAAATCTTTTCATATTTCTCAAGGTCTGGCCTTTCATAGTCTGGGATTTCTGGTAATTCTTCAGCCTTCTTCTTAACTGTTGTAGCTTTGGCCTTTTTCACTTCGGCCTCCACCTTTTCTTCCTTCATTGCCACTTTCTGTAATTAAAATAACATGAGTAATCTAGAAATATCTGCAAAATCCGTTTCTGAAAATGTAAGATTTTCTAAAAAATACCTAAAATCACAGTTACAATTTATACAAAAGATTGCTTAAAGTTGACTTATAATTCAATAATGTAACAAATAACTTACCACCAATCCTGTGAAAGTCGTGAAAAATAATACAATACATTTATTTTTATACAGAAACGAATATTTTAAACTTGTGCAAAATTATTAGAAGCAATAGCTGAAGCGGGAAATTTAAAAACATGAAAAAAAGTAAAATAAAAAGATGCAGATATCGCTAACAGAAACATATATGTTATTAGTTAGTTTCATACTTACGTTTCATATTTAATCAAACAATTAAATTGTCATATAATACCTACAATTTGTAATTTCCAATAAGTTATACTATCTACTTTTATGTTATCTAAAACTACGTGTGCTCTTCTAAATACCAATTGTGACGATATAAAAATCTGTGCAATCAAAAGTTGGTGCAAAATTTGGTGCTCATGTTATTTGTAAAATTTTGTGAATTTTTAATTTTGCTGCTAAATCTACTTTGAGGCTCTACCTCATCAGGTGTTGGAGTGCTGCTAGGCGGTGTTTCTAATGTAGTCGGCTTGCTCTGTTCCTTGTCTTCAGCCTATAGAATAGACGATATGAATGACCGTATAATTGCTTAGGTATAAATTGCCCTGTCTATTTTTTTTTTGTTAACTACTGAAATTATTTAAAGTTATGACTGTTTGTTTTATTTAGAGTAGTGTTAATTTTAATATAGAGTGTAATAGTGTAGAAGGTGTTGGTGCAGGAGTTAAAAATGTTGTGAGTAATATAATCAGCACGGCATCGGAATGAAAAACTAAACCAATGTCGTTGTTCAGAAGCGAGGTAGCGTCCATCAACTAAACGAAAAAATTGCACTTTGAATTCGGATTTAGAGACTGGTACTTTTCTATGGTATTATATAAGAGTCTATTTACTTCTGATTACGTGCTGATTATACATAGAATAAAGGTGTGTGTGTACCTGAGGGGATTTAGCCCTTCTCCATGGTACAGTGTCACGTGTGTCGAGTAGTGTTGGCTTGAATTTGTCTTCCAATTCTGGCGTTTGTTCTGCCTAATAGTTAAATTTGTATTAATATTAGCTATATTGTGTAATTGTAGGTAATGTTTTGTGTGTAAAAGTAATGTGCGTGTACCTGTGGTATTTCAGGAATAACGTTCCATGAAAAAGGTACTTCGTTTTGCTTAGTGTCATCGTCTGGTGTGATAAATATCGGAACCTAAAGAACACGATGAAAGTGTTTTATGTTTGGGTTTAAAATTATTATGTTTTACGAATTTTCTACTAATTGTTTACCTCCTTTTTTATTTGTTTCCGCCAAGGGTAAGAGGGCTCTGTTGGCTTATTAATATCAGTGACCTGACAAGTTGTAATAATTTTTAATTATGTACAAATGGATAAACGAGTATCTAATAACAATTGAATAATTTTGTATACCTCAACTAGTTCACTCGTCTCAGAACTCGGAATTGATTCTTTGCGATCAGATATATCTGGTTTCTAAACAAAATTAATATGTATATTTAGTATCTTAACGCGTAATTAAGACGTTTAAAGAATATGAGAATAAAAAAATAATAATTTTGAAAATTATACCTCTTTCGTGGTACTTGATCGGCGCCATGGGTACGTATCCGTTTCATCAATTTTGTTTTCGTTGTCTTTTTTACTAATTGGTTTATCCGTGTCTTTTTTATTATCTAAAAGACTGGGTGAGATGTCTGTAGGTTTATCTGATTTTGGTTCTATAACATCCTGTGTGTAATAATTATTTTTACAATATTTTCTAAGAAATCTATTTATGTCTTATTTTAAAAATTGAAAACATTATTTTTAAAGAGAAGAATTTATGATTTTTAATGATTTAGATGTTTTTATACGAAATTAGAAATTAATTAACTTAAATACCTCTTTTTTTAGGCTACGTCGTCGCCATGGGTACTTAGATTCTATGGAATCGTTTTTATCTGTTGTTTTGTCCGTATCTGGTTTAGTTTCAGTTGTTTCCTGTTTACATATTTTAAAATTTAATTGAATATATCGAACATTAGATAAAAATGATGGTAAAGAGTTTTTCAAATATACCTCATCGTGTTTAGAATCACGTCGTGTAGGTGTAGGTTCTTTCGGTGTTTTGTGTAATGTTCTTTTTGTTTGTGTTGTATTTGTTTCTGTGTCATCCTCAACGTCCTGTTTGAAGTATATTTGTTAAGTAAATGTATAACATTTTTTATAGTGGACCTTGTATGTGTATTACCTCTCCTCTGCTTGATCGCCGCCAGGGGAAGGATGACTTCCTAGGTTGGTCTAAACTAACACTGCGTTTTGGTGTTGATTTGTCATTTGTTTCCTAACAAAGGTAATAAGGTTGTAATGAGTATTGTAGACTAGTAATATATTGTGTAATTGTGTGTAAATGTATATGTTTGTATACCTCTGTGTTTGGTTTAGATGTTCGCCATGGGTGTGGTGTTTCTGTTGTGTGTTCTGTTTGTTCGTCGGGTTTTTCTTCTGGTTTGCCTTTAGCAACGTCATCCTAATTTTCGAAAATAAGATTTTTTACCTCTTTTAACAAAATATCTTTATAGGTACGTTTTATATTATTGACGAGATTGTTATTTACAGGACACACAAATAAAGCTATAACAATACATAAATCATACATGGACTTGTATTTACATAAGTTCTTCACAGTTCCTTCAGATATATTTCTAACACATGCTCAACATCTAATAAGCAATCTTACCTTCAGTTTTATTTGCTCTAATTCATTTACTTCAGATTCTCTTACGGCGGTCTAAAAGCATAAAGCAGGAAAAAAATATATTCACGCTCATACGTTTCTGATGGAACTAAAAGCATCAATCAAAACGCAACTGGACTAAAAAAAAAATTTAAATACTAAAGTTATGTACTACGTAAAATATTTTAAAGTAAGCGAAACACTGTATATTTAATTTTATGACTGAAACCAATAAAAATAAGTTAGCACTAATGTTTCAAACTTCAAAGTGTAAATATAAATTTGGGATCTGGCTTAAGGAAATGCGGGAAGCTCGTAAGCGAAATTTGAAAAACAGATCTTGTAAAATATCTAATTCAAACTAAGTATAGCTTTCTTTATTACTATATTTTTGCCTATAGTATTAGTATACTATGTCAATAAACTGCGACTTCAGTACGTGTGCCTTCATATCTTCGTACCGGCGATTAATTTTAGATTCTAGACTAATAAGGCACATCTTTAGTGTTATTTGGCCACTTGCATGGAAACGGGATTTGAATTTTTTTTCAAGTCTCATGTTTTTGTGCTCGTGTATCTATCCTGTTTTTTTTGTGTAAAATTCATAAATTACCTTAAGTGAACCCTTGCGCACAGAGGATACTTGTTGCTGTTCAGATATTGAAGAAATCGACGACTTTCTGCTTTCAGCCGTTTCTTTTGTAAGCTGTGGTAAAAATAATGTGTAAAAAAATTTATTGCAAATTCTAGTAACATTAATTTCTTTGGATCAAAGTACACGATTACAAAACTATTTAAATATTTTAACTGAACTGTTTTTACATTACAAATGTTACCTTTATACTTTAAAAAATTACCTTAAGAGCTTTGTTTTCAATAATGGAACTTCTACGGCTCTCGGTTTTGATTTCTTCTTTCATCTGTTAAACAGAGTTAATATTAATATAATTGGTCTGTACCTTCATGCACCTTTTTTTTTCAATCGTTGGATTATTCTATTAAAATATGTTGGAAATATTTACCTCTGACTGAACCGAAGTTCTTCTGCTTTCAGTCTAAAAAGAGAAATAAAAAATAGAATTAAAACCTGAAGTACAATTGAAGAAGAAACACAATCGTGTCGTTCTCCAAAATTTTAAGAACAATCGGTATGTTAGAGTTAATCACTTTGGAATTGAATTCTATGGATGCGTATACCGTACTGTACAATCTTAAAAAAATATACGAACGAATTGCGTACTTCCTTCTTTTGGAAAGTCGGTCAAAAAGTTTCATGATTATTTACATTGACATCATTCTTTTGTCGGTTTGTCAAGGAAATCCATTTTCACAGGACAACCGAAATGGAATCGAACATTGGGTCCAACATCTTTAAATAGTTACAGTTAAAAAAACAAAAACACTGATGTTGAAACAAGGCTAATTTTTTATCCATATTTAAAGATGTTTTGTTGTAGGGTCACACATGAATTTCTTTATTTCTACCTTCACTTCGAGGTATTGTGCTTGATGTTGTGCCTGTGCTACCATCACCTGTTTTGATAGTTTTTTTGTTTATTAAGTAAAAGAAATATTCTTATAAGTTTCAGTTAAAATTCTCGTTTGTTGCTCACCGTTGTTTGTTCTTTTTCTTTCTTCTCCTTGACTGTAGGCGTGGGAGAAATCTTTTCGTACTTCTCCAATACCGGTCGCTCGTAGTCGTCGACAAAGTCAAGCTCGTACTGGAAAATTACATAAATTGAATTATTTTTTAATATCGTAAGTGATTTTTCAAGAACATAACTTAGCAGTTATGCAAGATAGAAAGAGAGCTTATAAATATATGATAAGGCTTTGTAAAAAAATTAAACATAAAAGACACATACATACCACAGCTGCGAAAAAAGACAAAAGAAAAGAGCATGCGACTTGCGACGACCACAAAAACATAAGGCCACAGATTGAAGGAACAACGAAATATATTTGAGGCAATCGACGTCACGAATGTGGTGTGTAAGCTAAGAGTAGGTGTGTGCAGTGTGTGAACATTTAGAAATAGGAAAGGTATTCTTGTGTATATACGTGTGCAGTAATATTTTAAACATATAATATAAAGTATGTACAAAAGATTGAAGTTTGTAGATACAAGTACAGAAGAAAATGACATCATTTTCATACTCATAAAGTAGTGTTTACCCCATCGTGTATTTCCTGTTCACTACGTGTTGCTTGTTTAGGTTTGTCTGTAGTTTTCTTAACTGTTTTCTTAAGTTTTGGTATTTCAAATTTGCCTCCTTGTATTGCCAAAGGCTCCTAAAGAATCAAAATAAGTTTAATATCGGATATCTAAATTATTTAAAGCATAATTGATAATAATTAATGCAGGTTCTATCGAGTTAGATTGGTGGTGCAGTGTTCAAAATGTGATATTAGAAGACATGCGTAAAGAGATTCGTTAGTGTACTTATTTAAGTATCTCAACCATTTTAAACTCTATTAAATTCCACACTCTCTGTAAATACATTTTAAGGGTAAAATTTGATTGACTATTCTACCTCTTTGTCATCTTTGACTCCTTTCTTGACAACAGCTGGCTTTTTAACTTTAAGTGCTGCCGCCTCAGTTCCCTCCTAAATTGATTAACACATTATTTTGTGATGTTTAAAATTTCGAATAACTTGAGATTGGTTGAGATATTTAAAAATTGAAAAAGTGGTAGTACCGTAGGCTCTTTCTTAGCTGGTGTCTTGTGCGTGAGAGATGCATCCTCCGGAGCAGTTGTGCTTGTCTTAGTGCGAGGCTTGGTGAGACTGACAGACTCTTCTGTGTCCTCACCCTGACCCCGAAATTATATACAGAAATGTTAGATAGTGCAGCAGAGTTGTACAAAGTAATGTTTAAAAGAAAAGTGATTCATCTATCCGATAAGGAAAAGAATAGTGGGATAAAGTATTAAGTAAGAATAGGACAAACAGAAAAAGTGTTTTGAAGAACGATTGCTCTTAAGACTGTACAAGTTATTTACTGCTTAAGTGCTTTAACATTGCAATTTATGGAACTAGGGCGGTGTATTTTAGCTAAATTGTGATTTTAATTACCCACGAACATTTACGATAGTGCTATTGTGCATTTATGTGTATTTTTTTCTATAGATTCTTTATACAAAAATACCTTTGTGATAACACTGACTCTCCTTAAAATATCTGACGGTGAAACAATTTGAGATTTATAAATCTCAGTCTGTGGATAGTCGTATAATTTTAAATATGAAGACAACAAAATAGGACAAAAAAATTACTTCTACAATTGAACAAAAATAATTCTTACTAACGCTGTTTTACAAATAAGTTGTAGCTAAATCTTTTTAACTTTAATTAAATCATACCTTTTTGCCCTTGTCTTTAATAGATGGTTTCTTAAATGTTTTTTCCTCGACAATTTCTGGCTTTTTGACGTTTAATTTCGCCTCAGCCTCGTCCTCCTATGTTATACAGTATTTCGTTATTAAATGTGATCATTGTAAGAATAAGAACAGTGCTTGTGTATACCAACCGTGGGAGTTATTTCTGCTGGTGTTTTGTGTGTTAGTGAGACATCTTCAGGTGCCGGTTTCGTTGGAGCTTTCGGTTTACTCAACTGAACCTCCTCATCGACATCCATTGGCTAAGGAAAGAGTGTATATTAAGTTGTAAGATTGTCAATAGTATTGATTAAATGACTTAAAACGTTTTATTCTGTTCGTACCTCTGGTTTGTCTTTAGCAGAAGGTCGCCTAGATGTGAATGACTCGGAAGGTACTTCCTCATCTGGTTTCTTTTCGTCCTATACATTGAAATTTATAGGGTGAGTATTCTTTAAAAGTTTATTTGTATGTGATAAAGTGTAAGGATTTATGTCAATATACCTTCTTCTTTTTCTGTATTGGTGTTGGTGTGATTTTCTCGTATTTTTCAAGTACTGGCCTTTCGTAATCATCGACAAATTCTTCTTCCATAACCTTTAAAATGTTGAATAGACTATTACAATCTATCTAGATGTTATATTTGAAGGCGATTATTTTTTATTTAGTGGTGCTGCGTAATAATCATAGATTATAATATATCATTTAGATGAGCAGAAAATGAGTACTACAGAAACCTTAATAGTAAAAAGTTGCCGTATGTATATAATTCTTAAAATTAGTAAGCTTGGATGCAACGAGACAATAGTATAAAACATCCTTTTGTATGTTTTTTAAACAGAGAGCTGAATACATGCATGCCGACAACAAATTAGTATACTTATCTTTAGGTATAGCAAACAAAATAGAGAAGATTCGCGAAATAAATTGGGCTTTCGGATCGTAAATAAAGCAAACAGATTAAATCTTTACGCTGATGTTACCCTGATTCTACCACACCATAATTTTAAGTGTTAAATGTTATGTAAGTGGAAGTGTTCGTATGTTGACTATGTGTAAATTGTTGTTTCTCTGATTGTGTACCTCTTTTTCTTTGATCGATGGTCGTTTTTTAGTGCCTGGTTCAACTTTTTTAACCGTTTTTTTCTTTGGTTTCTCTTCTGGTTTCTGTTCGTCGTCCTAAGTGACAAGTTTTAATTTTATTTTAGTTTATATAAAGTATAAATTTTAGTTTTTGATTAATTATATTTAGATTTATGTTTACCTTATCTTTAGGTACAGAACGTTTACGCAGTGTTGGCGTTTGTGGTTCTTCTTCTTTATCTTTGGGTTTAATTTTACCTTTCGTAATATCCACCTCGTCCTAAAGACAGAAGATTTTGATTCATTTGAATAAAAATAAAACACTGTCAATGTAGGAATTTTTTTGTTTATCTCCTACAATGTTTTACCTGTACATCTTTAGAACCACGTTTATCTTTTGTTGGACGTCTAACTTTTTCATTTTCTTCTAATTCAGATTTTTCGTCCTCGTCAACAATCGTTTCGTCCTATAAAGTTACGTACATTGGAAGTAATTTTGACAATTTAACTTTAAAAGCAAACAGATAAAGAAAATTTACTATTGCGCTATTAAGTGAAAGTTAGAGAAGATTTTACCTCTTCTAAATCTCTTCGTACTTTAGTTCTATCTGTGCTCGTTGGCGATATTTTATCGTATTTCTCTAGATCTGGTCTTTCATATTCATCAACGTACTTTTTCTCTTCTTCGGGCTTTAAAATTTAGAAATTAAAGTTAAGAAGGTGCTAAATATATTTTAAAAATCATCGAAATAGTAACTCGTTGTTACCTTTTTAACCGTCTTTTTAACCTGAGCAACTTGCGGCTCTTCTGGTTCTACTTGGCCAGGTTTTGTTGGACCCTTGGATAATTTAACTTTGGATAGTTCATCCACGGACTCTTCTGGTTTGGGAATACCCTTTTTAATGCTAGGTCGTCTGGTTTCATCTACATCCTACATAACATACACGGTTTTATATACCAAAAAGATTTAAACTTAATAAAAAACGTTTTTAACGATATTACTAATTATCTACCTTTTCTTTGGTGTCGGATTTTGGTTTTTTATCGGATACGGGTTCAGCTATGGATGGTTCTTCTTCGCTTTCAACATCCTCAATTTCAATACTTTCTGATACGGATGGCCGTTTATCCTATTATTTTAATATTGCATTATTTTTTTATACTTCTATTCTAATAGAAAAGTGAGTGAGTGTAATGTGTACTATGTGTATTTACCTGAGGAGTGTCATCCTTTTTACGTGTTTTAGGTAATGGTGTTGGTGTGATTTTTTCGTATTTCTCCAATACTGGACGCTCGTAATCATCTTCGAACTCAAATTCGTCCTACATTGAAATACAGTAACACATGTTAGCACAACAAATATATATACATGAAAGCAAGTATAAGCAACATTGACATTCCATATGTAACAATGTTATATACTAAAGCATACGCAATTGTTAAAATAAGAAAACATTTTGCGGTATTGTTATAAAAGCTAGAATATTTACAATTTTGAATTGTTCAACTTTAGATCTACACTACAACTATCTCTGTACTATCAAATCACGTGTTTTGTTACAGTGTTAAAAATCGCATCAGACTAACGTTGGACGTGTTAAATGTATATTGTTTTTAATTGAATATAATTCTATATCTTAAATCATTTAGTTTAGCTAACTCATAAAATTTGACATAGCATTCTTATGGAAAAAAAATTTTATTCTATTCCAAAATTTGTTCTACTACCAGACTATTTTGTTAGTGTTAACAATTGTGAGTGTTTAATGTGAAGTTTGTTAAGTGTGCAATGTTTTAATCTGTGTACCTCCTTCTCTTTAATAGATGGACGTTTTTTAGTAACCGTAACATCTTTTTTAACGGTTTTCTTCTTTGGTTTTTCTTCAGGTTTTTTATCTTCACCCTAAACGATAAGTGTCATTGAATTAAAGTGATTTTTTTTTAATCTCATAAGTTAAATTTTTGCTTTCTCAAATTTTACCTTATCTTTAGGTACGGAACGTTTACGCAGTGTTGGTATTTGTGGTTCGTCCTCTTTATCTTTGGGTTTAATTTTACCTTTCATAATATCCACCTCGTCCTAGAGATAATAATTTTCATAATTAAAAATGAAATGTGCTTAACTCGCTTTTTTTTTCCTACAAATTATTACCTGTACGTCTTTAGAATCACGTTTGCCTTTGGTTGTACGTGTAACTTTTTCATATTCAGATTCTGATATTTCGTCATCGTCGACAATCATTTTATCCTATAAATTTATGCGAATTGAAGATTAATTTAAACTACATACGTGTTTTTTATTCTTTTTTTAGTTAGATTCAAGCATTACCTCATCTAAATCTGTTCTAGTTTTAGTTCTATCTGTACTTCTAGGCGATACTTTGTCGTGTTTCTCAAGATCTGTCTTTTTGTATTCGTCAACGTACTCTCTTTCTTCATCAGGCTTTAAAATTTACAAAATAAAGTTAAATTATCGTATTTTTTTACGAAACCGTGCCTAATTAGTAAAGAAAAATGTTTTAGTTGATACCTTTTTAATTATCTTATGAACTTGAGCAACTTGTGGTTTTTCAAGTTTTTCGTCACCAGGTTTTGATGGCCCTTTAGATAGTTTGATATTTGATAGCTCATCAACTAATTCCTCTGGTTTAGGAATACTCTTTTTATCACTAGGATGCTTTATTTCATCTTCAACCTACGTATATAAATGTGAATTTTAAAAATGAACCTTTTCCTACTATTCTATTGTAACCAATTGAAATCTGTTATAATACAGATTTTATTCAGAACCGTATTTTTTTTACATATCTACCTTTTCATTGCTGTCGATTTTGTGTTTTTTGTCCGGTACTGATTCAATTACCGATGTCTCTTCGTCACTTTCAATGCTCTCAATTTTTTCAGATACCGATGGCCGTTTCTCCTATTATTTAAGTTGCGATTTAATAAAAAGTGTATTTTGTACCTAATTCAATAAGTGTAAAAGAGTAATGTGTATTTACCTGAGGAGTGTCATCCTTTTTACGTGTTTTAGGTAATGGTGTTGGTGTAATTTTTTCGTATTTCTCCAATACGGGTCGCTCGTAATCATCTTCAAACTCAAATTCATCCTACATTGAAATACAGTTTAGCACATGTAAGCACAACAAATGTATATACGTATGTACATATACATAGAAGCAAGTGTATAGCAATATTATCATTCCATATGTAAGTAATATTGTTACACTTTAAATAGTATTTAAGCATATGCCACTGTTAAATAACAACATATTTTGCGGTACAGTTATTAAAGCATAGTTTTATTTTTTGTAGTTTCGAATTATTATTTTGTGTCAAAGTATTATCCTAATACTACCAGACCATATATTTTGTTAAAGTGTTATAATGTCAGTTTAAATGTTACGCATATTAAGTGTAAATTATGTTTAGTTTCATGTACCTCCTTTTCTTTGATAGATGATCGTTTTTTAGTACCCGTTTCAACTTTTTTCACAGTTTTTTTCTTTGGCTTTTCGTCGGGTTTCTTATCTTCGTCCTGAGCGGCAAGATTCATTGGTACGTTATTTTAGTTTTCGAATAATTTAGTTTATAGAAAAGTTTAAAAATAGAGGTTACCTTATCTTTAGGTACAGAACGTTTACGTAGTGTTGGGATTTGTGGTTCGTCTTCTTTATCTTTGGGTTTAATTTTACCTTTCATTATGTCCACCTCATCCTACAGACAATTAGCAACATATTTAAAATAAATTAATAACGATATTTATGTGAAATATATAAAGAAGTAACAAATCTGCCTTTTAATATTATACCTGAATTTCTTTAGAGCCTCGTTTGCCCTTAGGCGTAGGACTGATTTTTTCATATTTTTCCAATTCTGGTTTCTCATAATCGTCGACAATCATTTCATCCTATAAATTTAGTACGGGTTTTAAGATTTTCGATCATTATATTGCACAAAAATTACGTATTCTTACTAAAAAAAAAACAACTAAATGGAAACGAAATTAAGTTAAAGATTTTCGTTCTGTACCTCTTTTACTCCGTTTTGTTTTTTAGTTCTATCTGTGCTTGTTGGCGATACTTTATCGTATTTCTCTAAATCTGGCTTTTCGTAATCATCGACGTACTCTCTTTCTTCTTCGGGCTTTAAAATTCATAAAATTAAAGTTAAGAAGGTTTCACAAAATGTGTAAATTAAGGAAAAAGTAACCCGTTGTTACCTTTTTAGCTGTCTTTTTAACCTGAGCAACTTGCGGCTCTTCTGGTTCTACTTGGCCAGGTTTTGTTGGGCCCTTGGATAATTTAACTTTCGATAATTCATCCACAGGCTCTTCTGGTTTTGGAATACCCTTTTTAAGACTAGGTCGTCTTGTTTCCTCTTCAACCTACGTATTTAATTTCAAAAATATAATAATACTACGCTTAGTAACTTGAACACTTTATGTAAAGAATAAAATTATTTTGTTTTCTACCTTTTCTTTGTTATCAGGTTTTTGTTTCTTATCAGGTACAGGTCCAGCCAAGGATGGCTCTTCTTCACTTTCGATTTCTTCAATTTCAATGTTCTCAGACATTGACCCCCGCTTACCCTATTTCATATACGCATGTTTTAATTTAAAATTTTAAGTTCGAATTATTTCACTGTAAGTGTATATGGCAGTTACCTTAGGAATGTCATCTTTTTTAGGTTTTTTATAAAGTGGTGTAGGTGTAATTTTTTCGTATTTCTCCAAAACTGGACGCTCGTAATCATCCTCGAACTCGAATTCATCCTACAGTTAAATACAATTTAGCACATCTAAACGTTAATACAACAAACATAAACAAAATGATTCGTGTAAGTAAGAATTTGTATGTAAATTTACACAATGTGTCACGGTACGCCGTCTATAGTACTTTTACAAAACGCCTTAGTAACTTGTAACTTTTATTATGGTGGTTGGCTGTTTACAACATAAAACAGTTTGATATGGCTTATTTAAAATACATACACGCTCAATATTTACAACAGTAAGTTCTAACATAAATTAACGCATGATTGTTAAAATTACTCACCTCGGCCTCTTTTTTAGAAACAACCTTCTTTTTAACGACTTTCTTCTTCTCTCCGACCTTTTTGGTAGTCTCCTTCTTTTCGTCGACAACTTTGGTTTCTTCTTCTTTAGGTTTCACTGGCTTGAGTTTAGGAATACCCTCAATTTTGGCTTCAGGTTCAGCTTCTGGTTTCTTCTTTCTTTCCTCAATTTTCTCTAATAACGCTAACTTTTCTTCTTCAGTTTTAGCGGTTTTCTTTTCCAATACCTTCCTGGTTTCTTCTACCTCAGCTTCAGATTTTTTCGCTTCAGTTTTCTTAGCTTCTACTTTCTTAACTTCTACTTGAGCTTCCGTTTTTTTGGCTTCAATCTTCATTTCTTGTTTGCTTTCTTCCACCTTCGTTTCTTCTTTCTTTGTCACCTTCTTCGCGGCAGATTTCTTTTCTTGAATTATTTGCGTTTCCTCTTCATGCTTTTGAATCTGTTCCTTTTATAACAGAAGTACAATTTTATATTTTAAATAATCTATTTTACTACGATTTGCTTTCTTTATAAACATGAATTTGGAAAAAGTTTTCGTATTTTATTCGCTTCAACAATCGTAATTGTAATTGGAGAATAAAAAAATATATAAAAAAACTGTCTTACACTTACCTCTTTCCTTTCGTCTACATGATTTTCTTCAATAACCGACTTTTCTTCTACTATAGACATCTCCTCTTCAGATTCTTCGATAACAGTTGTTTCTTCTTCTTCCTCTTCCTTTTTCTTTTTCTGAAGCAGATAGGTTATTAAATTCACTTAAAAATATATGACTTTTAAACTAAATTTTCAATAAAATCAGAACATACACAATATATTAGTTATAATAGTATAAATCCGATTTCTGGTTAATTTGATAGTTAATTTATGTTTTTGACAGAAATTAAATGTAACAATACTTTTATGAGGCAATACCTTTTTCTATATTTTCGTTTTATAAAAGTTAAGCCAAAAATCTCAATGGAAACTCGGTTATAAGTTCATAGTAGTAGTAAAAATTACCTTTTCCTCTACAAGAGTTAGATCAGCGCTGGATTCGTCCTCGCCAAATTCGTTTCTTATAACAACTCGGTAGTTTGCGACGTACTTTACCGACACTTTTCTGATGATCAGCCGTGCGTTAGTACCATCAAAGGAAGTGTTGACCTCAGATGAATCTCTGATGACTGTAGAGTTTTTGTACCAAGTACATCTGCAGGATTGATCTGATGTTTTGAGAACAGCTACAAATTCTGCTTCTTCATTTTCTTTTCTTGCCTATAAAAGTAAAATTCAGCGTTTAAGGATTAACTGTAAAAGTTTACGAAATCTATCAGTATTTAACTAACATCGATTAAATTCAAACACTTCGATACTTACCAGACTTCTTAGATGTTTAATGATGTACGGTTTATCACCCTTTTCTTCGGGAATTTCAGTTATTTCAACTTGCTGTGATGTAGCTTCACCTTTCTCGTTTCTGGCAACAAGTTTGTATGAGCCTTTGTCTTGTTGAGAAATATTTGAAATTTCTAATTTAACCGTAAATTCGCCCTGCAACACATTGTTACTGGTAAATAATTATCTGTTTTGTAATAATGTCATAAATAACTATTTTGACAAAAAACTATACTTCTCTCAGTGGTTCAATCAATACGGTATGTCGGGAATCCTCTTTGACTGCACTTGCTTCCTTGAACCACGTACAAGAAGGTGCAAATTTACTTAATACTTTACATTCAACGATCACAGTCTTCTTCTTAACTATTTTAATGATCTTTGGTCTCTCTTTGATAACTGGAATGACTAGAATAAAAACAAAATACCATAAGTCTCTGAACAACATCTTTGTAAAATTGATTGACTCATATTTAACATGCACTTACTTTCAATATTGAGCGTAAGATTGGCATTGAGCTCTCCAAGTTCATTTTTGATGTTGCATTTATACAATCCGGAGTCATCAATACCAGGGTCAATGAGTTCCAAAATAATTGTATAAATATCTTCTTTGACTTCGACCCTGGTTTTAATTTTCGACGAGTCCCTTATTTCTCTACCCTCGTGATACCACACAATTGTTGGTCTCGGGCTAGCTTTAACTTTACAACCCATGATTACCAATTTACCGTTGTCTTTGGACTGAATAGTGGGCTTTTCAACAAATGACGGCCCTTCACCTTCAGGTTCTGGTTCAGCCTCAATATTTAAGTTTAGATTAGCATTGCTTTCGCCAAATTCATTTCTTACGTGACAGCGGTACGCGCCACCATCCGCTGCTGTAGGGTTTGATAGGAGCAATACTAGTTCATAAACGTCTTCGCTAATTACGGTCGACTTAAGTTGAATTTTACTGCTAGCCTTGATAACCGTTGTGCCTCTGTACCACGTTACTTCTGCCGCCGGCTTTGCTTTGCAGACACACCTCATTGTTATTAACGTACCATCCTCGTTAGGTATAATTCTTGGTTTCTCGATGAATGATGGAGCGAAACCATTTTCTTCATCCCCACCTATAAAGAATTAAATCATTAAACATTTAAAGCATCGAACAATGTAAAAAAACCAATCATGCTGCAAAACAAGCTCAAAGGCCCACATGCATGCTCCTGTATGCGTACGTATCTACACTTTTATTTAAATTCGAATTTTGTTTGTAGTTTTACCTTGAAAATTGAGAGCAATATTGGCATTGCTTTCACCAAATACGTTAAAGGCGTTACATCTATAATTTCCGCCATCTTCCCTAGTCGGATTTAAGATTTCTAATGTTAAATTAAAAGTATCTTTTCCGGTTGCTTTTCTAGACATTTTCATTTTAGGACCATCTTTAATTTCTGTATCTCCATGGAACCAGGTAATATCTGGCATTGGATGTGCTTCAAGTATACACTCCATAATTAGTAAGTCACCATCTTGTCTAATAGTTGGCTTTTTAGGAAACCTTGGTGCTTTACCAGCGGGAATTCTGTTTGAAAAATAAAAGATTTATTAAAATCCCTAACTGAAGCTCTTTATTGAATGATAGATTATTTAAGAGCTTACTTTGGTTTATCTCCACCTTCAAAATTTAAATTGATTTTTGCTACACCTTCTCCGTATTTGTTTTTTGCTACAGCTCTATACTCTCCCTTGTCAGCATTTTCCACGCCTATGATTTCTAGTCGCGCCATATAATATAAAGTTTGATCCTCCTCGAGCGTTATTTTATATCTATTACTTTCTTTAACTATCTTTTTACCATGGTACCTGTTGTGTGCATTAAATGTTTATTTAATTTCATAATTTACAACAGCTTTCTCAACATACATCATCTTTACTCTTACCATGTGACGGTTGGTTTCGGTTTGCCAACGCATCGACATTCGAAAGTGATTTTGGTACCATCCTCCGATTGCCTGATGACGGGCCTCTCCGTAAAAGTAGGTTTGATTGAGTCTTCAGGCACGGGGGCTTCGTCGCCTAATGTGTCAATTTCATAATTAGCTTTTAAAACTAGTCCATTTTCACTAAAATTTGCAGCTTTCTCATTCTCATTGTTTGTTATGTCTTATTTAAGATGTTTTCTTTGATACGTGTACTTATTAAGTATATTACGCAGCCAGGTACGGTATATTATAAAGTTAATTGTGGATACTAAGAGAATATTATTATAATAAAATATATAAATATCATATTCGGATTAAGTTTTATATTTTTAATTCTACTGTATAATCTCACAAACTGTACGCATATCAGTTGCATTGCTATAACATTAAATAAACGATGAAAGTGCTGAAGCAAAAATTAACAGATTCCGTTTACAAAGGACATTTATAAAATATCAAAGCATTGGTTTAGAAAGTAGTTTATGGATGCGTTATGATGTAAAATGGAGTATTCAATGGCATGCGTATGTAAATATAGGTGAAAAGCAAAATGACGTGGCAAATAATATGAATTTAAGACATGTAAAGTGTACAAAATTGTGTTGCATTCGTCATATGTAAGAAAACATCTTAAATTGTGACCACTTTGACTTACCATACTTATAAGCTGGTATCGTGTAACATGTGGAGTATTTAACATAATGTATTAGTTTGATGATCGTATAAGCTTAGCTGCAAATTCTACGTGAAAAATGGAACTAACAATGTTTATGACTAGTGGATTAGGTTCACACATATAGCTAAGTTAAACATGAGCATTTTTAATACTGCTAATGAGCATTATGCAAGTTTCTAATTACTTTAACAAATGACAGTTTCTTTTTTCTTCAATATGAAAGTAAAAAAGTATTTTAATGTTCAATTGTAAATTAATCTCAAAGGTAATAATAAAATAGATATGTAGTATGCATTTTTAAATAATATTTTTGCTACGGTTCATGTTTTGTGTTGCTCATTATCGAAATAAGTGTTAAATTAAACTTATAAATAGTAATAAACAAAATCTTACTGTCAAAGTTCAAGCTGATTGTTGCATTGCTCTCTCCGAGTTCGTTTTTGGCTGTCACCCGATATTTGCCTGCGTCCTCTACTGTCACGTTGTTGATCTCCAACGACGCGTAGTACGACTTGCCGTCTTTGCTTACTGTCAACTGTTGAACAAACCAGAAAATCATTGTGTAACTAATTATTTAAGCACACGTTATGCCGTTCGGGTTGAAAAACGCTCTTTATAGTTTTGGAATATAGGACCAAAATCCAGATGGAAACTAGAAATTCTGTTTAAATATTTACTACTCACTTGTTATTTATTCGAATTCGAGAAGGATTTTTTTTAGAATAGTATAAAATAATATTAAACAGATGTAGGTCATCGAATGTCTTGCTTGTGTACACCTGTCTATGTTTACAGCCAAATGGATCGAGGTCAAGGCCATCTCTTATTACTTTAAAATTCTTACCTTCATTTACATTTACGTTATAAAAACTACTTCTAAACTCGATTAGGGTTACTTTCAAATTAGTGACTTTACTCAAATTGATTTTTTAAAAAACTGATTTAGTAAATATTATTCAAATATGCCTTTTTGCTGAGGTCTTTCCTGAGCAAGAGTATGGCAAGAAATCTCAATGTTACTTACTTTATGTCTAGCTCCTGGTTTTACTTCTGTCGTGTTGTGGAACCAGACTACGCTGGGCACGGGCGTCGCCTCGATGCGGCACTCGAAGATAAGTCGCTTGCCGTCGTCCTCCTGCCTTATGGCCGGCTTGCGCGCGAATGTCGGTGCTTTGCCGTCCACTTGTCTGTTTAAACAGCAAGGTAAGGATTAATCGATTTTATGTCTTTAAATATTGGATACACATCGCAAGATATAATGAACTTTCCAAGGCATACGGTTTTACTGCAGTTGATATCTATTATATTATCATCATCGTCTCCCGTGCTCCTACTCCTCCTCCTCCCTCCTCCCGTAGAGTCGGCGCACCGGCTTTTCGTCCTCCAAATAACTCTATCATCCGTCATCTCAGTCATAACTCCCTTCTTGATCATGTCACCTTTTACGCAATCCATCCATCTCTTGTTGCTATATATTATATGGTCTATTGAACTTTTTAAATTTCTTTTTAAAAATGTGATGTGATGTTGCATTTGTGTGGTTATAACATTTAGTATCAGGTGAAACACTTGGCCTATATACCGACGCCAAACAGTTTTATTACAGTTATAAAATAGTTAAATATATTTTACTCACTTCTGTTTCTCCTCGTCAGCGGCTGGAATATAAAAAAGTATCGGTCAATACAAACTTGATTTACGATAGAAGTAATTGGAAGTGCCTAGATACAATCGCATGGTACAATTTTAGCGGATGAAGTCGAATGTTTATGAATTTGAATAACATCAAACAGATGTAAAATGTTATCTTGATGTTCTCAGAATACATCCCAGGTGTTGGGTTTATTCTAGATCTTACAGCTTTTATAAAGTTTTTTTTTCTAGATATAAAGCCGAATACAAGAATAACATTTTCTGGTAACATTGCATTCTATAAATCTCTTTGATATTATATATTTTTTATAATATGTACTTTAAAGGAAGTGAAGAAGGTGTAATTGCCAAAGTTTCATAATAAACACTAACTTACATGACATCTAACATACTTTTGTAGGGAAAACGAGACTCGGCAGTTTTTTATACTTCATATTTTTTGTGGGAATGTTGTTAATATTATCTATACAACGGAGCACCTGATTTAAGATCGACATAAGGCAGTGGTCTATATTCTTGAAAATTTATATTCTTTTATTCCTATACTTATTATTATTCCTGCTTAATTAAATATTGTAATATTTACTATCTCTCGTCTCTTCAATGTAATTTTTCTCCTTAATCATATAAACATACAGTATATTTATATCATAAGAATGTAAGACATTTGTATTGAAAATTCTATAAACTTTTACTAAATGTATTTTTCATAGGAGATATTTCTTTTGTTTATAGAATTTTCAAACAGTGTTTTATCTAAATGTTTTGTTTGGTCGATCATTCGTCATTTGTTATCTTCATAGCTTTCAACGGCTATAGTCATCGTAGAATATTAAGAAGCACTCCTTACCAACAGCCATTCTGCCAAAGTTCTCGTCTTGGCTCGTAACGAAAAGCGTGGGTTAGTGCTCCGTAGTCATTTTTTGTCGTCACTTATTTTCGTCTATGACTAATGCCGTTATTTGCGAAGGCATTTTTATTGGCATTAGTATTGGATTACGAACGAACATTTTAACAAATGTTTGATACAGTTTGTCGAAACTAATAACTTTATTGGCTAATTGCGTGGTTTACAACAGCGATAAACTTATTTAATAAACTAAATAATAATCAGACATTGTATTAGTGTAATAGCCGTCTTTTTTATTGATATTTAATCTATCTATTTATATTCAAACATAAGATAATAAACATTAGTTCCATATGTAACCTGCAGGAAATGTAATCTTAACCAATTATCATTTTGACGCTGTTAAATTAAAAGAATTTAGAATGGTCTTTCGTCATTTGAGTTCATATGTAGTTAAAGGGTATGTGCCACGGAACCCGATAGCATTGTCTGCACAATGCTAAATAAAATTATATACCTCCTTACACATGTGTGGATAATAATGATATAACTTACGGCTAAAGTTAAGATTGATGGAGGCGGCCACCTCGCCCATCTTGTTCTTAGCTTTGACCTTGTACAGCCCCGCGTCCGTCTCGATCACGTCGTCAAGCTCCAGCACCACAAGGAACTTGTTGTTCGTGATACTTTGGATTCTGCACATACATCGGTATATGGTACACATATGGTAGATTTCAGTGGTTAAGTATCATGAAGGATTATGCCATACAATTGAACCGTTACTTAGTGTCGTAGTTGGAATTGTTACCAGAAATATTAATACACTATTTTAATAATTAACTGAAGCAGTTGAGACTAAAGATACGGATTACCCATGACGCGACCATGGTTTCATTTGTTTTAAAATGTAAAAAACAAAAATAGCAAAAGTAAATTATATAGACAATTTATAGTTTAATGTAGGTCAATGACCTCATCAACCTCTCCAGAAAACAACTCCAGTTTTTTGAGATTTACATTACCATAATCCTTAATGTCCATACACACAAATTTAAACGGTATACCGATTATCAAAGAAATAATATATGTTCGGTTGCCAAGTGCTCTATAAAATAATTGTCATAGATAAAACGTAAATTATAGTCTTGAGTGACTATCGATATCAGCACTCTTTCACTCAAAATCTAAAGCAAATAATTCATTGTTGTTTGTATTATTTTTAACTAAATACTCGAAACATTTCTACATATAGGTTATAACGAATCGAATGATGACAGGTTTGTCAAAAACGGTTTAGTTACAATGGAATTGATAAACATTCGGTCGATTACTGTAACGAATCTTAAAAACTTCGTAAACGCCGCTTACAATCTGACAGACATCAAAATTTTAGTGGAATTTGAAGAATAACGTGGCCGTATAATAATGTCAATGGTCGCTGTTACACAATCTACTCTTATCCCCAAGTCTTAGTGCGGGCGCACACCTTTGAATAAAGTATCGCACAACATCAAAACACGACTAAACAGTTGTGTGACAGTTTAGTCAAAGGTGTGCGCGCTCATAGTTAACAATAAATATATGATTGATACAAAGCGCTCATAGTTAACAATAAATATATGATTGATACAAATTAGTACTCACTTAAAAGCAGTTCTGTTGTCTTCCTTGAGGAGTTCATCGCTGCGGTACCAGCTGATCTCCGGCTTGGGGGAGGCCAGGAGCTGGCACTCGAAGATGAGCTTGTTGCCGTCATCTTCCTGGCGCAGCTGCGGCTTCTGTGTGAAGCTCGGGGCTAAATCGTCAGACACCCCCATCGTGCTAACTGTGGGTCATTACTGCCGGGAACAACAGCCTCCTTGTACCTCACGAACTCCCACACCTGGTAACAATTACGTCATTGTTAGAAACAAAACACGATTTACTCTGTCGTGACGTCATCGTGATATGTATGATTCTAAGGCAAAGTTAAACTATTACCAAATATTACTACTATACATAATCCATTTATAGAGTTCAAGGTCGTAAATGTGACAAAAATATATGTCGGTGCATATTTTATTTACGTCACAAGTAATACTCTCATAGGTTAGCAAAATAATAAAAAATCTATTCTGTACCTTTTAACGTAAATAGGTAAATAATCTAGCTTTATATGTTGTAAAAGAAAGCGCAAAGTTTTCTTTGCTTTCTCCGGTTGTGGCGATAAGCAAACTTCGATAGGTACATTACAAATGTAGGTAAAAGAAGCCACTGACTTGATTTACACTTAGAAAACTAGTTACTGGGTCTAGAGACTGAAAAGCACTAAGATTTAATTACTTAAGCGGAGATTAATTAACTTATTAAACGCAGGATGCTGAGGTGTAACAATTTCTTTGACAAAATACATAAAAATGGATGAAGGTATGTAAAAAAAATTTTTTCTTTCATCAGAATAATTTTAAAATACTATCAATATCACGGTATTTCCATGTTAGTCATTAGCATTAGATCAGTAAGTCGATAGCTATGTTATAAAATTGAGGTTAGATCGTACGAGATATTTGCATAATAATTCAAAAAAACAAGAAATTAAAATAAAATCAAGTATCTTATTCTTCATGTTGCCCTCATTTCCGGTGTTATAAAAATGCATGGGTACTGCAGAAAAACCAATGGATACGGTTGTTGTATTGATTTTTATTATAAGAATTTTTCGTAGCAATGTGATATTTGCATTTCTGACAAGTATAGTGGCAACACCTCTCTTGCTAATATTTGTTTTGTATATTATTGTTGTCATCTCCTATACAGTTTAGAGTAAAGTATTTGCCGTAGTATCGGCGGTAGATTACATTCATGACTTGATGTTAACGGGTTTTACTGGGATATTTACAACCTAAACCTTACTGTTCGGAGAGTGGACTGTATCATTTTTGGATCTATGTATTAAAACTGCTGAGTTCTAGGAGCACCTCGAATCACTACTACAACTGTCATAGACAATTTTTAATTTTTTTATATTTTATTTATTGTTGCACGCAACACTTAGTACTATGTAGGAACTATATTTTTTATACTATATATCGTTTTTACCATAGCTTTATTTATTCTGCTTTAGAATATAAGGAAAATTAATAAATCAGAAATATCATTTTAACAACTAAATATATTTCAATAAACGATTGTTATGATAATAAACATTTTTGAAAGTAATATTGACAAGTAATGTTACAATAAATATAGAGTAATTTGTACGTTTAGTTTAGGTGGTCATAGAGAAATAACACCATAACTTTTCCTGCAAGTCAAAACTTGGGTCAGATATTTTTTTAATCTGGTAATATTATTAACGAAATTAAAAAAAATAGTTTAACTACTCCGTGAAAGTTAACATAAAGTATGTAAATGCCGGTATTACAAAAGCACGTAAAATGTTATTTTTATTTCATGTATCTTGAAATATTCGCGGAATCCATCCACCTATTTTACAAGTTTTACGAATTGATCGGGATTACTAAAGAACATTTCACCGACCGCATACGTAAAGTAATTTCGTAAACAACTAAAACATTTCATTTCAGTAGACGTAGCTGGACATTGGCCAAAACAAAAGCGTTCTAAAATTTAAAATTTAATTTTAAACAATAAACACTGAGACTTTTCAGATTGATAGTATAATAATTGCAAAAAACTTATGTTTCTTTACTTGACTTACTGAAGCCATTTAATTTAAACAGAAACAAAAGATAGTACACAAGTCTATTGACAAAGAAATTCAAACATGTCTGCCCCAGACAAAGTAACATTCGATTATCGCTTTCGCTAATCGAAAAGTCAAAAAAGTATGGATTAGCAATAACATTTCGTAAGTCACGTGCTTGTCACGATTGTACAAGCGATGTCGCTAATCTAAAGTCACATTGTTTAGGGGGCTGTTAAGTTAACTCGCACTGCTCCAGCGTAGGCTATGGCAAAGTCACTTCTAAATTTTAGGGTAGGCTCTGAAACACTAGGTGGGTATGTCCACATATATGTGTATGTACATACATGAGTTGACGAATACTCATAGTCAAGGTTCATAAATGCAATGTATTAAGATATTGTGGATTTTATAATATTTGAGTATTATATAGCGTGTATAATTATAATGAAGCTATACGTCGTTTGATGCTTGTATCAATTGGTAATCGTAACTATGAAATTTAGTTTTATCTCTATTTTCTTCGAGTTTGTTTCGTTTTTAAACATTTTTGTGCATAAATTTCGCATCTGAGATATCTAGTACAAGAAAGGACATTGTCAACAGCATCTAGATTACTATAGTAATATACTTAACTAGCTAGCCTAGTGTTACTTGCATGAATATTTAATATACTAGTTAAACCAATTTTAAGAAATAAAGCCATTCTTTACGATATTCGAATCGTTCGTGTGTTAAAAAATACTTCTAGTTTTAATAGTACAGAGTAAATAAATGAAAGTTGTAATATTCGTAATTGGAACTATGTCAATTAAAATTAATTTATCTTAAAATCAGAAATGAAAAATCTTGAAACCTAGATAGAATTCCGAAAAAGAAAAAGAAACTATACACATATAAGGATGACCCTAATACTTTCTGTCAAATTTTTAACATCGATATAAAATGGCCACTCAAGTGAAAAATATTAAATTAGTATTAACCTTCGCTACTTACAGCAACAAATAGCCATTATAGATAGAAAAGTTTGTTTTAATGATAGTATCGAAAACAAAAAAACATAAGAGGTTTTAAGAAGTCCATATTACTAAGAGATAATGGCTTGTCACATCCACTTATCAATGACAATAGATTGAAGGAATCAAGGTCGTGAAACTATCCAAGAACGTCTTAAAAGAAGTAAATGCAGAATACTTTTTTTTGATAGAATCTAAGTTATCTTTAATATAAATTTTTTAAGTTTACAAAAGTATTTCTATCAAAACAAAATCTTAACTAAAAAAGTTAGTAAAGCTTACAACGAAGTCGCGCATAAACTTCGTCTATGGTAACGAAACCTTCTACTTAACACATGTTTGTAATATCTAATCCTAAAAAAACACAATATCAAACCCTTGTTTGATATTGCAGATGCTAAAAAAGGTAAATTCCATGCCACATTTAAACTCGTGGTTCTTGAAAAGTACTGGATAGTAAAAGCAGAAGCAACCATACTTGACTTTATTACTATAAACAACCGAAATGTTATTGAAAAAAAAATAATCTTAATAATCTGAAGGACAAGACAACAAAAGATAGATGTGTATGTGACTGATAATATTTATCAAATCAATATTTAAGTATCCAAAATCATCAATCATAAGACGTGAACATACATTTATCCCCAAGTATCATTTGTCTAAAGCTCCTTGGCTCAAGAGCTTTGGTACACTAGCTTGTGACTCACACGTTCAGCGCCATCTACTTGGACAAGGTGAAGTGTAGTTGTGGGCATGTTAAAATTTTCACAAGTATAAACGAAACGTCTCGATCTATTTCTGTAACTGCTGAAGGCCTCGGAGTTGGGCAAACTGACGTTGAGCTTTTCTTTTAATATATATTCCGTAACTTTCATCGATTACCTAACAAAACTCAATGTACTCAACTCAAAATATAATTTAAGTTAAAATCTGACTTGATTCTTACAAAGACAATAATTTATAAGATGTTGCTGAAATAGGAAGAAATAAAGAAATATAAAAAAACATACCAATTAAATCAAGATGAAAGTAATCCAAATATAGATACACAAAGCACTTGAGATGAACACAATCACACAATAGTACAAATCGAACGATCGATCGAGAACTTGACGAAGGTTTTAGAAACTGGATTCGTCGAGAAATCGGGATGGTTTCGCCGGCGGTGGGACGCGTCGGGTCGTTGTCGGAGTCGTAACTAAACTATGAAAATGTTGGCTGTTGGCCGAGGCGGGCGCGGCGGGTGACGGGGCCGGGGCGAGCCGGAATGCGCGTGGGCCGCTGCACCCGTCCGTTGGATAACTCGCCCCGTCCGTCACCTGTGACGTGCCCGTTGCAGAGGTGTTTTCCCTCCAAGATAGCTGGTGATCTAACTACAATACAATAGAACTACCCTACAACCCTCCCTACTGATAAGCTATCTCGCATAGTAAACCAGTGTTATCGATTGAAGATTTCTTGTAAACAGTAGTATCACCATTTCTTTATTGACCATCAAGTGACAAACATTTGTACCCAGCAGTCTCTAGTGCAATTGCTCGTCAAAGGTTAGTAGCGGCAATACACAAAAATATACCTAGAAAGTAAGAAACTGCGTTCAGTTTGCGTTTTAGTAAGTATCCCTTCACAAAGACTAATTGAAACTAATTTTGGTGCAAATAAATCAAAACTGTGAGTGATATATTTTTCGTGACGTGTTACATCTGGAACGAAGCTTGGCATCTGGACGGCCAGGTGAACGATTAATCAGAATAACTGACTGTTCGGTACAGATCATGCGAATTCACCACGTTCAGTGGCGAACATATTGTGGGTAAATGGGCCCATTTTTATTCGCCCATAAAGGAGGGTAGATTTGAATCCCTCTCCGGTTCAGTCGGGCACAGAGTGAGGTACGGACGATAAATATTCGCGTGCAAGTGGGCTACTTGAAGTACGGTCATCGAGTAGGTAAGGTAAGTTTATCCTCTATCATCATCTCCAATGCATGTGTAGTTTAAGAGTAGGTTGTGCCGTACTGTACGGAACACTGACTAAGCGATTCAGTGGAAGGAAACCTAAAATTTACGTTTCGCATAGTCAAACTTTACGGTCTACTTTTCGTCCTTTTCACACCCTTAGTTTTCACCGGTCTTAAGAAACTAGGCAAGGACATCAAATTGGTTTGAAACATTAATTACTCTGTAATTATGAAACAAATCGTTGAACGATGAAGAGAGTTTTCATATATTTTCCTCGTGCAATTTCAAAGAAAAATTAGTCACCAGTCAGATACTGTAAAATCAACTGGCAAGATTCTTGGACTATCGATCACGTGTTTCGTTAATTGGTATCGAAATCATCGGCATCGGTTACGTTCGGTAATGAGCAATTGGTAAAGCATCCCGTGATTTGGCAAATGTTTTGTGCACGTGCTGTATGATGCAATATGGGATTCATAAGGTCAATCTACACACTATTTTATCCCTTTTAAGACTTATGGCTTTATGCAATTTTACACATCGTCTCTCTGTCTTTAATCTTCCTTTATCGGTACATAAGGTTTTTGGCCCTTCAATTTGATCTAATCTTCAGTTCATTGGTGTTTTAAAACACAAATTAATATTTTAAATACATTTTGGTTCAATCTTAACATAATCAAGTTTGTTTCTTCAAAAAATAGCTACCAATAATTTAAATACAATTTAACCTAGAGCTTTGACTGTTTCTTGAGTTATTTCTTACACTATTAATAGCTAACACCGCACACTATTAACACTGAAAGAAATTATAAGAAAACAGCCAACTCTAAATATATACCAGAGATAAACAACGAATCATTAGTTAATGAGTAACGAGTGTATTTTGGCTTCTATAGATCATTTGTCGCTCACATCTGTGCTAGATATTAGCATGATTCTACTGACGAAATACTCGTCCAAAATATATTTACATCCCCCTAATTTGCAATGAAAAATATAAAATAACAATACGTTTTTGTAAAGTTTCAGTTTTTAAAATTGCTGACACAGACGAGTCTGTTCTTACAGAGTTGTAAGCATAAAATTGTTTAAAATGGATAATACGAGTAATTGTATATTTCTATGCTATTGAATTCAACTATAGACTTGTGTAATCGATTTTGAATTACTTTTTTCCAATTTCTGATTAAATTGGGTGACTTTTAGAATTTCACAAACTTATTAACAAATATCAATCCAAAAGCTCTCTTCAAAAAACCTAATTGTTGGAGCATTATTTGCCAAACGTATGCGATTATGTTATTGCGTATTCAGACGCTGATTGTTATGATGTTCATTCGTGTTACATATTCATAGCATAAGCTAATGTAACCTCGGTAATGCCTGGCGTATGATTCATGCAACATGCAACTATAAATACTTAGATCGCTATTTGGCGTGTATCAATTTTATCGTAAACCAATACGTTTCTTTCTCTGCAAAACAGTCGCCTACAATGAAGAGGAAAGATTTTTAATTTTGAGTGTATTGAAATAACCCAAAAACTACTGGGCCGATTTCAAAAATTCTTTTACATATATGCTTGTCCGATTGTGCGTTGTACTATTTACGAGTCTGAAGACTAGTTTTAATTGATCCATTCTGCAGCTCCAAAAACTATCCCTGTGGTTCGGAAAAAGCACCCGAAAGTTTTATGTTTTTTTTGTCAAGATCGCCGACCTTGATTTTCGAAAGTAGATGTTTAAAAAAAGGTCTTTTAATACAAGTATGTAAAATATTGTAAATTAGGTCATGTCACCAAATTGTTGTATTTAGGCGGAAGAAAACGTCGGGTCATGACAACTGAGAATGCAATAACTGCACCTAAAATGCTAAAATTTTAGTCCTAAAATATTCTAAACTTTTGCATTTTCCTTTGCCACCCGATCGAAGCTGGAGCAAGTCGCTAGTTGCTTATAAATAAAGTCTATTGTAAATTGTAAAACAAAAGGAAAATTTACAAGAGTAAAGATACCACGCACCCTTCGACTTAAGGCGTATGCATTACGATGCATTGACGAACTATTTGTGACGGCTGCGAACTGACAGAGTCTAATTATATCAACCAGTTCACTTGCTATTTTTGATTTCGTTATACGAATAAGTCTTGCGTCATTGATATTGGTAAGAGAACTTCCGTTACATATAATTATATCAAATTAATAAACAATTGTATTTATTGTTGTTTCGAAATCAATGTAAGAAGGACCAATTCAATCGTAATACCTGGATATTTGTTTATTTCGATTACAAAAACGCCGTAATAAAATGCTTCGGTCTTCATCCCTGAGAGTAAGGATGGCTAGTCTCTCGCTTGTTCAATAATTATTTAACTGTTAGACGTACCGAGCGCATTACAAAATCATCATTAACTTGCTCTTCTCAATACGGAGAGTCGACACAGTTTATATTTCATACATTTCTATCAGCTGTCATATCTGAATTCACTCCGTTCTTACGCATTTTCTCTTTCAGACAATCATTCCTTACTTTCTTTGATCGTCCCCTGCCCTTGTAGCCCACCACTTTATGACATCATCATCGCTCCTCATAATATATCTATACCACGCTAACGGCTTCTCAATTTCTACATCAGCGTTTTACAAATACATCTTCCATCAACATACACATCCCGGCTGAAAACCCTAATCAAAACCACTAAGTTTGGAAGGATCACTCGTTCTCTTTTTAGAGCCGCGGTGTCGCCAAACTTCGAAAGAAAGTGGTGTTTAAGAAATTTTACAACTCTCTTTTTTTAATGCGCCTTGTACTTGTTCGGGTGATTCAAAAATTTAAAATTCATGAAAAATAAACACACAAACCAGAAAATAAATAATTCCAGCAATCATAACTGAACAGAAATTGGTGTATATTTTTGCCAAGGTACCAGAGCAGAGGCAATTCGTTGAAGCTGTAAACTGGTATTTGATTGGCGCGTTTATGTGTATTTTTAACGAGTGCAGTCCAACAGTTACACAGCGGGTTGGATTTAACGACGCCGAATGACGGATGTTGGCCCACCAATCGATCTGAGCTGATGGAAAACTAACCAAATTTCCTACTGACAGAAAGCTTTAATTCTTACATACATTGCAGATCTAACTGGATATATCTGTAATGCAGAATTTCATTTGGAATATCTTTGAAGATTATTGTCTATTTCATCTAAGTAAAATGTATATTGTCAGACTTTGGAAGATCAATCTAAAGGAAATATCAATAAATATCTCAAATCTAACAGATTCAATAAAATCAAAAGTCTACGATCGTTTTAATAGCTTATGCACTTACGCATCGGTTAATTAAAAGCGACCTCCGAGAGTACAGAGAAAGCAAACGATCGTGCCAAAACGAACGAACGAGTTATTGTCACTAATCGAGACGCTACTCAACTCTTCGAATTTATTTAGGTACAGTTGCCAAGACAAGAAAGAACTGTTTAAATCATAACCCAACCTTGCTCTACTCTACAGTTTTAAGGTTAAACTACAGGTGGATAAAGAAATATCGCGAAAATATTTCTGAAAATGATTGGTTTAGTATATTTAACTGAAAACTTGCATAGTAGACTTAAAATTTTTTTCTTTGCATATAATATTCTAGGAATAGACAATGAAAATGATTGTAAAATTTATTGATAGGAAATATTTTACACAAACTCAAACTTTTTTGCAGATGGTATTAAATTTACATAAACAGAAAAGTGAAAGGTATTACAGCGAAGTTAGTTAGTTTGGTTAATAGCAAATTGTTCAGCTACCCTCCACACTAGTATAAAACTGTATTACCGCAGAGCAGTGCGGCCAGTTTGTGTAAATAACTAATCACATTTGTTACAGTACAAGCAAAATACACAGGATAACAGTGAAGACAATGCAGATATGTAAGTACGATAAACTAGTTTGCTTGTTTAAATAGAAAAGTTCACGGAAAAACGAACAAAGTTCTTTGTTGATTTACGTCTATTATTACAAGTAGAAAATTATAAATGATTCCCGAGCCAATTCGAAGAATAGTAGCTACATGTTTTAAGACAAACGCGTCTCGGGTCACGTACACTACGACTGAATAATAGTGCTAATAAAAAGCGGAAATTAATCCTATATGTTAGATATATACGGTGTAATGTCTACTATTAACACCTTGTTTCTATCTTACTAATGTTATAAATGAGAATATTTAGATGTATGGATGTTAT